TTGTTTCACCTATCATTATTTAAATTATTTAATTAATGGAGATAGTTTAAGTCAAGTAAGTAAAGACGTTCTGCAGCAACTAATTGCGTGAGGAATTGTGCAAGAAACTGATATGCAAAGGAGTTGCTTTTGTTACCTTTTGTAACCCTGGAAGTAATTCCCAGTTGATACCGTAGGTGCTTCTTAAAGGACATGTCTAAAGAAGACAGAAAAATGCTAATTATATGGGAGAAGTGTGTGGTTTCCTATTTTTTTAAACAGCGTGCTTATTTCAGGAAGTGGAATAAATCCAGACTTGCCAGTAATGCAGGACATGTGACTTAGTTTCAGTTGATATAATTCTAACGTAAGCAATTTCCTTGATCCACCATTTTGGGGGTTGAAAGGAAATGGAGGCAGTTGCTCTTCAAAGTTGAGGAAGATGTATGGAATAAATCAGAGATTTCTATTGGAATTGAGATAATGGCGGTAATCTTTCAAGGGTGTGCTTCAGGACTTTTGCATGCTGTTGCTCAAACTCTTCTAGGTTGCCTTAATTACAGTATATGTTTCACATCCTTTCATAACGTAGCTCCTTCCATTCTTACGGAAGTTTTTCACTTCTGTCCTTCCTCCGGAAAAGGGCAAGTTGTATCTGAGCCATTTGGGGAAATCTAAAGAGGGTTTAATAGATAGCCTCAGAGCTTGCTTTGGCACTGATGTGTTCCTACATTTCAGACAGTGTTTATAAAGGATTATTGCCATTGTCAAAGTACCTTGAAAAAAAATGGAAAAATTACTGGGAAAAGAAACAGCAAATTCCATTCTATCAATTTTCATGCCCTGGATGTGCTAGTTCGCACGATCGGGATATCAGTTCCTGCCCTTCCCTCTTCCTGTGCTAGGTGTGATGTCAAAGCCACCAAAAGTCTTCCCATTTCTTCTTTTAGATAAGTTTGGAATTGCATTTCAGAGGCAGCAATAAAAATAGACTTATGAAAAACGCAAGGATATGTCTGAAAATAGCAGTGGCTCGTTTCCTTTCCCCCGTAGAAAGAGGTTTGGTCGCAACAGCACAATACAGATTTTTCTGGTCAGATCCTCCTGATTAATGATTGCTATTAATCAGCATAATTTTTTTTGCATTGTACTGCATTGCACGATATATTTCATTAGACATTCCAAATCTGTACGGTGGGCTGCTGGTTTAAATAGTTATGGCCAGTTGTTGAGACCAAGGTTTTAATGAAGTTATCCGTCACATGATTTTGGAACATTTGGTATGTAAAAGCACTTTTTTGTTTTTAACTATTCAAATAATGAAATTGTTGAATTTGGCCACCTCACTGCTAAATTTAGGTCATTTCAAAGAACTAGTTCCGATATAAGCATTTCAGGGGGACACACACACACACACACACACACACACACACAGTGTTTTTCCTTTCAATCATGAAAATGTGAACCGTGCATATATTTTCAATTACTTCTTCAGTTCTCTGACCACTGCCAACTTATAAAATGACCTCTTCTCCCAATCCTAATTTTACATAGATCCTTTGGTAAAGTGTTTTGAAATCTTATCAGCGTGGTTGTTGACACTGCCAAACTCTTCATAGTTAAGATAGCATGATGTAACTTTGCTAAGCCTTGCTGACTTTTTTTTTTGACCAAGACCTATCCCTCTGTTACCAGCTTACTTAAAGCAGATATTAAATGGCCTATAATATCCTTATTGGATATGTTTTTTGTTATGATTTTCTGACTGCTTTTTACTACTTTGTTACAGAGGGAAATGTTACATGTGTATATTTTTGTTAGAAGTTTACCCAATTCACATTCAAAGTATTTTAGAACTCTGGTGTGGAGTTTTCAGTCATTTGATGAGTGCAAGGATGAATATCTATGAGAAGCTGTATGGCTTTAAGTTTAACTGTATTTGTATGGAAATACAGTTAAACTTAAAGCCACTCAGCTTCGTTACAATATATTTCTTCTGGAGATATTTTAATTCCTTTGGCATTCAGGGATTGAATATGACAACAGTTGGATTCACCAAATGGGTAAAAATCAGGCACTGATTCCCATATATTATTTTGGCTTGGAGACTTTTGGAGCAAAGAAATAGAGGATAAATCAGATAAATTTCAAATTCAGTTTCTGTCATTATCATCCGAAAAAGACTGGTAGTAGATTACTTTATTATATCTCAATATGAGCACCTGAAAAATTACTTCCAAATGGACTATATTAAGTTGGTTCAATTCATAATCTTATTCTAATATATTCTCTTGTCTTGACATACTTAATTCAGTTAAAAGTAAAATAGTCATTTGATGCATATACATTTAATATTGTGCATGCTATTTAAGCATTTGTGTTGTGTATGCATTTATTAGTGGTGTGGGAAGCAGGGGATTGCTATTCCTGTAGGGCTGCCTATAAAAACTTCCTGTTTGGGATCTTGCAAATATGCCTTTCTAGTTAATTGTTTCTAGATTGGTTTTGCTTTACAAGGTCACATTGCTCCAGAGCAGAGGTCTCCACCTTGGTAACTTTAAGACTTGTTGACTTCAACTCCCAGAATTCCCCAGCCAGCCAGCCAGGGAAACCCCTGCTCTAGAGAATACTTTGACTTATTATTTAGGCTCATGCATAAATGCCTACTTACTTGATACTTGAAGGCTTACTGTCCAGTAGTTGAATTGCTGATGAATGTATACTGAATATTTGGGCACTAATTGACTTCCTAGGATCTGCATTTCATGTTACTGACAGAGGAAATTCAGAAATAACCTCATGTTTACATGACTGGCTAGAGTTGAACGTTATTATTATTTGATTCCATTTCACTCAGGCTCAATACTGATTGTGATGTGATTCCCTAGGTCAGTTTACTGGGGTAGAGGACTGAAAATGTTAAGGATGTAACAAACGGTCTTTCCATAGTATTTAATAACTAAGCTGAAAACTAAACTAAAGGATCTATTGCAATCTGAATGATCTTTTTGTCTAGATTGTCCCTGAGAAGGATTCCTTTTGGTAGAAAGTCTGTTTAATTAGCTCACCTGCTGCTTCATTAAAGGGGGGGGGGGAGGAAAGGGTTGCTGCAAAGGGAGAATCAAAGTAGTGTTCAATGAGAGTTTATCAATAGCATTAGTGTGCTTTTGCATCACCTGAACAAACAAGATGCTAAGTCCCTCTTGCCTTCATGCACTGCTTTACAGTTGTGAGCGTATTATTACAGGTAACGAATAAAATACAGGCGTTTATTATAACCAGAATTAAATTATTTATCTCTGTGCTGAATTTTTTTTTTTATGATTCGAGCACTGACCCCTTACAACTTTTGTGATGGGGAATGGTTTGCTTTCCTGCCTGACTATAGGCCCCATACAAATAACTTTGTCTAACTCTAAACTAAGCATCTAATACAGGGGTCCCCAACTCCTGGGTCATGGATCAGTACTGGTCCATGGCCTGTTAGAAACCTGGCCACCCAAGTGGCAGGTGAGCAAGTGAAGCTTCATCTGAGCATGCACGGGATCTAGGTTGTGTGTGAAACCATCCCACCCCCTGCCCTGATCCATGAAAGACAGTTTTTCTTCTGAAACTGGTTCCTGGTGGGGGCTGCTGATCTAATACATTATATTAGCTAAAATAGCCACTATCTCGTTATTAGTCGTGACAGGATTGACGCCATAAATGTCCTTATAGAACAGTGGTTCTCAACCTGTGGCTCGGGACCCCATTTGGGGTCGAACGACCATTTCACGGGGGTCGCCAAACAAGGCTGTCCGCCATTTTTTCCCCCTTTTCTTTGGCCACGCCCCTGGCACCCGGTGATGTATAAGTGGCTGGGGGTCACCACAACATGGGGAACGGTATTATGGGGTCGCGGCACTAGAAAGGTTGAGAACCACTGTTATAGAATGAAGCCTAAAGCCAGTAGCTTGCAAATAGTTTTTATAGCTGTATACATTTTGATCGATACGTTCTGTCAGTCCAGAGATCACAGAACTGCAGGGCAAGCTGGCACCAGTTCAATTTGATTGAATTTCCTTCTCTCTGTGTGTGTATGATGTGTTTCCAGGGTGTGAGGGCAAACTTTGGTAGGGCTGACTAAAATACGGCAAGTTTCCTGTCACCATGATGCTCTGCTTCATGTTCCTTTGTGTTGTAATAATTCTGTGATGGGGCCTTAGGGGACTGCCCTAACATACTGTCTTTAGAAAGATAAATAAATGGTTCCCTTCACTCAGTGGACTGAAGACCTGTTTATACTTGCTGCTTATGAAGAGATTAGCTATAGATATAGACTTTGTATGGATAAATATAATGAAATATAGGATACATTTATACGAAATACACCAGGTTAAAATAAAGCATGATAGGTATATTTTTTGTACACACACACAAACACACACACACACACACACTTGTGTTACATAAATATATATAGAATTGCAATTTAGCATACTCTACATTTCAATTTTTTAAAAATATTTTTTTCAGTTTTAAGAACATTACACATTTTTGTTCACCGTTTATCCTTTTTTATTGTATATGAGAATAAATCAGATTCATAGTGAATGTAAGAATATAATTCCCTTGGAATAACGTAGGAATAAACTAGAATAAAGTTGCAAATCAGTATTTGAAAGAAATATGTTCTCTGTTGGCACGACGTTTTGGCCTATACAACATTTATTTAGATGCTAGTGACTATTAATTTGGTCCCTAGCAGGCTACAGAAGATCAACATATTAATTATTGAGGGTAAAATAAAAAAAGTAAGTTAATCACACCCACATCTCATTAAAATGGTTTGCTAAAGAATTACCTCTTTCCAGTTTCTCCCGTCTAGGGACAGAACGCGTGTACTTTCCATAGGGTTTCTACTTCTCTCCCAACTGTTTAGCAACTTCTGGTTCTAGAAGGGAATTTTTAGAATTGAAATCTGTGTTCTACAAATACTCCGAATCCCTAAAATATATTCTTCCTTCTTCCTTTTATTGTAGCACTGTCGCCATGATGGCTTATCTAACCTTGTTAAAGATGGATCGCAGTTACTGATGGGAAGAAGTCCAATATGAGTGGAAATGATACCGGAGGAAGAAGACGCTTTGAAGACACAGAGCACACACTACACATCTACCCTGGGAGCATTGCCGAAGGGACCATTTACTGCCCTGTTATTGCACGGAAAACATCTACCGCTGCCGAGGTGATAGACTCCCTGATTAACAAACTGCAGCTGGACAAGACAAAATGCTACGTCTTGGCCGAAGTGAAGGAATTTGGTGGGGAGGAATGGATCCTCAACCCCACCGACAGCCCGGTCCAGCGCATGATGCTCTGGCCACGGATGGCCCTAGAGAACCGCTTGAGCGGAGAGGACTACCGCTTTCTTCTAAGAGAAAAGAACCTAGACGGGTCGATCCATTACGCCAGCCTCCAGTCCTGGTTGCGGGTCACGGAAGAACGGCGCAGGATGATGGAACGTGGCTTCCTCCCCCAGCCGCAGTACAAGGACTATGACGACTTATGCGCCCTGCCAGATCTGAACGAGAGGACACTCTTGGAAAACCTTAGAAATCGCTTCAAGCAAGAGAAAATCTACACCTATGTGGGAAGCATCTTAATCGTCATTAACCCCTTCAAATTCCTTCCCATTTATAACCCTAAATATGTCAAGATGTACGATAATCATCAGCTGGGTAAGCTGGAGCCCCACATCTACGCCGTGGCTGATGTCGCGTATCACGCCATGCTACTGCGGCGGAAGAACCAGTGCATAGTCATTTCTGGAGAAAGCGGGTCTGGCAAAACCCAGAGCACAAATTTCTTGATCCATCACCTCACCGCTCTTAGCCAAAAGGGATTCGCTAGTGGAGTAGAACAAATCATTCTTGGAGCTGGACCAGTGCTGGAGGTAATATTACAACCATACTGTACAGGTAGTCCTCGAGTTACAGCGGTTCATTTAGTGACCCTTCAGCTTATGACCGTTGTTCACAGTGACGACCTTTGCAACATCCCCATGATCAGGTGATCAAATTTCAGATGCTTGGCAACTGGTGCATATTTAATGACCGTTGCTATGTCCCAAGATCATGCAGTCCCCTTTTGCGAAATCAATGGGGAAGGCAGATTCACTTAACAGCCAGGTTGCTGACTTATCAGCTGCAGTGATTCACTTAACAACTGTGGCAAGAAAGGCCGTAAAATGGGGCAAAACTCACTTAACAAATGTCTCAGCAACAGAAATTTGGTCGTAAGTTGAGGACTACCTGTAGTTTATGATAAAGCTTTTCTTGTCCCTAATGTGTGTGCTAAAACAATTAGTTCTTCTAATAATCAAATCATCATTCTTGTCTTGGAGCAATCGATAAAGCTATGCAAAGATTTCCTTCCTATTGTAAGGATTCTGCTGGTGAACTACATGTGGAAAACATTAGATTGGAATGTGCTTTTTTAAAAAAAAATACACCAAGAACTGTCATCCTTCTCTTAAATCTTTTCTTAAAAAAAAAATTACGGATTATATTGTACGTTTGTCACCCTGAAGTAAAACATTATTGTTAGAAGGACGCTTAAATTTAAAATTAAAGGATTTGTCTGAGACTTTTTAAGTGAGAGTGCTAAATATTGTTTGAGATAATTAGGTATTATACTCCATTCTTTGTTGATCTTGATTTCTAAATCTCAAGAATGACAAACCAGAGCTGCTATAAATGGGCTTTTAGTTTTGTTTTTAGTGTTTTTGTATCAGCACAGAACTTTTCTGCTTCCCCCCCCCCAAGTTCAAAGGAAGTAAATAGTCTTTATTCATTTGTGGATTCTCCCCCCCCCTCCATTTCTTTGAAGTATCTTTTAAATGCCATCTGCTCCATCTTATGTAAATTGCGAACAACTCTGGTGAAGAACTAGGACACAAATCTAGAATTGTCTGTTTTATGACAGTAATTTAACATAAAATAGAAAAACTATCACTTCATACTCATTTAACACATATAAAACAAATTGATTTAGCCACCCATGTACCAAAAAAACCTGGCATATATGAGTCCCTTGTTCTACGATGAGCCAATGCTAATTTTACCTCTGCTAAGCGTAGCAAATCATTGTTAAAAGTTTATAAAAAGTGACTTAATAGATGAATGAACCATAAGGGAATTTACTCACCTTCCCAACTGATCATTATATAAGAAACCTCAGTGATTGGTCACGCATGATATATATACCAGCCTGTACTCCATCTCAGTTTAATATATTCCTAATAATACAAGTAGATTGTATTTCTTTATAAAAATAGCCTGTTCTGCCAACTCAATTTCTGCCACAAGGACAAAGGCACTGCATATACAATATATTGAAGTCATCTGCTAAAATTGCTGATTTTAGCATTAAACATGATCAGAGTAAAAGCTTGCTATGGGACAAATTGCTGAGATCCTATAGTCATTAACTTCTAAGACAGTGATGGTGAACATTTTAGAGACCGAGTGCCCCAAAACCGCCCCCCCCCCGCCCCCACTCTGCCTCCCACCCTGCCTGCTCCGTCCCCTGCCCCACCCACCCGCAGGGACATGCACCGCCTCCAGGGCCCACAGCAGATCACCCAGGCAGCCCTGCAGTGCGATGGCAGCCACGCCCTCCGCCCACACCCCGCAGCATTACTGCACGCTATGGGGTGCGAGGGCGGAGTCTTGTCCCTGCTGTCCGGCTATGTCCTTGGCTGCGCTGCTCCATGCGGGCGCACCCGGGGGTGACTCTCCTCCGGGCGGAGGCGGGGCTGGGGCGACGGCATGCATGCCCACAAAGAAGGCTCCGAGTGCCGCCTCTGGCACGCGTGCCATAGGTTGCCACCACTACTCTAAGACTTTCTTCCAAGGAAAACACTCTGGCTTTCATTGTTACTAACCTCATTTCTAATGACCAAAATTGGATAGGCTTGGGTGGACATCACACAGAACTTGTTCAGAAAGGAATGAGCAATTTTGCCAAAGAATGGATTAAGAAACTTCATGAAATCTTTTAATAAACAAATAAACACGCAATATTCCCAAACAGAGTTATTTTCCTATTACAGTTAAAAAAAATGTGGTCCTTTCGGAAAGAAATCCAAAATCTCAGTGAAATAATAGCGATCTTTAAAAGTTCTCACAAACTGCCTCCTATTTCAGGTTCACCAGGAGAATTCAACTGACTGAATTTGCCTTTTCAGGGAACGTTTTTCTTATTTAAGCTCTCACTTCCTTATACAGCACTGTTTAATTAATCAATCATAACTATTGCAAGGACTGCAATGTTTAGAAAATATTCTTATCTAAAGTGGAGAATAATTCCTTTATGCTTCCTGTCTTCTAAGTCGCCACAAGCTATAGTTGACCTTTGTTTTTAGTACACACAAAAGTAGCGGGTGGTAAGCAAAGCTGAACGCGCATCACAGAGGTAGATAGCTTAGTTGCTAAATTTAGTAGGTGGACATCTTTGAGTATTAATATAATAATAATAATAATAATAATAATAATAAAGTTGGAAGGGACCTTGGAGGTCATCTAGTCCAACCCCCTGCTCAAGCAGGAAACCCTATACCATTTCGGACAAATGGCTGTCCAGTTTCTTCTTAAAAACTTCCAGTGTTGACGCATTCACCGCTTCTGGAGGCAGGTTGTTCCACTGGTTAATTGTTTTAACTGTCAGGAAGTTTCTCCTTAGTTCTGGATTGCTTCTCTCTTTGGTTAGTTTCCACCCGTTGCTCCTTGTCCTGATAAAAGTTTTATTCTTCTCCAAAACTTTGTGAGAGAACTTTTCTTGATAGAAGACTAGGTGAGGATGCTGATATAGTTGCCTAATAGAAAACTAGGTGAGGATGCTGATATAGTTGCCTAATAATAGTTAAAGGAACAGGACCATTAGTTCCTCATCAAGCAGATTTATATCTGTTGGAGGATTAAGAGTAGCACTGGATAAGAATATCGCATTTAAGGGAGAGATTATTCTGTTTCTTTTACATGATACCTAGTATTTCAAGCTATCCTGGAACTGTAAAGCAAAAGATGATTGGGCAAAGGTTCAACTATTACAAGGCATAGACAGATAGCCCTCCACTTATGACCACAGTTGAGCCCAACTTTTCTCGTGCTAAGTGAGACAGTTAAGTGTGTTTTGACCCATTTTATGACCTTTCTCGCTACAGATATGAGGTGAATCACTGCAGTTGTTCAATTAGTAACACAGTTATTCAGTGAATCTGGCTTCCCCATTGACTTGACTGGTCAGAAGGCCGCTGAGGATCACGTGACCCGGGGACATTGCAACTGTCATAAATATGAGCCAGTTGCCAAGCATCTGGATTTTGATCACGTGACCACAGGGGTGCTACCACAGTCCTAAGCGTGAAAAATGGTCATCAGTTGCTTTTTTCTGTGCTGTTGTAACTTTGAACAGTCCCTAAATGAACGGTTGTAAATTGAGGACTGACCTTATTCAGGTTTTGAGAACTTGGGCAATGCTGATGTGTGGATTATTGCTTAGTTCAGTGGTGGCGAACCTATGGCACGCGTGCCAGAGGCGGCACTCAGAGCCCTTTCTGTGGGCACACGTGCCATGCCCCGGAGATGGCAACCGTCCTCTTCAACCAGCCGCCCGCTAACTCGCTGAGGTCCCACATGGCCGGATGCATCCCAGCACCCATGCGCTTGCTGGCCTCTGTGTGCGGGAGCCGATGGTGTCAGGCAGCAGCGGCCCCTGCCTCACCTTGCCCTGTGACAATGGCACCCCCGCCCTGCCTCACCTTGCCTTGCCTCACCCCACAGAACCAGCCTCCTGCCCACCACCCCACCTGCCACAGACCCCTGGATCTCCCCCAACCCTGCCGGGCCATGCCTACCCTGGCCACTCCCACCCATCTGCCATGACCACTGTAGCCACGGCCACCTAGCGGGCCACACCCACCCGGCACCCGGCAATACGTAAGTGGGTTTGGGGTTGAAGTTTGGGCACTCGGTCTCTAAAAGGTTCGCCATCACTGGCTTAGTTGTTTTCTTCGTATTACCTGCTCAATTAAGAATCTTAGTAGAATTGTCAAGAGGAAAACGCTGATTACTTTCATGCAGATTTCATCATACACTGGAAAGCTCCTTCCTCTTTGTCAGTTTGAAGTCAGCCAAGGTTGCTTACTTTTCCGGTTTTGCCAGCTGCAAGTGAGGGCAAAACCATAGATGTTCTTCCTGATGCTAACTAATCCTGAATCTCAACACTGAGTGCCTTTGCCAGGTATTCATTACACCCTCCCCCCCCAAAAAAAAGCATTTTACATTTTTCTTACGCTTAGAATCAGCTTAAAGGATAGTTTGGCTTCAGCGTTGTTTCTTCATATGAACTTTATTCAAGTCAAGTTAACACTTAACATTATTTTCATGCCTTCCTAAATAGAGCACCTCTGGGAAGTCAGTATTTATTGTTGAACTGCCTTGATACTATTTTCCACATATCTTGCATCCAACCAAGTACTAGTTTGCTTTCCAAACCCAGCTTCTATAATTCTTAAGAGGAAAGTATCTCAACTCCCCGTATAGGGAACACATGTCCATTGATTATTGTTTCAACATGTTGGGGGGGGGGCTGCAACAGTGATATTCATCAAGAAATTACTAGAAGTAGATGTGGATCTTAGACATGTTTGGCCCTCCATGCGTGCATTGGTCTTAAAAAAGCTTATTTGACTCCAACATCTGCATTTGGTTATCCCCTTCCTGCTCAGCCAGCATAAATGAGAATGAATTTCCCTTTTTTCTACCTCCATTCCAATTCTCTCCCTTTCTCCATCAACAAGCTCCTGTTTGTATCAGCTGTTTTCTACCCAGATCCATCATCTTCCATGTTGCCATGTACCCTCTGTTTGTCTAGGTTTCTTCCTTATACAGTCTTGTTCTACGGCCCTTATCTTTGCTTCCATTTGCATGCTCCTTGATCCCTTCACTTGATTCAGAAGGAATCTGATAGCACTTTTTCTGACTAATAACATTTTATTACATAGAAGATGTACTTCTGAGCTGGGGCTACCAGAATAGTTCTGATTTTTTTTTTTTTTTGTCACCATACACTTACACAGCTCTTCTCATATAAGAGTTTGCTTGATTCAATATTTCATGGCTTTTCCATTTGTCTGGGGCTTTGGGGGATTCTTTGAGCCCTCAGAATGGGGTAAAAATGTGGTGTCTGATAGGCGACATCTGTTTCTGTCAATTCTAGCTATTTATGGAGACACGGTGGACTTTCTCCAATATCCTTGCATATTCAGACTGATTAAACCAAATGTTTTTGAATAAGAAACATTAATGCTGGTATGAAACATTGTGCATTCACTGTGACAACTGCTACTTGCAATCTGCCGAAGACAATACCCCACTCTTTTTAGAGGATTTCACTCCATCTCAGCTTGAATTGTTAGGATCAGCAGGTGAAATTACTTGAGGCTGCAGATATTTGTGACAGAGACAAAGGATTCATTCTTGACTAAAAGAGTATTTAATTTTTAACCACTTTTAACTACTCCTCAGTAGCCAGTGGGGCGCAGTTAAATAAGTTCAGCTAGTTGTATTTCTTAATACTTTATTAATGCAGTTTAATTTAGTTTGTGGTTGCGTGTTTGTGACAGTTTTGAGAAATAAAAAGATCCAAAACTGAGTTAGCAGAAAGCACAGTAGGTAATATATAAAAGTAAAAATAGATAATAGCCATGGTAAATAGAAAAATAAAAGATGTACATTGCCTTTCCTTCTAAAAAAAAAAGTATTTGAAAAATGTAACCCTAAATTCGCTTTGTTCATAGTACCTGAGGGTAGTCATCTTCCTCACATCCTTCCTTGCTCCCCAAAATGTAGGACAAAGTATGCTTTCTGTTCTGTGATTGCTCAGATCAGAAGAACGTGGATTTCACCGGTAGCATGATTCAAATGTGGGGATTTTTTTTTTTTATTGAAGGAACTTCTCACGGCCCCGTCAACTTTCACCAATATGCACAGTGAATACATGCCCATTTTTCAATTTATATTTTTATTTATTTAGTAATTTTTTACCTTTGAGTCAGTGTTGACTTCTGGCAATGCCTACATTAGTATCTATAGTTTTCTTGGCAAGATTTCAGAAGACAGTTTGCTATTTCCTGCTTCCTAGGGCAGAGAGAGAATGTCTGGCCCAAGGTTACCCAGTTGGCTTACCGCCTAAGGTGAAACTAGAATTTCCCTCCTCCCGGTTTCAGCCTGATGCCTTAAACCACATTTGAAAAATGCATTACTCGGGCCTATAACTGAAATCTGTTCTTTGGCACCAAAACAGATAGGTTTTTTTTTTTTTTAACCTTAAAGAACACCAAGATAGTATGTAACCAGCAATATTTGAAGAAATGGCAAGAGAAAACTTGTACAAAAGGAGCAAGCGGCCATTCATTTTAGTTAATCAGTTTTAAATGTAAACAGATAATCAGACACATTGTTTTATTAAGTGTAAAAGCAAAAAGAATAACAACAGTAACAAGTATAAGGTGCAATTTGATTAATTTTCTTTGGAAGGTTTTTAGTCTTTGTAAATATTTAGAAGAATCCTGTCCTAAAACAATCTCCTGTTAGTCTTTCAACTCAAGCTATATTTTTTCTCATAATTATAGAAAACCTGAAGGCATGCCTAGGAATTGCAAGTGATCTGTCAATGCATGTAATTTTCTTAGCCAGCATTGACCTGATTCCCACAGCAAAGTTGATACAACAGTAGACATATATTGCCTGATGAGCTGCAATTCGGCTAAAGAGTATCCTAAATGTCTCTTTCCTGGTAAAAAAAAAATACTGAATTGCTAAGAAAATAGTATCTGTATATTTCTGCTTTCTCCAAACTTGCCTACTGGCAAAGATAATTTAGCACAAAAACTCTTAGGTTTTTCCAGATTCCTTTGAAATTAGATTCCGTGTTTTTAACTGTCGGGGACATTATTAAGATCTGGTTTTGCAGAAAGAGAATGTAATCTTTCTGTTCAAGAAACTATAAGGAAAGCTAGTGCTTGAGGTATGTTAAGTTGATGTATGGTGATTCCCATACATCAACTTAAGATACCTCAAGCACTAGCTTTGTCTAAATTATAAGAATTAATACATATAACATTCCCTCAGATGCCTGCCTGTTATGATAAAATTAAGGTCAACAGCATGTAAAATTCCAAGAAGTGTATACATCCAAACCATGTAGTGATTTAGTGCTGGGAATGTTGACTACAGCTGTGTTTATGCTCTAGAGCAGGGGTAGTCAACCTTGGCTCTTTTATGACTTGTGGACTTCAACTCCCAGAATTCCTGAGCCAGCTAAGCTATGTTATGTTATGTTCCAAGCTTGTCGGATATATTTCTGAAGACAAACTTGTTGCTACTTGCTATTTTTTTCCCCAAGCAGATGTTTATAGGGGAATGAAAGAGAAGACATATATGCTTTCTATTAATAAGCATATTATTTTAACCCAATTAAATTAGATATTTCTTGAACGCCTAATTCAGTTTGATATTGAATTTGATCATGATTCGTCATCAAATCATCACCGTTAGTGAGGCCTTGCAAATTGCCAGGGGCACTGTTCTATAGGTAACAGGGTATGAGGCCTTGGTTGTGAATAAAATTCATTTTCCTTTGTCTGCACAGCCTTATCCCTCTCCAAGCTATTGGGTTGGTGATGATTCTGTCCAGACTTTCTCTGCTTGGAAGACTTCAGCTGGTCTTTTCTGAGGATGGGCCAGCCGCAGTTTGTGATTTCCGGGCCACGATAACAGTCAAGGATTCATCCCAGGTCCCCGTGGGTATAGCACACATCAGATGCTCGCTTTAGACCTGGTTTGTATCTCAAAGCAATTGAGGCCTAGTTTCAGAATGGAGAGCTAGGTTTCATTTCTTTTCTTGTGGTCAGATTACAGGTAAACCTTGACTTACAACAGTGACCGTTCAAAGTTACAATGGCACTGATTAAAGAGACCATTTTTCATAACAACTGTTGCAGCATCTCCATGGTCGTGTGATCAAAATTCAGAGGCATGGCAACCGACTCGTATTTATGACAGTTGCAGTATCCTGTGGTCATGTGATCCCCCTTTATAACCTTCTGACAAACAAAGTCAATGATGATCAGGGGACTGGAGGCTAAAACATATAAGGAACGGTTGCTGGAATTGGGTATGTCTAGTTTAATGAAGAGAAGGGTGAGGGGGGACAGGATAGCAGTGTTCCAATATCTCAGGGGCTGCCCCAAAGAAGAGGGAGTCAAGCTGTTCTCCAAAGCGCCTGAAGGCAGGAGAAGAAGCAACGGATGGAAACTCATCAAGAAGAGAAGCAGCCTAGAACTAAGGAGAAACTTCCTGACAGTTAGAACAATTAACCAGGGGAACAATCCGCCTCCAGAAGCGTGAATGCTCCAACACTGGAAGTTTTTCAGAAGAGACCGGACAGCCATTTGTCTGAAATGGTATAGGGTTTCCTGCCTGAGCAGGGAGTTGGACTAGATGACCTCCAAGGTCCCTTCCAACTTTATTATTATTATTATTATTATAACAACCATGTTACTCACAACAACTGCAGCGATTCACTTAACAACTGTGGTAAAAAAGGTCATAAAATGGGGCAAAACTCACTTAACCACTGTCTCACTTAGCAACAGAAACTTTGGGCTCAATTGTAGTGAGGACTATCTGTATTCTCTAGCCTCTACGCAACTGTGTCTCTTCCATTCAGCCCAGCTGGCCTTCGCCAGTTGCTGTGCCCTTGAACTGAACTCAGCTCCTGGTAGTATGATGCACGTAGGAAATGGCAGCTCCTCATCTCCGTGTTACCTCTGCAGTGAATTGTTCTGGTAGGTCTTTGACACTTACTTTTCTTATTTTGACAGGCCTTTGGGAATGCCAAGACAGCACACAACAACAATTCAAGTCGCTTTGGCAAATTTATTCAAGTAAATTATCAGGAGACTGGCACTGTGCGTGGGTAAGTAGCAATGAGCAGTGACTAAAGAGCTTTAGGCATGAATGGCGTGCAGCTGTTAGTAGTTTTATATGCATGCTTAGAATGTAAAACATCCTGTGTCAATCTGGGCTGTAGCTGCTTGTCTGGGAAAGATGTGGGCATGTCATGTAGGAGAAATAATTGGCTTGATATAGGTATCTTTTGTTAAGGAAAGTAACTTCCTACATTCTTTTCATTACAACTTTTCAGTTTAATCACAAGGGAAATGGAAAAATTTCTGAAATATGTATTTTTAATGATTGATATAATAAATTATTAAGAAACTCCACTCTCCACTTAGATATTTTTCTCTAGAATTCTTTGGCTGTACACATCATTCACAGCTATTTGAATCTGAAAAACAAACGGGTTTTTTCACGACAGTTACAATGTTAGGAAAGCAAGTGAAGGGCCCCTAAATTAAGGCACTATGCCTTCAGATCAGAAAATAAGCTGTTGATCCCACTAATGCAGTATTAATTAGCAGCCTGAGTCTAGGTTTTCAAAATGGGAAGTAGAAGAAAATATTACGTTCAATTATATGAAGGACCAGCACAAAAATTGATGGCTGTCTGACAATCTTTTGGAGTTAAAGTATATTAAAGCAGAAGAACGTCTGAAACAGTGGGACTCATTCTGTGATATTACTTTGTAAAATATTTGGGATTGCAAAATTTCCAGGTTTTGAAAGGCCAGTCTGATCATTGTGCTATATTTTGAGCCATTTCGATAGAATCTTCCAATTCTATTTTTGGCTTGGTAAAAATTCTACTCTTCTGAATAAAGAAATAGAGCCAGACATTTTTTCCCCTTTGTTCTCTGCTTCAGTTTCTTTAAATCGATTGCTTTTCCTCGTCAAAAACAAGGAAGCAAAACTAATAGCTTGCCTGACCAGTACACTGTGATAGTTCCAGTTTTTATGTGGTCTGTTATCTTCCTGGAGTTTGAAGAGCAAGCAGGATGTAAAAATCCTGTTTTCGTTGTTGAAGGCTACACCTTGGTTTTTTTTTTTTTTCCTGCGGTCACATTTAGGATTAATACATGTGAACAATATTGGGCCCCCAGGTGAATCAGTCAGAAGATATCAAGACATGTATTTTTCTATAAATGTTTTGGCCTAGTTGTTCAACTGAGATGCCAAGAATAGCAGTAGTACCTTGATTTTGGCTCTTGAGGAAGTTATATTCATCTGACCTTTTGTTTCACACAGAATATTCATGAATATTGCTATGGTTTTGCAACCCTTAGATAAATTAAAAACCTGTTAAAAAATTATCTCCGTTACTGAAGGTTGTTTTGGGCTTTCGAGACACTTCTGCTTTTACAGTGCCTTAGCAAATTGCTTTTCATTTTCTTTTATCCGTTAAATACCTTGGATGGCATCCATTCAATGGATAGTGCCACAGGTTGGTCAGCGAAGTTGGGGTAAAGGAGATATATCATTCAGTTTTGTCATTCATGTCTTCTGGGTATTTATGTTAAAAATCATAGCCCATCATTTCCATTACTTGGGTACCATTTAGAAAGCGTACCTTTTAAAAAATTAAGAGTCTAATCTAAAATCTAAATAATTAGAATAGCTCCAGGATGGATGCAATACTGTAATACTGATATGGGCAGACTACGTCACCATGATGTAGTGACTCATCAATTCACCATATTTTGCAGCACAATTCAAATGAAGCCCAAATTTTGCAGTATTTATATTTATATATTTATATTTCTTTGGGGAAATGGAAAATGCTACCAAGAAAGAAAGTGAAGAAGATGGATTCAGCTACCCTTATGTACAGAATTATTTCATCCCTTGTATGAATTAGGGCTCCCCCCTCCCCATACAACATTTTTTTCCCATACAATGCTCTGCCATTTATTTTTCTTCTAGAGCTTATGTTGAAAAGTATCTACTAGAAAAGTCCAGACTAGTCTATCAGGAACATAATGAAAGGTGAGTAACGAATGAAATAAGACCTATAAACTACTGGAACAAATAAAGGAAGATAAATCAAAACAACTATTAGAATTTCAGAGTATAATTATTTCATTGGGTTATAAATTGTGCCTGCCTTTCACATTTTGGAAGAGATTGTTCTCATCCAAAATATGGAATGGCATACTTATTACTGACTAATTCACGTCCCAGCTTTGAGGGCTTGTTGTTACAATCCTGTTTTTATCTTCTTGGTAATTAGTAGCTAGTAATATAGGGTCCTATGAAATTCCTAGGCCCCTAGAAATCTATCTCCAGAAATTTCTAAGCAAGGATTGCAGGTTAAGAGCAGTTGCTCACGCAAACAGTTCAGTTTCTTGCTCAGAAATTACATTGTCCTTCTTAATGGATTGCACACCCTTCAGCGTGCAAGGAAGTAAAGGGAAAGCATGCGCCCCGGTAGTTTATTAGCCCTGCGCTCCAGTTTAGATTGTACTTGCTTGTTACATGGAGACAGGAAAAAGAACAGTGGGTTATTTCCTCCCCATGCCCCCTCCAGCAATTTGTGTAAGATGGAACTTTGTCTGGGGGGGGGTAGGGGAGGGGTTATTTTCAGCATATATCTTCCACCGTGTTGAAAACTGAAAAATTGATACACCGGCCTCCCCCCAAAAGATAATCAGATTTATGTTACAAATCAGAAAGAAGTAAGACTCTGCTTAACACATCTGTGTGTACGTCTTTCAGTAAAGAATCCTGGAGCACTTTTTTTCCTTTTGGTAGTTTATTGTTTAGGGCTCTGTTTTTGTATACAGGAGGTCCTTGATTTAATGACTGCAATTGAGCCCCAAATTCCGGTTGCTAAGTGAGACATTTGCTAAGTGAATTTTTGACCCATTTTACAACCTTTCTTGCCCCCGTTGTTAAGTGAATCGCTGCCGTTGTTAAGTGAAACTGGCTTTCCCATTGACTTTGCTGGTCAGAAGGTCGCAAAAGGGGATGACATCATAAATATGAACCAGTGGCCAAGCCTCATCATTTTGATCCCGTGACCCTGCAACAGTCATAAGTGTGAAAAACTGTCACAAGTCACTTTTTTTCAGTGCCGTTGTAACTTCAAATGGTCACTAAGCAAACTGTTGTAAGTCAAGAACAACCTTGGATTTAAAAAAAGCAAGGACTAGCTAGTACAGTGGTGGCGAACCTATGGCACGGGTGCCAGAGGCGGCATTCAGAGCCCTCTCTGGGGGCACGTGTGCCATTGCCCCAGTCCTAGGCCGTCAGCTGGGTTTTATAAAACCTTTTTGCTTGAGGCCTCCGCTGCCGTGTGCAAAAAAAAAAAAGGGGGTTCAATCAATCAGTCAATTTCAACCTCTCGCGGGGAAAAAAAAGATCTTGCAAAGTTGGAATTGATTGATTGAACTTTTTAGTCTCACCCAGTCTGCCGTTACCATCGCAGCCACGTCCACCCATTGGGCCACACCCAGCCAATGGGCCACGCCCAGCCAATGGGCTACATCCACCCAGCACCCGACGATGCATAAGTGGGTTTTGGGTTGCAGTTTGGGCACTCGGTCTCTAAAAGGTTCGCCATCCCTGAGCTAGTACTAGATTTAGGTTTTACATTTTGAGCCACGAGTTCCAGCAAAAGAAAGTACTCTGTGCTGTTGATTCATCACCCTTTTTTCTAGTTTCTTCCTGATACGCCAATAATTTGTATACTTCCCACTGTTGCCCATCCTATTACTCATTTTTTACTGCAATGCATTTTTTTTTACTTGTTATCAGGAACTACCATGTATTTTATTACCTGCTGGCGGGAGCAAGCGAAGAAGAAAAATCTGCTTTTCACCTTAAACAGCCTGATGAATATCACTACCTTAATCAGGTGGGAATAGACTCGCAGCTTTGCCTCGGGTACATGGGTTTTACTTCAGAGTGATGGGCTATTCTCACAATGCTCTTTTAAAACAATTGTCCATGTCATCTACTCAGAAATTTCATGACATAAGCAACTGATTGTTTCAATAGTGAACTATAGGTAAATAAAAGATTTTGGATCAGAGCTTTTCAAAAGAATATATAATTTTCCAAACAACTTTCATATTAACAGCTAATAGTAGTTTGTTATTTTATTTTCACAATTTGCACCTTAAACCACTTGCATGTTTTCCTAATCCTTTTGTTTGGTAGCATGACATTTTAATATCTTTACAAATAATCCCAACTGCCTGTAAATAATTGAAATTATGGAGATACTGCATCTTATACTAACATTTCACACCGTTTATATAACTTGTTTTCTTGAGTACCCAAGGGTTTTGAATGCGATAAAAACGAGAGGAAAGAACAGTTAAGGTGGTAAAATGCTATCCCATTAGAATTATGTAACATAATTAAATACAATACTTTTAAGACTGAATCCTAAATTACTTTCCTTCCACTACCTAAATGGTACAAAACACAGCAGGTTTTTCAGTATAAGATAATGTGAGATTAGTGTTAATGATTCCTCTCTCTGTTTGTGTACTCATTGGTTCAGTAGGAAACAGGCAGAGAAATCATAAATAGAGCTCTAGGCAGCTTAATAGTGATTGAATTATCACTGAAGGAGTGGTAGAGGTAAATTTTAAAAAATAGAACTTTTAAGTTTTGTTTTGATTCCCTATTTTAAAAGATACCTAGGATGGATGCCCAGAGAATCTGGCAATCAATTATACCCAAACTCTGTATCATTAGTTTTACAAAATGAATTGTAATTTTAGATTTCAGTTTTACCCAAATGACTTCATAATAATAAATATTTGAGAATCTTTGTTGAAAAACTACTTTTTAACAAGATGGGAATCTTAATGTTAATTCAGATTGTAAAATCATTAAATATTGCAGGTTCTTTTAATATTGGAAATTAATCAGGCCAGTGCTGGTAATTTGGTAGAACGCATAGAAGGCTCTGGTTGGTCTTGGAATAACTTATTCAGTTACTTATTTTGCAATAGCCAAGGTGGCGTAGCAGTTAGAGTACAGTAGTGCAGGCCACTTTAGCTGACTGTGTTCAGCAGGTCAGCGGTTCAAATCTCACCGGCTCAAGGTGGACTCAGCCTTCCATCCTTCCGGGGTAGGTAAAATGAGGACCCAGATGGTTGGGGGCAATGTAAATATATATATACATTGCTTACTGGTGTACACCGCTTAGAGCAGTGGTTCTCAACCTTTCTAATGCTGCGACTCCATAATACAGTTCCCCATGTTGTGGTGACCCCCAACCACTTATACATCACCGGGTGCCAGGGGCGTGGCCAAAGAAAAGGGGGGAAAAAATGGCGGACAGCCTTGTTTGGCGACCCCCGTGAAATGGTCGTTCGACCCCAAATGGGGTCCCGACCCACAGGTTGAGAACCACTGGCTTAGAGAGTGCTTGCACTTAAAGCGGTATATAAGTCTCATAAATAAATAAATAAATAATAAATATTTGTACATCATCCCAATCAGACACTTATCTACCACTTCCCCAGTGCTACATTAAAAAGGTGGAAAGATAGTGATCTACCTTACATAATTGTTTGGGTGGGGAATAAAATATATAAGATGGAGCATTCTTAAAGGATGCAGAAATGCCAATGCATTCTACAGTATCCTCCAGCTTAATTATAAAATGAAAATACTTTTCAGTAACATGATAAAACTGTGTAGAGTATGCTTTCTCAAAGCAAGGTGAACAGTACAGTAACACAGAGGAACGTTGTGAATCTTTCTGCAGTGGGAAAGCCTGACATTTAATGCTTACAGACACAGAAGACAAGTAGAAAGAGACTGTTGTGTGGGATTTGCAATGCTACTTACCCAATCTGCCTTGCTTTCAGATGACAAAGAGATCCCCTAAACAGAGCTGGGATGACTATTACTATGACTCTGAGCCGGTCAGTATAAGTCCATCCATCCATCCATTCTGGGTTACTGGTGACAGATGCAAAGCAAATGCAGAATCAGTTACTTTTTAATTAACAGCTGTTGGCCTCAACATCTCTTAAGTAGTTTTGGGAGGTCAGTTTTGTGTAGTTATTTTTTTTTAAAAAAATAGGATGGTATTCTTATCATGCCCTAGGATGGGGCAAATAGAATTGATTATAACATTTTCCTTGGTTCTGTTTTTCAAAATACAGACCAATAAGCTTTGTCCAGAATAATTTTTCAAGATAATATTTGATATATTCTCTAGCGAGAAATGCATTGATTTTAAAATCCATGATACTTCTTGAACCTTATCTGATTTCAGTGACCTGGTTCACCTAAGTTTTGTTTTGTTTTGTTCTTGGTTTAGCAGGATGTGCAAATCCATCCATTATGTCCGATCCTGATGAGTAAACCAGATCACTTTGGCACTATCTTCAGTTAATTGTGGCTTAGAAAATCCTAATTATGATGTAAATGCAGCTATAGATACTTCAGTAGAATAGAGTTCCCTTATACAGTGAAATGTATTTAATTTTAGGTCCAGGATTATATTTTATTTCATTTATGCATGAAATCAATTTGTATGACTGTCACTCATAATAGTGGATGTGGATGGCCAGCATAGAATTATAACTCAATACTTTAAAAAGTAATAATAGCCTTGGAAACAACTCCTAGAGGCCTCTCCAAGTTGTAAGCAAAGTGAAAGGAAAAAATGATTTAAGTTACTGGAGAATGGTTTTAATTCCTTTTAATTTGCATTAACTGTGCTCTGATCTTTTAATATTTTTATAATTCTCATTTTATTTCCAAAAGCATGTTTAGTCTAATTGCATGTCAACAATTCTAACTTGTTTACAAATAAGACGTAATGAAATAATGTTTCATTTCATTTTCATTGAGAATTATTTTTCCATTACCATTTTATTCCTTTTAAACTAGTGCTAGATGGCTCAATAAAATACTTGTTTTTAAATCAGCAGAAGCAAATGGTTCACTGCAAAGTTTTCAATTAGCTCGACTCTCTGGGACTGAGTTGGATTTATTATGGGAAACTAAATGTGTGAAATTATTTTTTCTGCTAGCTGATAGTGAATATTGCTCAATTAAGCAGAGTGATATTGGAATAGGTCTGACCTACATTGCTGAAGCCTTAGAAAACTTTTTTCTGTCTCTCAAACTTGGGGTTCCTGGAAATTAAAATGGCTACTCTTAAAGTTTTAATCAGCAGAGTGGTAGTAGTAAATGCTCTTCTTATCCTTGACCTTATTGAGTTTTTCTATTAAAATACAAAGTTTTTGCCTGCTTTGTATTCTAGACCAGCGGTTCTCAACCTGTGGGTCGGGACCCCGTTTGGGGTCGAACGACCATTTCACGGGGGTCGCCAAACAACGCAGTCCGCCATTTTTTTCCCCCTTTTCCTTAGCTGTGCTCCTCCCTTTTATTCTATTGGCTTTTGAAAGCCAATAGAATAGACTCTCTTGAATAGAGTCTAATTCTATTGGCTTTCAAAAGCCAATAGGAATTGTCCAGGCTGTCTCTGCCTGCTGAGCCCACCAAAAGTCCCATTCTGCAAACGGTGCTGCACCAGTTGAGTAGTCCTCGACTTACGACCGGTTGAGTAGTCCTTGACTTACGACCGGTTGGGGGTCGCAGCATTAAAAAGGTTGAGAACCACTGTTCCAGACTGTAGTTCTCATCTTTTCTCTTCTACCTGTTCTGTCTACCTATTGCTCCAGGATTTAGTTACCAACTTTGCTCTGTATTTTATTCATGATTTCTTTTTGCTCTTGGTGACCTCTTTGTTCCTTTTCTCCTCGAATATCAATTTGATTTACATCCTTGCCAGATAAAATAGGGACTCCTGTACTCAGACCCTCTTTCTAAATAAAAGTTCAATCTTTTGCGGTCTTCTGCAATAGTTTTACCAAAGCTCACAGAACAGATTTTATAAAACCAAATAAATCTGTCCCAGTGTTCATACAGCAACATCACCAATGAATTAAACATGTCGAGTTAAAACGCTGTCTTGAGAAACAGCAGAGAATAGAATGAAGCTCTCTTACCTCATGCCCCAGTTAGCTCCATGTATCTATTAATTCTGAGTTGAAAGGTATAAATAATATAAATAGAAATTCTCTCTGATACTTACACGTAATTTTATTTTTGAAAATGGAATGCAGTGCTAGGGTGGAGGTTTGAGTGTTGCATGGACTCTGAAATAGTTCAGCTTTGTTTTAAAAAACATTTTGCAGATTCTTCAAATAACTGTTGATGTTCAAGCCCACTCCGTTGAATTAGAGGTTATATAATATAATGTCTACTCTCAAATGATTAAAAATACTGTAAAGTATGCTGCCTGTAACTCTATAGGTTGAAGCTTTGCAGTGATTGGTAAATCCAGACTGTATAATCCCAAGGACAAACATCTTGCATAATTCACAAGACAGTTGAAAGGCAAAGGATATTTAGAGATTGTCTTCTCCCTTGGTTTTTTACTACAGAGCACTTAGCCCAGACATGTCAAACACAAGGCCCAGGGACCGGATGCGGCCCGCGAAGCCATTCTGGAAACAGTGAGGGAACGGCCCCCGCTGCCTTGGCCCTGGCCCAGGCCGGCCAGGAGCCAATGTACAATGTGGCCATCTATGCTGAAACGCATTCAGTCTTAGCTCCACAAGGCCGCCTGGAAACAGCGAGGAACCAGCCCCTGCCGCGTCGGCCGCACCCCCTGGGTGCATACTGGGGAGGTGTCACCCTTTGTGAGGAATGAAGAAATGGACCATGCCTTGGTGCTTGTCCCGGTCCCATCCCCTTCTGCTAGAGACCCTCAGATCTGTCCCACTCCTGCCCAGGCCCCCACAGGCACCCTTGACGCGAACAATGTAGAGCTGGCCGTGCCCACCCAGTAGGCCACACCCACTCCATCCACACTCACCCAATAGGCCACACCCACCTTAGCCACACCCACCCGCCCTCCCCAAGGGTAACCGCAATGCTGATGCGGCCCTCAATGAAATTGAGTTTGACACCCCTGACTTAGCCTATGTACGAACTGTGTTTATTGTTCCATGTGGACAAACTGAACACAGTAATTCTTATCAAGTTGGAAGGCACCTAGGAAGAAGCCCGAGTTTTTCTTTTTCTTCTTTTAGATCTCCTCCTCCTTTCAGAAGTGGTCCTGTCCCAGCATGTGTTTTCCCTAAAGTTATCTTAGGAATCCTTTATTCAGCTGGCAATTCCTCCACTACTTATTTAGAACTAAATTTCTTTCTTATGTTACACGACAATTGCGAAGCCTGGTATGGAGAATGGACTTCAATACCCTTGGAGGATTATTCTAATCCCAAATCTGCTCACCATCCAGTCGTGTACAGATTATCCTATGTTGTGCAGATTGACGTTTATATTGCATTGTTCATATTTTTATAACTTTGGGATGCCTGCTTTTTCCCCCCAATAATTGTTCCTTGTATTGGACGCGCTAGGATTGCTTCTCTGTTGAAGGTGAAGACTTGAAGCACGATTTTGAACGCTTGCAGCTGGCTATGGAGATGGTGGGGTTTCTCCCAAAAACCCGCAGGCAGTAAGTTATTTCTCTTTAGAAGTTGATTGTGAGTTGATCTTTTAAGAATTACTGTGCCTGACATTGTGTCTGTTAGTAAAAAATATTAATCATTTTTACCCCATTAAATCATGGATGCCATTTTCTAATTATTCCCAAATTATGGAAAAGCAGGAAAATCTGCCTTGCATATGTATTTATCCAATATAATAATAATAATAATAATTGCTACGGCATGACAAAGTAGCAACAATGGTGCATTGGAAGATCTGCAAAAAATATCATTTGCCTGTAAGCAAAAACTGGTGGGATCATAAAATAGAGAAAGTCATAGAAAATGATAAAATTAAACTGCTCTGGAACTTCAGAATTCAAACAGACAAGCACCTGCAACATAACACCCCAGACTTAACAATTGTCGATAAGAAAGACAAAAAAAGTCTGGATAGTGGACGTGGCAGTGCCTGGAGACAGCAGAATAGAAGAGAAAGAACTGGAGAAGATAACAAAATACAAAGACCTACAAATAGAAATAGAAAGACTGTGGCAAAAGCAAGAAAGGGTAGTACCAATAGTCATAGGCTCCTTGGGTGCAATCCCAAAACAACTGGAGCACCACTTGAACACCATTGGCATTGACAAATTCGCTATTAGTCAATTGCAAAAGGCAGCCTTATTAGGAACTGCTTTCATCCTGCGACGATATCTGTAATACCATCAAACATCCACATCTGCCTATCCCAGGTCCTGGGTAAGGACTCGATAGGTAGACAAAATGCCAAATCCAGTCTGAACATCTGGCTGACTGTGCGATGATCCATAATAATAATAATAATAATAATAATAATAATGTTGGAAGGAACCTTTGAGGTCATTAGTCCAACTCCCTGCTCAGGCAGGAAACCCTGTACCATTTCAGACAAATCCAGTCTCTTCTTAAAAACTTCCAGTGTTGGAGCATTCACCATTTCTAGAGGCAGGTTGTTCCACTAGTTAATTGTTCTGACTGTCAGGAAGTTTCTCCTTAGTTCTAGCTTGCTTCTCTCCTTGATGAGTTTCCATCTGTTGCTTCTTGTCCTGCCTTCAGGCACTTTGGAGAATAGCTTGACTCCCTCTTCTTTGTGGCAGCCCCTGAGATATTGGAACGCTGCTATCCTGTCCCCCCTCGTCCTTCTCTTCATTAAACTAGACATACCCAGTTCCAGCAGCCGTTCCTTATATGTTTTAGCCTCCAGACTTCTAATCATCTTTGTTGCTCTTCTCTGTACTCTTTCTAGAGTCTCGGCATCTTTTTTTACATCATGGTGACCAAAACTGGATGCAGTATGTTTATATGTGATTTAAGGAAACATACATATTCCACCTTAAATATACCACAAACAGCCACTTCATGTAACAACATTTTTGGTGAACTTAGTTTAATTTAGTTTCTTTCATTTATTGTTTTTGTTTTGCACCCTTAGGATATTTTCCCTTCTGTCAGCAATACTACACTTGGGTAACATCCGTTACAAGAAGAAAACCTACCGAGATGATTCCATAGATATCTGTAATCCAGAAGTTTTGCCTATCGTCTCAGAGTTACTTGAGGTAAGATATCACATTTGGACATAAGCCTTCCACTTTCTCTTCTCCTCCGTATTCTTCCATTTCTACATAATACATGAAGATAAATGTGAAGTATATTAGTTTCTGGAATAAGATAAGTGAGGTTAAATGCTACTCCATAAAATAATATCTCCAATTTATCCACGTTTACTTAATAGGACTTTTCACTGAAATTATTGGAACAACTTTTAATAAGCAGAAATTTGCAAAACACATCTCATGTGATGGCTATCTATTTCAGTGTTATTTAAAGGGCTTGTTTAAAATCAGAAATCTTTCCCCGTCATCTGGCATCCCAGTTAATTGGTTGATCTAGAACTAACTTTATAGCATCTTCTTTGTCACTGAAGTCTTTTACTACAGATGGCTTATTAAGATATTCATGGCTTGAGCTAGCTAAAAAAAATGTATCTTTGCTGTAAAATATGCAATCATTTAAAGTACTGTGTGTTCATAGTTGCTTTTTTGAAAAAGAACTCAAGGTCGGAGGTTCACAAAATCTTCTAATCTGAGCCAGCTTGAAACTGGAACAAAACTGCAATAATGAGAGGCGGGCCAAGGATTCCTTGAGACTGCTATTTTGCATTTTATTTTACTAGCCAGAGAGTGTTGTAGGAAAGCAGTGTTTAATAAATGCTGTCTTTTTACAGATACAGTGTTAGAGGAATGCGAATTTGTGTCCAACTGGAATGAAATCCTTTCGCTGAATCATAACTCACAAGGGAGTTTCACCTCTCGAAATATACAGTCTGCTCAATTTTTTCTGCCACAGATTTAAGTGTATTTTTTTTTTAATATGTACCAGTAGTTCCATAGCAAGAGACAGCTGTTTTTTCTGTTTTGGGGGTGGCCCACCTATCTGAAAGCTTGTGCCTTTTGAAGAGGCAAAGTCGCTCCGGTGGGTCTGATAGGTGCCAGTGGATTCCATTAGCATTGCTGACAACTTGGCCCCAATGTTGTCTCTAGAACAGCTGTTGTCTTGTTTGTGGCACTACCGTTTTTTTCTGCTGTTCACAAGTTAGCTCTCTGCCTCCATCAGTTTCCTCCTGAGCAGATGAAATTGTTAGACATGGCTTTATGTAAGAGTGTGCAGAAAGCACACCACACTGTTTCTTCCTCTAGTCTCACTTAAGATGTGCCATTTCTAAATTCATGAAGGTCATTTTGTTGTTGTTGTTAATTGCGAAGTCGTGTCCGACCCATCGCGACCCCATGGACCCTTCCTGTCCTCTACCATCTTCTGGAGTCCATTTAAGCTCACGCCTGCTGCTTCAGTGACTCCATCCATCCACCTCATTCTCTGTCGTCCCCTTCTTCTATTGCCCTCCATCTTTCCCAGCATTAGGCTCTTCTCCAGTGAGTCCTTCCTTCTCGTTAGGTGGCCAAAGTATTTGAGTTTCATGAAGGTCATTAGCACCATTGATTAAAAAATAGGAGCTTTTAATACACAGGGTAGTATTCACGAGTAACTATAGAACATCATGTTGTGTAAAGGCCTCCTGATAGTGAAACTGTACGGGTAATCCTCAAAGTCCTTATTAAAAAATTACTTATTTTCAAAACTTGAAAGCTAGTATGATTATAAAATTACGACTTTTTCTAGGTGAAAGAAGAAATGTTGCTTGAAGCACTGATTACAAGGAAAACAGTGACTGTAGGAGAAAAACTTGTATTGCCATACAAACTGGCAGAGGTACGTATAGCATCATCTGAAACGTGGAAAATTTCATGAGATCATGTTTTTGTTTTGTTTTTTAGAAATGGCTCCATATTCTTGCAGGAAAAGATTGATAATCTGTCCAATAAATAGCCAAGCCCTCGACCTGATTAAACCTAAATATTTAAATCATGTGATTAAGCTGCATTATTTTATTTTGCAGTGTTCCAAGAATGGCCTTAAACTGAACAGGCCTTAAGTTCAATATGTTAATTTTCCTCTAGTATGTTGAAGAGTCATGTCAGTCATAGCATAAAGTCAACCTCTTTTAATAACATCTCGTCATCAGAAATAGAACAGTAATGTTAATTAAATCATCATGTGACATTCTGACACATAATTTGATACTGTAATACAAATGACATTTGATTATTGTGAGCTAAAAGATGTAGTAGAAATAGGCAAATAAGCCTTTGATTGAACCGGATGGAATTACAGTTGAACTAGATAGAAGCAAACAACGAAGTAGTGCTTTATTTCCCCTGCTTTAATTACTGCCTTCTGCTTGTGTCTTTTTTCATGTTTGTGAAACACATGTTCTGCTTGAAATTGCTGGAATTGTAGTTCAGCAACATCTGGTAGTCATGGATTTCTTGTTCTTGTTGTATGATGCTTATACTGAGTTTTTGTAAATGGCTCAGAGCTTATGGAAATTGAGTGGCATAGGCCTTTTTAGTAAATAAATAACACTGCCAGAGAACCTAATGATATGCAGATCTTTCAGAATTTTAACTCTTCGTTGAATAAGTCATGCATCCAGATCTACACCACTTAACAGCTCTTATCCTGAGATGTTCCAGACAAGTTTCCAGGAAGATATTTTTCTGATATTGATTGGTTGGTACAATAGGGAATAGTCCCCCTAAACTGCACTTGTGATGACCTAAGTCATTGCTTTAGAATTTATAAAATATCTCCTCTCTTTTGTGGGTCCTAGCTCAGGGATAAATGGTGTGCATCTCCTCCCAGCCTCAACCAAAATAATAATAATGATGATGATGATAATGATGTTGGAAGGGATCTTGGAGGTCATCTAGTCCAACCCTCTGCTCAGGCAGGAAACCCTACACGGCTGGCTCAGGAATTCTGGGAGTTGAAGTCCACAAGTCATAAAAGGGCCAAGGTTGCTTACCCCTGGCTTACAGCAATATACATGCATAGTCATAGAACTGTGAAGCTGAAGTGCAAAACTCAGCCTTGGCTCCCTTGAAAATTTTGGAGAAGTAAAATTATCTTTGTAAATGCGTATTGACAGTAATCCAGGAGGGCTGGAAATAGATGTTAAAACAATATAATTAGTATTTGGCTTTATTTCCAACAATTTCTTTTGATTTCCTAGGCTGTAACAGTACGGAATTCCATGGCCAAATCATTGTACAGCGCCCTGTTTGATTGGATCGTGTTTCGAATTAACCATGCACTTTTGAATACCAAGGACTTGGAAGAAAGCACCAAGGTATGTCTTTTTCAAGAAAGTCCTGTCTATAGTTGACTCAGCTGACTTAGGTTTCAGGCTGGTTAAGCACACTGTCACAGAGAAGCAGCATTTTTAGAGAAGGTCCATTTGAGCATTTCCCCTTAAAATATAAAACAGAAATAATCACACATAAGCTCACTTACTTTTTGGAGAGGTTTAGTAATAGTAGTAAAGTTGGAAGGGACCTTGGAGGTCATCTAGTCCAACCCCCTGCTCGGGCAGGAAACCCTACACCATTTCGGACAAATGGCTGTCCAGTCTCTTCTTAAAAACTTCCAGTGTTGGAGCATTTACTGCTTCTGGAGGCAGGCTGTTCCACTGATTAATTGTTCTCACTGTCAGGAAGTTTCTCCTTAGTTCTAGGTTGCTTCTCTCCTTGATTAGTTTCCACCCTTTGCTTCTTGTCCTGCCTTCAGGTGCTTTGGAAAATAGCTTAATTCCCTCTTCTTTATGGCAGCCCCTGAGATATTGGAATACTGCTATCATGTCCCCCCTTGTCCTTCTCTTCGTTAAACTAGACATACCCAATTCTCGCAACCGTTCCTTATATGTTTTAGCCTCCAGTCCCCTAATCATCTTTGTTGCTCTTCTCTGTACTCTTTCTAGTACAGATGACCTGTAAATGACCTGACAGCTGAAAGTTAAGGTTGAAAATAAACCAGAGATTAAATTGTGAGTGGTTTATTATTTGTAAGTTGTTTCATCTTAAAAAAAAGAAAAGCAGCTTACAATTTAAAAATTACTCACTTAACAGTTGAGTTGCCATCCACTCCGTGGCAAAATCTCACCGACATAGAGCTAATTGTTGATCCCCATAGAACAGAGGTGGGGAACGATGGCCCTTTTATGACTTGTGGACCTCAATTCCCAGAATTCATGGCTGGCTCAGGAACTCTGGGAGTTGAAGCCCACAAGTCATAAAGAGGCCATCATCCCCCTCCTTCCCCCCCCCCCCCCGTAGAGGATCCTTCTTATGCATTGTTTTCACGAATACACCATGCGATCGAAAACTGGATGACCTGTCCACTTGGGGCAACTGTCTGATAATACATTACATATTCTGGAAGGATTTCACACACTGCCTTTTGTATACACACAACTTTTATAGCATTAGGTGCAGTGATGGGACCTAATGGGAAGGGAAAAACTGCCTTCCATACGGAAGCCTGTTCTGATATAAAGCCACCAATCCAGCCCAGTTTTTTCCTGGGCTAAATAATGTAGATCACTTTGTGCCTCAGTGATTACTGTTTGCTGAGCATGGTTTGAATTATTGACATAGGATTAATTCCTCCATTTTCTCCGGTTTTATTTGAAAGATTGCAGTAATTATTCTCAGATGTCGTAAGACTGTAAGCTCACAATGTTCTTTCACCGTTCAGTGTTTAATGCGGAGTTTTTCTGCCTATACCAATTCAGCTGGGGTTATGCACTCAATGCTCCCCAAGCAGATAACTACGATGTTCGGCACTTAGCAGACGGCAAATAAATCCCAACTGCTCAAATTTAGGACAGATCATTGTTCAGACTTAATATAAAACTTGCTTATATAATGCCAATGAACCTCTATGCCACAGAAACCCGCTGCTTTGCAGAATGAATTCTATATAGTATGTGCTGGTTTAATTTTCTTGTTATAGAAGCTTTTATTGCATAGCAAAACATTCAGGTTTTTTCACTCCTCCCACCCAGTTGCTTTTCTCTTTTTTAAAAAGCTTTAATAAAATCTGTGGCACCAAATTAGCAGTATTTTTTTTTACCCTATTATATCTACATTTTTACATTAAAAGCTTACATGCAGATGATGAGAACTTTTACCTTTTTTTGGTGTTCAATTCATATACATTCTTTTGCGCCAGTATGTGCTTGTACCTTTATAAGGCAAAGAAGCTCACTTTTTAAAAAGCTCCTCTCTTTCTCCAGCCGAATGCACGGACATGTGCAAAAACGTTCTAAATTAATTTGTTGTTGTTTTAACCACTTAGTTGTGTCTGACTCTTGGCGACTTTATAGGCAAGTGCTCTCCGTGCTAATTAATTACTCAGAAAATAAATCTAAAGAATTTTATTTGGTTCCAAAAGACTAGACTAGAAATAGCAAAGACTAGACTAGAAATAGCAAAGAGCTCAGCCTTAAAACCTGGAAATGTGATTGTTTGGGAATTAAATAATAAATGTTAAAAGCTTTTGAACCTCATAGTAGTGTATGATTTTTGTGCTCAGTACAAGTCCTACAGTAGCTTGTCTTGGAAAATATCTATGGCATTTATCATTTTATTTAAATTTTACTCTGGGTGAAAATAGTTCCTGGGATTAGTAAGGCCTCCACCTATTAGCTATTAACCACCTATCTAGTGGAGTATGCTTCCTGGTAATTGCAGTTTCTCTGAGAAGTAGGCTAAAAGGCCTCATGCCAGAAATAATATGGGATGAGGGAGAGGTCTGGTAATTAGTGATATATTTTATTTAGGCCTGCACTTACTTTCAAGATCAGTTAAAGCACATAGTCTACAGTGCTGAGGTTCAAAGAACCACATAGGGCTACCGTACGATGGATGGAAAGCTTAGGTTGGAATCTTCGACCTTTTCCAAACAACGGAGGCACTGACAATGGTTGCAAATACCGTAACAACTTTTTTAATTACATGACCCCGGAAGTTCAAGTCTTAAATGCAGAATGTCTGTTTTCTTTGTCTTGCAGACTTTGTCCATTGGAGTACTTGATATTTTTGGTTTTGAAGATTATGAAAGTAATAGCTTTGAACAATTTTGCATTAATTTTGCAAATGAACGTTTACAGCACTATTTTAACCAGCATATCTTTAAACTGGAGCAAGTAAGCCTGGAAAAAAAAAACCTATTTTTATTTTTGTATGATTGTTTCCCATAATGTAACTTAACTATATTCCCCTTCCTTTTACTGTAACAACTTGGACCTCAAGATGATACAGTCCCTTGATCTCAACATTCCTACCGCTTTTTCCCTTTTCAATAGCTCTTCTTCTCAGTTAGGATTAAACCTAAGAGATCCTATATCTTTTGTTCCTTCAGCCCTTTGGAAAATGAAACAGTCAGCAAGACTACTGAGGGACTTGTGGGGCCTTGCATTCTTGGGCAAGTTAGTTTTCCAAAAGATGCCCGCATAATTAAACGTCTCCCATTATATGAGGGAATGTTGGGTTGACTCAGAGAAAGAGGAGGAAAATGCCAAGCCAATGCAGAAAGGATCTTTGAGTCCTGAGAAAAAAAAAGAAACAGTGAGAAAAAGATTTAAAACAAGCCTACCTTTATTGTGTTAGACATAAGCTTGAAGTAAGAGGGACTGTGATAGGCTTTCAGGATTATATTATAATAGCCCAACTGCATTAAAGTACATTCCAAGACTCCTATTTCCTGGCTATCTTGAAAGGCGAATACATTATTATTATATCTCTCCTCCCAAAATTCCTATAAGCGGTCCAAGAATGTATTTTCCACATCTGCTTGGCTTCAAAGTCAATAGCACATGCCACAGAAATATCATTGACTGCCCTTCAAATATAGGCTTGCTCAGTCTTAACAGCAGGTGGCCTGATTTTTCCCTGCATAGAATATGGACGGGCAGCTTGAAATCCAAAGACCACATGGCTACATCTGGAGCAGCCAAGAGTTTCTCACTCCTGCCACACGATGAGCTAGCCCAGTGATGGCGAACCTTTTAGAGACCGAGTGCCCAAATTGTAACCCAAAACCCATCGTCGGGTGCCGGGTGGGCCATTGGGTGGGTGTGGCCCATTGGTTGGGCGTGGCTGCCGTGGTAATGGCAGACTGGGTGGGACTAAAAAGTGCAATCAATCAATTCTAACTTTGCAATATTTTTTTTCCCGCCAGAGGTTGAAATTGACTGATTGATTGAACCTTTTTTTTTTTTTTTGCACACGGCAGTGGAGGTCTAAAGTGAAAAGGTTTTATAAAACCCAGCTGAAGGCTTAGGACTGACCCACAGAGAGGGCTCTGAGTGCCGCTTCTGGCACCCGTGCCATAGGTTCGCCACCACTGAGCTAGCCAATGAGAGATGGATTAATGCAGGGGTGTCCAACCTCACCAACGTTAAGTTCGTAGACTTCCAACTCCCAGAATTCCCTAGCCAACAATTGAAATTCACCGGTCTTAAAGTTGCCATGCCCCCTGTCCATGTTCATGTGTTTCTGTGGCCATTAGCGACCAGAACTAAATTACATTTTAGTCAACTAAGAGCAGCAATTAGCCTATAATCTGCAGTTATATAGAAATATGGGAGAGGCAGGGAAAGAGTACATGTGAAGGTACATGAATATATATGGGGGGCGGGGAGGGGCTTCCAATACCAGATTCAAATTTATGTGACCTGGAGGTCAAAATGTCTATGACTAGTTTGTTTTACAGTTGCTTGGATTGTAGACTTAATTTATTTTTCTCCAAACACCAGGAGGAATACAGACTGGAAGGCATCAGCTGGCACAACATAGACTACATCGACAACTCTGGCTGTATAAACCTCATCAGTAAAAAGCCCACAGGGTTGCTCCATCTACTGGATGAAGAAAGCAAGTGAGTCTTCTCCCTCCCAACTTTGTAGTTATCAGAGGCTAGATGTTGGAAGTGAGTCACAGCATAAAAGGAGAAAATAAAATAAGAAACGTTTGCATGTTTGAAAGCTATCTGTATGGTAAGATAGGCAGATTCATTTGATCAGACTACTTGTATGGGGTCAGAGCAGGACCATTCGTTTATCTGTATAGGACTGGGGTAGGCAACCTTGGCTCTTTTATGACTTGTGGACTTCAACTCCCAGAATTCCTGAGGCAGCTGTGCTGAGGGGAAAGGGAGAGGTTTCCAAGCTGAGCCATGCTGGCTTAGGAATTCTGGGAGTTGAAGTCCACGAGTCATAAAAGAGCCAAGGTTGCCTACCCCTGGTATAGGACAATTCAGAGCCGGGACAAACATTTCAAACATAATTCTAGAAGCAGAGCAGTACCCAGAGTTAAAACAGTTTCAACTCTGGGTACTGGTGTGCTTCTAGAATTATAACTTATTGAGCTGGATTTTTTCCAACTATATATAATTGCCAAGGTGAAATAGAAATGGCATTTTCTACACTGATTCAAAGTACAGAGCATCCAAGGATAGCCTGGCTATGTTTGTGCTGGAAATTTTTTAAAAAATCCCATAAAATAACATAAATTGAGTAATTAAATAAGTAGCGATTCACTGCCCTTCCATGAAACTTAAACATTATTGGCCTGTTGGATTTGACTCTTTTTCCTTGATTAGAATCAAAGAAGAAACTAACAGTGGCAATTTTTCCCCATATGTCACATTTGTAATGAGGCCTGAATAACACAGCCTAGCTAGGGTGGTACATTTATGAAGTTATGTGTATGGACTAGTGTTTCTCAACCTTGGCTACTCTAAGATGCTGACTGGGGAATTCTGGGAAATGAAGTCCACATTTTTTAAAATGGCCAAGATTGAGAAACACTGGTGTAGACTAGTGGGGAATGAGCCCCCCAAGGGAAAATACTGAGTTAAAAATCAATGTTGCAATTGTAAAAAAAAAATAAAATAGCTTGAATAAACGAATTATTTTTTTTATTTGCTAACAGAGGCCTCAGGGATTTTTTTCTTTATAATAAAATTGTGTCCAGTTTACACAAATGTCTATAAAGTTGGTCCAAGATATTAGAAGACCACTGTGCAGTGGCTGAAATGATGCTATCTTGGAACCATTTTCCTGTTTTTTCATCGAAAAATTATATTCTCTCATTAAATTTGGGAACAAAATTAGTTTAATTCATGAAGATATCTTACTCTCTATAAAAAGTATTATTTAGTGTAGTGTTGTAAATCATATTTTTCCAAAATACTAATTAATTTAGGACCTGAATAGAGTAATTGAAATTTGAACTTTCAGAAGTTTTTTTTTATAATAGTTCCTATTTTTATAATAGTTATGATTTGGATTATGTATCAGTGAAAAACATTAATGTTCCTCTTTTATTTCAGTTTCCCACAAGCAACCAATCAGACGTTACTAGACAAGTTTAAGCGTCAGCATGAAGGAAATCTCTACATAGAATTTCCTGCTGTAATGGAACCTGCCTTTATCATAAAACACTATGCCGGGAAAGTTAAATATGGCGTGAAGGTCTGTAACTTCATCTCTACTAACAATTTATTTTAAAATATATATTAATCCCTTTGGTTAACACCTAAAAATCACAATAATGCCTAGAGATGTCCATACTGATCCAAAAAGTGCTAGTTTAGCACTTGGATGATAGAAACATTGTTTTAATTATTACAAGTTTTCAATTTGTATTTGTTCTGTCTTTCTATACCACCTGGCCTTATGAAACATATAAAATACATTTTATTCAATATCACTTGTTGTCTTTCTTCTGCTTCAATGTTTCTCAACCTTGGTCAGTTTAAGAAATGAGAACTTCAACTCTCAGAATTCCCCAGCCTGGTTGGAGAATTCAACTTCCAGAATTTGAAGTACACGCATCTTAAAGTGACCAAGGCTGAGAAACCTTGCCCTGATTTATTTCCTATTTAACATTATATTTGATTGCTTGTCCTTGTTTTTGGTTTGAAGGAGACTGCTCCATATTAGAATGGGAAGGTACGGCTAGAAAATCTAGGGCAGTAGTGACGAACCTATGGCACGGGTGCCAGAGGCGGCACTCAGAGCCCTCTCTGTGGGCACGCGCACCGTCGCCCCACTCCTAGGCCTTCAGCTGGGTTTTATAAAACTTTTTCACTTTAGGCCTCCGCCATGTATATAAAAAAAAAAAGGTTCAATGAGTCAATTTCAACTTCTCGCGGGAAAAAAAAAGATCTTGCAAAGTTGGAATTGATTGATTGAACTTTTTAGTCCCACCCAGTCTGCCGTTACCACTGCAGCCACGCCCAGCCAATGGGCCACACCCACATGGCACCCGACGATGCATAAGTGGGTTTGGGGTTGTAGTTTGGGCACTCGGTCTCTAAAAGGTTTGCCATCACTGATCTAGGGTCTTAGTTGAGCCTATCTGCAATAGCAAGAGCTTTCCAATCTGGACATGTCAGAATCTGAACCTTTTTCCTGCATAGTTTGGATTTGACCACTGAGCTAATTATCCTCAATAAACAATTATAAGAGTTGGTTGAAGACACGGGAGCTTGATAGGGACATACTGAGAGAACACTCCTGATCTTGAATGAGTTTAGATCTTGAGAGTCACCGCTTAAGAAAAGTGATGATCTCCTTCATTTTTGTTATTTATTTATTAAATTTAAATGCTGCCTCTTTTGCCGTTTGAGGCCACTCTTCATCGGGTATGTTCAAGCAGAGGTTGAAGAGGTATCTGTTGGGAAACTTTAAAGTAGATTTCAGAACAAAGCAGAAGATTTAATTCAGTGACCTGAATTACCTCTTACAGTTCTAAGATTGTTTAAAAAAAATCAGGCAAGATCAGAAGAGCTTAGTATTTGAACAATTCCAGTGGGAGACTTGTGGGACAGTCCAAGATAGTACGATAGACTAAGACAGAGGTAGGCAACCTTGGCTCTTTTATGACTCGTGGATTTCAACTCCCAGAATTCCTGAGCCAGCATGGCTCAGCTTGGAAACCTCTCCCTTCCTCCTCAGCATGGCTGGCTCAGGAATTCTGGGAGTTGAAGTCCACGAGTCATAAAAGAGCCAAGGTTGCCTATCTCTGGCCTAGGCCTAGGCCGCTTTATGACTCGTGGATTTCAACTCCCAGAATTCCTGAGCCAGCATGGCTCAGCTTGGAAACCTCTCCCTTCCTCCTCAGCATGGCTGGCTCAGGAATTCTGGGAGTTGAAGTCCACGAGTCATAAAAGAGCCAAGGTTGCCTATCTCTGGCCTAGGCCTAGGCCGCTTTATGACTCGTGGATTTCAACTCCCAGAATTCCTGAGCCAGCATGGCTTAGCTTGGAAACCTCTCCCTTTCCCCTCAGCATGGCTGGCTCAGGAATTCTGGGAGTTGAAGTCCACGAGTCATAAAAGAGCCAAGGTTGCCTACCCCTGGACTAAGAAGTAAAAAAAAAAAAAGTTCTGAAAATACTATTTAAAATAGTTAAGGAAAATAATAAGACCGTGCTAAGCTCTGCTTCTCTTCTTCTTTCTCGTCAGGACTTCCGGGAAAAAAATACAGATCATATGCGACCTGACATTGTTGCTCTCCTACGGAGCAGCAAAAGTGCCTTTATCTGTGGAATGATAGGGATCGATCCCGTTTCTGTGTTTCGCTGGGCTGTCCTCAGAGCGTTCTTCAGAGCTGTGGTTGCCTTTAGAGCTGCTGGTCAGAAGTACATTGAGAAAAAAACGGGTACGTATCAAGCGAGATGGGGAGCGTATCAATTTAACAAACGAATATTGCATTCTGGTCTCCAAAGTGGCCGTCTTTCTTGGATTCTTTCTAGATGCTATATTTTTTTGAGCAATTTCTATCTTCCAGTCTGCTACTTTAAGAAATAGTCAAAACAATCTTTAAAACATACATTAAAAAGATTCCAAAGATTTTGGCATAAGAAAAAGGAAAAACATGTTATAAAGTATAAAAATATAAGATCATAAATATTCAGGGTGATTTTTGAGTGTCGTTGTTGAGAAGTACAATGTGCAGAGGATGTTTCAAGCTGTAGAATAGTGATGTTAGATTTAATTCATTAGGATGTTATTTGGTTTAAATTTATTGTTTATTACTGTTAGAACAGCCAATTGTTTGTTTAATTTGTTTGTACCAACTGTTTGTTTATTGTTTCCTAGAAAGTTTGCTGGCTATTGTGAACTTGAGTATAGCTATATCCTTTCTCAGGTTTTCTAGAAAACTCCACTTGTACTCTATAAAAAGTCAATTTGTAGCCCCATATAGACAAATATTTTTATTAGATGAATGGGGGAGAAAATTCAGAAACTAATTTTTGTCAATGATTTAAGACGGTTAAGATTTAAACTGTACTTTCTCCTATGTAAGCAAATTGGTAAGCAGTGTTTTTTTTTTCTTTTCAAAGTTGAAATCTAGTTTGAAACAAATGTAGTTGTTTTAAAAATTGGCACTTGGAGAGGATCACACAGGATGCACAGAAATTCCATTGCATTGTATGGTTAGAATATGTAAACATTTACACAAAAGAGAATGTTTCAAATAAATCTCTGGCATTTCCATAAACTTCATAGAATACAAATTTCGCGAGTATGCTTATAAATTGTATGTAATAAAGTCTAGCAGCTGTTAATTTGGAAACAGAGTAAATACGTTCTTGCATGAACATCTGGTGTTCTTTTTAATAAGTTTCACTTCTTACAAGCATGTGTTGTTTGGCAGTCATGTTTAAGAAACCATTGTTACAGAAAATCTTTGTAGCAGAGGGGTCTATGGGCTCAAAAATCAAGAATAAGGGCTTTGCACTACTTTCACATCAGCATAAATATTCATGTGCACTTTCTCTAAATATGTACACAAAGTAGTTGTTTTGTTGTGAGCATTTGCTGGGAAACTGTAACTGACCCAAATTTCTTGGTGTAGGTCCAACTAGTAACATGGCATTCATGTTTTGTAGCTGTGTTCTCTTAACAAGAATTTTGGTAAGAGAAATGTCATATGAGAAACAAACCTGATTCTCATTAGTAGAAGGTACTAATGGTTCCCTAGCCAATTATTTCCAATTTCTTATTTCTGACATGTGTTCAGAAGATGTTGCCTTCAACTATTGCGAGTGGACACAGATTATTTCAGCATAAGTTACAAAGTTTTGCTTTGAAGCCATACAAAACCAGTCAGTCCATCTGCAGCTCTAGCAAGGCAAATTCCTTGCTAAATATTGTATGCCACAAAGTTATTTACTTCCTCCATTTCTTTTTTTTTCTTATTGTCACATGCACCAAACTAAGGGATGTAAAGTAGAAAAAAAAAGGATATAAGTTTTATGGTAGACTTTTCCCCTTTCTTATGTTTTTATTTTCCTTTTTGGCACTGGTCACTGGTCACAATAAAGTTTGTTCTGATTTTATCAAATAATGCAATATAGGGAAAGAGTTCCAATGAATAGATACTATGTTTCATAAGGAAAAAAAACACTAGATGTGCTCTTTAAAATGTGAATTGTTACTTACTAATTATTAGCTTGATCACAGAGGAACTTAGCAGTTATGCTCCTCTCCTGTGGTTTTCTTATGCTAAGAACTTCTTTTTTTTTCATCTTTATATATAAAATTTAATACCATAATATATATTGATGAAAGTGGCTTTAGGAAAGAAAAACAGTTTTAGAAAGGAGGTAGTTCTAAATACAGAAGAGGCAAAGAATTCTTAATTTTTTTTTAATGCTTTCCTTGCCTGCCACTTTTTCTTTGAAAATTCCCTTCCTTCTAGAATTCGTATGTTTGGGATGGGATTTGTAAGTGGATATTCTATAAACCTGTACCGAAATGTAAAGGAATTCTTAATGATGTGCATGCATCTTCTCCGTTAAAAAGAGCCCGTCTGCAGGTTTTCCCCCCTGGAACCAGCAGCTCTTAAAATAGATGGGGGGGTTTATATAGCGTACGTAGGAAAAACCTCTCTCCACGGAACCAGTCCCTGCTGCTCAAAAGACCGGGGGGGGGGGAGCTTCTGATCTGAGGGGTCTAAGCACAGTTGAGATAACTTGATTTTAGTTCTTGCACCTGACCTTCCGATACGAACGTTCTGTATGCTGTTTTTACTGTACATTTCTCCTCTTCCTCCTTCTTCACAAAAGGTGTATATCTGGTTTTAGATTGTGTCAATTGATATACGTTACCTCCAGGTTAAAAGATTGCCTCAAGGCTTTTTTAAATTTCCCTCTAAAATCTACGTAAGGTAATTTAGACCAAATACGGGAAGTATCTCATGCCCATGTCTGGTTTTCATGTTATTGTTGTTGCTGTTCAGTGTGCACTTGTGAAAACAGATTTGGGTTGAAATATTAATATTAATTTGCAATGTTGCTTCTGAAGTACTTGTGTTCTTATAGCATCCTTTTTCGTATTTGTGCATTTGTGGTAAAATCTGAGAATATAGAATCAGTCATGTGTTATTGTCAGCAATGTGCTTAATCCACTGAGTTTGTAAATAATATCGTATATTATATTGGCAGGTTGTGCCTTGATAGCTGAAGGTAATTTTTTTCCACATTATTTTCTATTCAGAAAAGCAATCCATGAAAATCTAATGATTTCTCAAATAAGAAAGTCAAATTCCAAAATGAATATCAGATGATTAATTCCATAATCACCAACTTTCAAGATTTATAATGATTACAATATATTTTAAAATCACAGGTTTGGACATGATTAGCACCTCTGGGATGTCTCTGGTCTGGAATCATCTTCTTTTTAAATCTTTTTGTCTTCAGCGTTTTGTCAGCATCATGCAACTATTGTCTTTGGCATTTGGTTTGTCTTTCTCTTCTGGGCTGTTTTTGTGCTGCTCCAGTGTTTCTGCCAGTTCAGATCTAAAGACACAACAGCTGGATCTACAGGACACCCATGCTACACCACAAATGGCTGTTTCTGCCTTTATTGGGTTATGTATTCTACCCATTGTAGCAGGGGTCCTCAACCTTGGCAACTTTTAAGACTTGTGGACTTCAACTCCCAGAATTTCTCAGCCAGCAATGCTGGAGTTGAAGTCCACAAGTCTTAAAGTTGCCAAGGTTGAGGACCCCTGCATTATAGTTTGTAACTTAAAGTGATGTGTGAATCCGACTAGTGATTTAACCAAGAAAAAGAAAACTGCTGGAACTGGTATCATCAGTTGCCATTTCCAAATGATATGAATTAAAGAGGGCTATCTTGAAATACGTGATCAAGTATGCAGGATGAATTTACAATAATCGTGTCAGAGATGGCCAATTTGGTGGAGCGGTTAAAAGTACCAGACTACAAACCAGGGATCTCTTAAGTACTAGTCCTGTTTTAGGCACAAAAGCAGCTGGATCTCTCTCTCTCTCTCTCTCTCTCTCTCTCTCTCTCTCTCTCTCTCTCTCTCTCTCTCTCTCTCTCTCTCTCTCTCTCTCTCTCTCCTACTCCCTCTCCCTCGGTCCCTCCCTCCTTCCCTCCCTCTCTCTCTCTCAGCCCCTAGAACAGGGGTAGGCAACCTCGGCTCTCACTCAGGAATTCTGGGAGTTGAAGTCCATGAGTCATAAAAGAGCCAAGGTTGCCTACCCGTGCCCTAGAAGAAGATAGCAATGGCAAACCAATTTCAAAAACGTTGCCAAGAAAACTATGGGATTGTCAAGGCAGACTCAAGGCAATCTAAATTAGCTTTGTAGACTTCAAGATAGTCAACATAAATGCCTTCAAAGCTCATAACATGCACAGTACCAGCACTTTTGGAATCCTTTCTGCTTCACGTGAGAATTCTATACTTCAAATTGAAAAGCCAGTCTTATTTGAGCTGTACTGAAGGAATTTCAGTTTGTTTCCCTGGCTACCATTTGATCTACCGCTTCCAGCCTGCATAGGTTTTCCTTTTGAGTCCTACCTGAAGGATTTCTTGCAGATAAGGCACGCAGTTAAAATTGGTCTAACGTTTTATATCTCAGCTGCAAAATTTGACATTTCCAGCTTAGAATTATAAGCTCACTGAATATGATTCTTGCAAGTCAAGCATGAGCAGACAATCTGTAATTGGAACTGGTGGGTTTGTGGCTAAAAGTTCCATGTGTTAAAGAGCACTGCGGAAATGTATAATTGGTTTTGATCGCCCCAAAATTGATGCATTTATACCTGATGCTGAACTCCTTTTAAGCATCAGGAATTATGATATACAGATATTTGATTAAAACTTTTAACAAAATACACGTTACAATGTGCAGCTCTCTTTCCATGTCATTTATAGCTTATGAAAACTGCCTAGGCCAGGTTAAACCACTCCAGCTACAGTGTTACCTTTTCTGTTTTTAAATTATCCTTGAAAGACTCTAGAGCAGGGGTATCCAACCTTGACAACGTTAAGACTTGTGGACTTCAACTCCCAGAATTTTGGGAGTTGAAGTCCACAGGTCTTCCCATTGCCAAGGTTGGACACTCCTTCTCTAGGGTTCATTTTACATTTCTTCGATAAATAACACGCTTTGTCCATTCACCAGAACTGCTGGAAGCAGTAAAAGGGCAGAATGGAGCCATGAGTTTTGAAACAGTCTGTGTCAGTCAGCCATTGTCCGCGCTTGTTCTTGACTCTTCTTTGGTTTCTGCTTATGTAATCTTTCTCTTTTTTTCCATGTTTTTGTTTTGCTTCCCGAAGGGCATGATGATGCGGTTTTGAAAAATGTGGATAGTTTTAGCTTTCTTCATCACCCTGTTCATCAGAGGAGCTTAGAGATTCTACAGAGATGCAAGGAGGAGAAGTACAGTAAGGCGCCATATACCACCATCTCTCTGACATGACACTCACACACAGCAGGAAATGGAAACCAGGAGCAGACTGTGTTAGTGAGGATGGGCCGTGCTTAGAATGACCTAACACAGCAGACCTTAAATGGTGTGAAATGATAAACCAAGGAGAACTTGGAAGGTAGTTTTAGATTCAAGGATTTTCTAGGCAAGGTGAGCAGTAGAAAGTAGCTGTTGATGCCCTGAACCATACCTTAATTGCAAACCCATCTGCAGTATTTGAACCATTTGGTCAAAATAATTATTGATTATTTCCCATAGTTTCCGGAGATTGGCTCAAAATTCTTCTATCGCTGCGGCCTTTAGAGTAAAAGAAGGAGATGCTAAAGGAAGAATTTGCTGAAAGGCATTAAATCTGTATATATATATAGAGAGAGAGAGCCAGAATCTTTTAGCAGAATCTGACCATATTTTCATCCCCCTTTCTCCTCCTTTTATACAATAACATTTACCTAGGATTGAACAGCTTTAGTACAGCTTACATGAAACCGGTAAGCTGTCACGAGAACTCCTTTCATTCTAGAGAATGGCAAAGATGCCCTTGGTCTCCATTTCCTTCTCCTCACTTCTGTATGTTACATAATGAACTAGTCCTGCATGAAAACCAGGCCCCCCTTGCCTTTGTTACTAATGATGGCTGGATTCCTGTTGTGGGAGGAGAAGGGGTCCAGCAGCATGAAACATAACCCCCTCTGCCATAAAAGAGTAGCGCATGGTGTTTCAGTGTATCAGCTACATTGGGAGCCTACCGGAGTGCACCATGGCGCTAACTTGCTCATTAAGCAGCTTTGCTTACGCCATCGCAAGATGACTTCATTTGAATGACTGTCTGCCTCATCGCTGCTCTTCAGAAAGGGGCGGCTAGATTTGATATCCAAGGTGTATAGGAACAAATGCAGATTTTTATTTTTATTTTTTGGGGTCAATTGTTCCAGAAAGCCTATTATTGCTTTCCTTTCCTTCTTTGAGTATAAAGGTTGGTAGCAAATGACATATCGCTGTTTATATTAATATAGAAAATGCCTGTCTCTCATGTATATCTTGAATATATCCTGGAGTGCCATCTCCCGCAAAGATGGGTGCTCTGTGTGAAGAGGATGTACTGTAGATGGTAAGTCTTGATGTAGGAGGATTTCTTTGCTTTTGAAATGGAACAGGAGAGTAATTTTAGGGGTTTTATATAACCTTTTCTGACTGTATTTCTAATTCGAAAATGCATCTGAATAAAACTACATAAGAATTGGTCTGCTAGTCCCTATAAAAAGTCCATCTAATCCAGGGGTCCTCAACCTTGGCAACTTTAAGACTTGTGGACCTCAACTCCCAGAATTCCTCAGCCAGCTGTGTAATTCTGGGAGTTGAAGTCCACAAGTCTTAAAGTTGCCAATGTTGAGGACCCCTGATCTAATCTAACATGGAGAGCTTGAAGCCAACAATCGGGTTATGGTGGTTTTTTTTTGTATTTAATATTAAATAAAATAAAATGTAAAGAGACTCAATTATCATTATGGTAAATAGCTATTGATCAAACTATTCATGAAAGTAAACCAAGCATCAGAGTTGGTAGCTATTGCCTTATGGTACAATAACAAAATCTAGCAAGTTGTACAGTATTTAATCCGAAAATGTACTTGTTTATCGTCCAGGTCTACTCCTAATTAAGCATTGAATTCTAGGGCTCAATATGGAAACTTTATCACTTTTTATGCGGTTCAAAATCTTGAAAAGAAAATTAGGTTGTCACCCTATTTATCAGGTTTTTGAGCCAGAAATTCCTAGTTACCTGAGCTCAGTGGTGACGAACCTATGGCACGGGTGCCAGAGGCGGCACTCGGAGCCCTCTCAGTTTTTGGGCACTTGGTTTCTAAAAGGTTCACCATCACTGCCTTAGCTCTTAGTCTTCTCCAGCCTGATGTCCTTCCACCCTATTCCCCATCATTTTGACAATGGCCCATGCAGTAAAGGTTTTAGTTCTGCAGGCCTGGAGGGAAGAGAGTTGCTGGGAGGGTACCAATTTGGAGACTTCTTCCATTGTTTTTTACTCATCCTGATTCTACAGCATCCTTTTTTGAGGTCAAGCAACCAACATTCTATACTTATTGTATAACAACATTAAAATATTGTCTGGCTGACTCTGTTTTTGTACTTACACTGAGGTTCAGTGGTTTTGATACAAGACTCAAGTTTTCTAAAGCTTACTGTAACCATTGCATTTTTCTGTTAAGTAAAATTACCTGCTTTCTGCCAAGCTATGAAGTTTGCAGTTTACCTCCTAGATTGCAGAAAATTGGCTTTCCATGTGGGTAAATGCATAACGAAATAAATTATGATTGGCATAATCTGAGAAGTTGCTACTCTTCGTTCCTCTGAATATACCTATGACTTGCTTAGGTTTTTACTACTTTGGAATCATCAAATGTCTTCTGCAGACTTAGCTGTATCGTTACCAATTTCAAATTAATGGACCTAGCATAGATATTTGCAGAGACCTTCCTTTCTGTTTTGTCCATCTCATCTCTTCTGGCTCTCTGTTAATAGACACAGATTGATAAGAGAATGTGTCCCTTAACTCCTGATTTTGAATTTTCTTACAGCCTATTAATAATCTCCTTCATTAAAGTATGCATGAACTATATTATTCATGCATTAGATCAGGGATCCCCATCATCTGGGCTGCAGCCCACTAGTGGGCCATGAGCTGTTTGCAACCGGGCTGCAGAAACGGGCGAGCATATGCACAAGCAATGGGCGAACACATGCACACATGCTCCATTTGCATGAGAGGTGGGCGCGCATGGACCTTGCTCGCGCAAATGGAGCTGCGTGCGTGCGCTTGCCGGCCACTCACATGGAACAATCCTCTCCCCCCCCCCCATTGGTCTACAAAGCCAGAAATGCTGGGGACATCTGCATTAGATTATACATGTTGGTTTAAAGGCTACAAAGGAATAGTGAATTCATTTTAAGGTGTGAAAGTGACTACTTCCTAAGAAAATTAGGAATTACAGTTTTACTATGTTGGTTTACTTAGATGAGTACAATAAGATTTAAACCTAATGTTTTAGTTTGTTGACTCATTTCATGTAATAATACGTTTTTGATTATCACAGACAGATTTATAACTTTTCAGTTGGAATTGTTACTAATGAAAAGCTTGAGTCAGAGAAAACAGTTACAGCTCTGTCTCAGGTTTTTTTTTTTTTTTTTTTTTTTTTTGCTCTTCTTCTCCAGATCTTTGTAGTAAAAAATAAGCAGTAATATTTAGCTGGGGAAAAAAAATTCATTTCAGTTGATAGTTGTAAGTCCTGTCCCATTTTATATATTAGCTAATTTATTTTGAGAGCAAAAAAAAAAAAAAAAAGCTGCATGAAATTCACTGATTCTCAAAACTACAATCTACTTTTTAATATCAGGAAACCCCTATAGCAACAAAACCTGAAAATAGCAGTAATTGTTATTGTAGAGTGTGGGGGGGGGGGCGGTATTCTAAACATGTAATTCATAGAAGAGTAAATTAGTGGCACTGCTACAACAATTGTTGTCTAGAAATCTTTACAGGAACTGTGTCTTTTCCCAAATGCTCTGCAGCTATTATATGATCCCTTGAAAACACACAGTTACTTTAGAGTTAAGACAAGGGTCTATGTTAGGCCTCTGTAACACCTTTATGGAATGTTTATTTTCTTTTTATATTTATATGTAATATAAATATCTGCCTCTCTTTTTCTCCCTGTACTGTTTACCTTTTCTTTTTTATATTCATCATACTTTGTATTAGCTTTTTATCTTTGTATTTTGAAACTTCAATTAAAAGTATTATTTTAAAAAGAAAGTGAAATTCTGTTCAACCTGTGAACTAGACTAGTACCACAGTTAAGAAGGCTTTGGAGGTTGGAGGTGCAATATGAATAGAAGCTTGTGGTTTTGTGGTCAGAGGAACAATTACCAAACACATTCAGATTGGTAGTGTAAGCTTTCAGATTATAAAAAAGCATTAGCCATTCTAAAGCACAGAGTACAATATTTTTAGACCAAGGACAAAGGCTTTTAGACTGGAATAAGTGCAGTCTTTTATCGGTTATTGATCAAGCAGATCTCCATAGAGATTTTGCTTCAGGCATAAATGGAGAGACCAAAAATAGCGGAACGTGCTTCTTAGACTCTGGTTGCTAAGGCCATGCACCAGCTATGAATCATAGCATATTAAAAAAAATGGCTATTATTCGTAGCAGTCAGAGGCTTTGCAAAAAGTTATTACGGCCATATGGTCTGTATTTCCCACATGATTAACAAATAATTGGGAGAGTGAAAACAATTTTCAGATATTTTGAACCTGGTTAGGAACTTTTTAAAAATAAATTCTAACTTGTACCTAGAGCCCTGGTGGCACAGAATGCAGTATTGCAGGTAATTCTGCCCACTGCCAGGAGTTCGATCCTGACCGGCTCAAGGTTGACTCAGCCTTCCATTCTTCTGAGGTTGGTAAAATGAAGACCTAGATCAGTGGTTCTCAACCTTTCTAATGCCGTGACCCCATAATACAGTTCCCCATGTTGTGGTGACCCCCAAGTGGGTGTGGCCACCAATAAGAGGGAGTAGGGCAGCTAGAGAAAAGGGAAAAAAATGGTGGACAGCGTGGTTTGGCGACCCCCATGAAATGGTCGTTCGACCCCAAATGGGGTCCCGACCCACAGGTTGAGAACCACTGACCTAGATTGTTGGGGGCAATATATTGACTTTGTAAACCACTTAGAGAGGGCTGCAAAGCACGATGAAGTGGTCTATAAGTCTAAGTACTATTGCTATTGCTATCTTATCCCAAACTGAAGAAGCTTCTTGGATGTGAAGCGAAACGTTTTCAAGGAAAAACAAAGAAAGTCCAGTTGCCTTTGGAAACAGCACCTTTGGGGTTAATGACTGAATGACTGAAAATCCCCATCAAAGCTTGTATCTTAATTATGATAGCCAGTGATTTTAATGCCAGACAACTTGACTGGCAGAATGCCCTTGTTTTTTTTTTTGCCCCTGAAAAAGAGAGATACGCATTTATACTTAACAAGTCAAAATACGGCTGGTATGTGGAATTACAAGTTGGGTTGTTTTTATTTATTTTTTATTTTTTATGGCAACTGATTAGAAAATGGTTTCCCTTATTTTTAGAAGCCTGTCAAATATATCACTTCGCCTCACACCATATTAAAATCCTTTTGTCTCCCTGTTCCCAGCATGTTCCATTTTTAGCCTACATTGCAACAACCCTTTTCAAATGCGATGCAGCAAATTTCCTTTGTGCAAAATGGAATGTTACATTTCTTTTTCTTTTTTCTTTTTTATTGACGTGCTGATACAGGTATTGCTCGGAAACGGCCGAGAACCCCCCTCTCTGACCTGCAAGGAGTTAACACTATTAACGAGAAAAGTCAGCGGTAAGTGGATCCATCAGGCAGCTGAAGGAAAAAAGCTCTGCTAGGAAGCTAGGCCTGTGCTGTTTGATGGGTTTCTCTTTTTTAAATCGCTGACATTTTCTTCGCCGTCCTCCGGTGAAAAATAAAAGTAAAAGTGTACGACTTCCATACATTGCAGCGATGCCTACGGAGTGTGGAATACCAGAATGGGCCTCAGACCGAACCGACTCTCCAGCTTCCTTGACAAAGATGGGATATTTGTGAATTCGACGAACAGCAAGCTTCTGGAGCGTGCCCACGGCATTCTCATGTTAGTGAACGTTTGCATTTGTTCCAAAGGGGGCTTGGATAACCGTAGATACGATGGGACAAGTGAAGGTTAAAAAAAAAAAAAGTTGATCCCCAGTAGTGTCCCAATAGCAGAGTTCCAGTATTTGAAGGGCTGCCCCAAAGAAGGGGGAGGGGATCAACCTATTCTCCAAACCCCCTGAAGGCAGGACAAGAAGCAACGGGTGGAAACTAATCAAGGAGAGAAGCAACCTAGAACTAAGGAGAAACTTCCTGACAGGGAGAACAATTAACCAGTGGAACAACCTGCCTCCAGAAGCGGTGAATGCTCCAACACTGGAAGTTTTTAAGAAGAGACTGGACAGCCATTTGTCCGAAATAGTATAGGGCCGTGGTGGCGAACCTATGGTACGCGTGCCACAGGTGGCACGCAGAGCCCTCTCTGTGGGCACGTGCACCGTCGCCCCAGTCCTAGGCCTTTGGCTGGGTTTTATAAAACCTTTTCGCTTTAGGCCTCCGCCGCCGTGTGCAAAAAAAAAAAAAAAAGGTTCAATCAATCAATTTCAACTTCTTGCGGGGGAAAAAAAAGATCTCGCAAAGTTGGAATTGATTGATTGAACTTTTTAGTCCCATGAAATCTGCCTTTACCACCGCAGCCACGCCCACCCAATGGGTCACAGCCACCCAATTGGCCACGCCCACCCGACAATACATAAGTGGGTTTTGGGTTGCAGTTTGGGCACTTGATCTCTAAAAGGTTCGCCATCACTGGTATAGGGTTTCCTGCCTGAGCAGGAGGTTGGACTAAATGACCTCCAAGGTCCCTTCCAACTTTATCATTATTATTAATATTATTATTAATATTATAGTACAGGCAGTCCTCAGCTTACGACCACAGTCGAGCCCAAGGTTTATGTTGCTAAGTGAGACATTTCTTAAGTGAGGTTTGCCCCATTTTGCAACCTGTCTTGCCACAGTTGTTAAGGGAATCCCTGCAATGGTTAAGGGAATCTGGTTTCCCCTTTGCCATTGTTTGTCAGAAGGTCGCAAAAGCCGATCACATGATCCCGGGATAGTGTGACCGTATATAAATATGAACTAGTGGCCAAGCGTCTGAATCTTGATCGTGCAAGTATGGGGGTGCTGCAGTGGTCATGAAAAACGGTCATAAGTCACTTTTTTTCCGTGTTGTGGTAACTTTCAGCAGTCACTAATACCTATTTACAGACTAAGCGTGTAATCCTGCTTTTTATTGGGTTCTTATCTTCCATAGGCGAAACAAGAACGTTAAAGTCAAGCCCAACCTACCAAAGGTGAGAGAATTCAATTACCTCAGTGGTTCCCAACTTTTTGTACACCCTGCAGCCCTAGAACGCTTCTGATATATTCTCGCAGCCCTTACAAAAGTTTGAAATAACAGCAATGAATTATTACTTCCAAATCCAGGTTTTCACACCCCTTGAAATATCTCGCACCCCCGGTTAGGAACCCCTGAATTACTTGGCTGTAAGCACCGCTAATGGATCTAGTTAAGAGTTAAATTTTTAAGAAGAGACTGGACAGCTATTTGTCTGAAATGGTATAGGGCAGGGGTAGGCAAGCTTGGCTCTTTTATGACTCGTGGACTTCAACTCCCAGAATTCCTGAGCCAGTATGGCTCAGCATGGAAACCTCTTCCTTTCCCCTCAGCATGGCTGGCTCAGGAATTCTGGGAGATGAAGTCCACGAGTCATAAAAAAGCCGAGGTTACCTACCCCTGGTATAGGGTTTCCTGCCTGAGCAGGGGGTTGGACTAGATGATCTCCAAGGTCCCTTCCAACTTTATTATTATTATTATGGAACATCACACAGTCAGCCAGATGTTCAGACTGGATTTGGCATTTTGTCTACCTAGCGAGTCCTTACCCAGGACCTGGGATAGGCAGATGTGGATGTTTGATGGTATTACAGACATCGTCGCAGGATGGAAGCTGTTCCTAGTCAGGTCGCCTTTTGCAATTGACTAATAGCGAATTTGTCAATGCCAATGGTGTTCAAGTGATGCTCCAGTTGTTTGGGATTGCACCCAAGGAGCCTATTACTATTGGTACTACCCTTGCTTGCTTTTGCCACAGTCTTTCTATTTCTATTTGTAGGTCTTTGTATTTTGTTATCTTCTCCAGTTCTTTCTCGTCTATTCTGCTGTCTCCAGGCACTGCCACGTCCACTATCCAGACTTTTTTGTCTTTCTTATTGACAATTGTTAAGTCTGGGGTGTTATGTTGCAGGTGCTTGTCTGTTTGAATTATTATTATTATTAATAATAATAATATTACTTCAGGCATGATAATCCTTCCCCATATGATATAAAAAAATTACAAGCCCTGCATACAAATACCTCTTCAAAATGTAGCGTACAGATCATCTACTCATTTGCTTACAGGATATCACCCATACGTAACTCCATCAACAAAGAATGGATATAATAAGTCTGCATGCACCCATACATGTATAAGTAATTTGTGGAACGTGGCAGAAATAGGGCAACATATTATCAATTATATGATAACCTAACCTTCTTTGGGATCCAGGGCAAAAACCTGGGATGGAAGTTTGTCTGCAGCCTACATTCAGACGGATGCCTCTCTGAAGGTTATTCCTTGCACTGATTTATGCCGAGAGCTTCTCCCAAATTTTTCTGCTTCTCTGCTTCCTCAGCACTTGCTGGAGGTGAAATCCCTGAAGCACCTGACGAGTCTGACTCTCCATGATCGTATCACAAAGTCTCTTCTCCATCTTCACAAGAAGAAGAAACCACCAAGCATCAGTGCCCAGTTCCAGGTTACTTCCTTGCAGTTGTTGGTTAAGAAGTGTACATTTGGGGGGGGGGAACCACATGTCAGTCAAAAGTTTTCAAACGTTTTAAAGTTGTGGATTCTGTTGGTTAGGAAAAGAAATTCTCGGAAACAGCTGATCAAGAGGCAAAGCTCTAGAGCAGTGTTTCCCAAACTTGGCCATTTTAAGGCATGTGGACTTCAACTCCCAGAATTCCACAGCCAGCATTGCTGGCTGTGGAATTCTGGGAGTTGAAGTCCACATGCCTTAAAATTGTCAAGTTTGGGAAACACTGCTCTAGAGCAGTGGTTCTTAACCTGGGCGATACTGCCCCCCCAGGGGGCGATTTCATTTTTCAGGGGGGCGATGGAATGAAAAGGGGGCGATATGGGAGCGATGGAGCGAGACGTTTTGGGGACACTTTTGAGACTTTTTCGTACAGTGAATCGCTGTATATCTATCGTACAAAAACATCAGATCGAATTGAATTGTGTTTTCAAACGTTCCTCCAGCTAGCTTCAGTACAGAACGCCGTACATATGTGAAGACGCATTGCTTGTCTTCATGCGCGTTGCGCAGCAGCCTCTACCCATACAGTGGTGTCCCATTGGCCAGAATATGGGAGATATGATAAAAAGACTGGAAATAAATTATTTGCATCGATATGTCCTGATGACAATTTTAAAGAAAACAAAAAAAGGGTTTGCATAAATTGAAGAATTATTTCCTATGTTGTGATGGAGAGGTTATGTTGGGGGAGGGGGGCGATGACAACTTCCTCATTGGCTCAAGGGGGCAATTCGTTCAAAAAGGTTAAGAACCACTGCTCTAGAGGATTTTTTTTTTTTTAAAAAAAAGGTTTTTAGGGGGAAAAACCCCCCTCTTGTTTTCCATGGACCCCATCAGTTGTCATGGAACTTAAGTTTGAAAAACCCTGATTTAGCTAGTTAGTCCTGGGAGGCTCTACTTTCAGGGAAAATGAAGGTTATTTTGGGCTGGTTCAGTGGGAGGAGGAGGAGGAGGAGGGAATCTTAACATGCTGGCCTAGATAATGGCACCAGGCCGGCTCTCTCTCTATACTAACTAAAGCTTATAGTTAAGCACGAACAAATTTCAGCGCCTCCATTCAATCCACCCTCTTTTCTGCACTTTTAGCACAGCAGCTGCTGCTGGATGGTTTTATTGGGATATCAGCTTCTATTCTCACAAAGCCTAAATCGTGATTGCAAAAGTTTTCTGCACAACTGATTTGCAGAGGTTCTTAAGAAGAGACTGGACAGCCATTTGTCTGATTTGGTATAGGGTTTCCTGCCTGAGCAGGGGTTGGACTAGAAGACCTCCAAAGTCCCTTCCAACTCATTACTATTATTATTATTATTATTGATCATTGCACAGTCAGCCAGATGTTCAGACTGGATTTGGAATTTTTGTCTACCTGTTGAGTCCTTACCAAGGACCTGGGATAGGCAGATGTGAATGTTTGATGCTTTTACAGTATCGTCGCAGGATGGAAGCAGTTCCTAGTAAGGCTGCCTTTTGCAATTGACTAATGGCGAATTCGTCAATGCCGATGATGGTGTTCAAGTGGTGCTCCAGTTGTTTTGGGATTGCACCCAAGGCGCCCCCAAAACAACTGGAGCACCACTTGAGCACCATTGGCATTGACAAATTCGCCATTAGTCAATTGCAAAAGGCGGCCTTACTAAGAACTACTACTACTACTGCTACTACTACTACTTATTATTATTATTATTATTATTATTATTATTATTATTATTATTATTATCAGCAGTCAATGTTATGTTTTGTTCTCCAGGCTTCACTTACCAAGTTGATGGAGACTTTGGGGCAGGCAGAGCCCTATTTTGTCAAATGCATTCGCTCCAACGCTGAGAAGGTAAACCGTTCCCCAACGCTGAGTGATTTGCAGCTGAAAGACTATCAACCTGCGATTTGTCACATAGCTAAAGATTACCAAAAGTAGAATAAGATGCCCTCCCTAAGAGCAGTCATAACACAGAGGCAGGCTAAAATAGCAAATATCAAAATGAGATACCAGCTCTTTAGTATGGTATGCAGATAGTAATGTAAAAAAGTTAACTTTAAAATCCCTAATTTTTGAAATGCATTTAGTGAATCAATCTGCATACTGAATAATTTTGGTGGATGTATAATACCTTCCCCTATTATCTGCTGATGAAAACATATTATGGGAGCAATATTAATGTGGAATGTTCTATGATTTTTTTTTCTTCCAGTTTGGCTCTTGGCTAGAACTGGGAGTGCAGAGTTTATAAGTGTGAGGTTATCTGGCTGTGACAAATTATGAGTGGAACAGATTGTTAGGCTCTAATCCAGGGGTGTGAAACTGCCGGCCTGCGGGCCGGATATGTCATGGCGAAACCGCACCTACCCCATTGCCAGCAATGGAAAAAAAGTCACAATATGTCGTAACACATCATGTGATGTTGCAAGTTTGACACCCCTGCTCTAAACATACCTTTATTTGGTATGCAGTCTTGTGTTCAATAGCTATTAGGCATATCATGACGCAATATTCCTGATTTCATAGGCAATACTATTAACTTCCTGTTGCCTTTTTGTTGCTAAATATGGCACAAGATTAACATCTGTATAGATGTTCACACTAAGATAGGCATTAAGCCAAGCTTGTAGATAATTGCATATTCTGTTTGAGACTGATTCAGTTTCTTGTCCGTGGTGATGTGGACAAAACTGTACATTACTGTTAGGCTTAAAAAGTGGGATGATTTGCTACTTTGGAACAGTGTGTTGGCTCCATTTAAAAACACGGAAACCTCGAAATGAGTTATGATGCATAACTGGTTCTGTAGGTGAGTTGGCTCAAATTGTGTATTTTACTTTTTCAGCTGCCCTTGAGGTTCAATGATAACTTGGTGCTGAGACAGCTGCGTTACACAGGAATGCTTGAGACAGTGCGCATCCGACAATCAGGATATAGCTGTAAATATTCTTTCCAGGTGAGATTATTCTTTCTTGATTCTCTGAAAGGTTACGGTAATAGTATAAAGAGTCTGAAAGCAGATGAGTTGGCTGGCTTTGTTTAATTGGTTTTATTTTTTAAAAAAAAATATGCCAGGTTGTTGCTGGAGCTATTTATAAATCCAAATGTATTTCCAAATTTACAGAGTTGTGCATGGCAGTATTTCTTATAAGCTGCCTCAGCCTATTTGTATTTCTTCAAGATTCAAGTGACGTTCTTTTAGATTTATGTATTGAAAAGTTTATATACAGTTTACTAACATGAGTTTCTTTATTGTTTGACACGTGAAAAGTTTATAAATATAACAATATGGTGATGCTGTGTCTAAATTGCCAGGATTTTGTAGACCACTTCCACGTACTTCTCCCACGAGGCACTGCCCCGTCTAAGCAGAATATTGAAGGCTTCTTCAGAAAGACAGACCCCAACTCAGATAGTTACCAAGTTGGGCGAACTATGGTAAGGTCCAACAACTGTTTCTAGACACCTTTCAAAAGGGGGATTTTGTGATGTTCTTTCCTCACGTGTCCTTAAAAAAAAAAAAGTCCTGTGAACTGAGGTAACTTCTACAACTTGGATTTCAAAGATCCTATTTGTTTATCATTATATCTGAGGGATGATTAGAACTTAATTAATCTCTTTGTAAAAAAAAAGACTGTAAGAATTAGTGTGGTTCTTTTGACACATGCACAGTTGCAGATATTTTATTAAAAAAAAACACCCACATATGTGTATCAGGCTGCTGATAGCAAAAGGACTGACATTAATGGTGATTCTTCAATTATCCATCAGGTGTTCATGAAGGAACAGGGACGACAGCTTTTACAAGGACTGTTGCATGAGGAAGTTCTGCAAAGAATTATCTTATTGCAGAGCTGGTTCCGGACGATGCTGTACAGAAGGCAGTTCCTGAGCATGAGGCAGGCTGCCGTGATCATACAGGTGGGGGTCACCTGTATGTTGTTCTTAAATTTAAACCTTGAGGAGGTTTACCTTACTCTCAACATAGATATTGTTGCCTTTACACAACACAGTTAAGCTAGTTATTGAATTTATCCTTTTTCTGGATTCATACAATGCATCAAACCTTAAACCAGCTTTCTTTAGAAGTGGAATGGTTTATTCAATGTATCCATACCATGTGCAAGAAAATTACTAACTATTCCTTTAATTTGCTATTTTTCTTCATCCTCACTGCCAGTACAAAATTCTTGTACGGATTGGTATATACTTCTATCTGCATTAAAACACGTGCTTTAAAAATGCTTGTAACCAGTAAACATAAACTTTTTGTAATGAACTGGAGTATCATGATATTAGAAATTAGTACTTAAGGGTTAGAAATATCTTAACCAGAACTATTCCAGCTAATAGCTTCGGATAAAAACTCGTTATTGTGTCAATAAAGTATTTTTTTTTTTTTTAATTCTCTGGGCAGCATTGTTGGCGTCGTTATCAGAAAGGAAAGCTAGCTGAAACAGAGGAAGAATCCCTGAACAATTCAGCCTTTTTAGACCAAGCTGCTGTGGTCCTTCAGGCATACTGGCGAGGTTACATGGCACGGCGAAGATTCCAGCAGATGCGGGTTGCAGGCTTCATTATCCAGAGCTCTTGGAGGGACTGCTTAAGACGTCGGCACGCTGCAGCAACATCTATCCAGGCGCACTGGCGGAGCTACCGCACGAGGACTCTCTACAGGGCCAAAAGAAACAAAATCATTTTGTTGCAAGCAGCCTATAGAGGCTACAAAGCACGGCAGAGGTAATGCACGCAGTGTTTAGGAAAGGAGATATGTGTCTAAATGAAAGAAGACCTTGGGAATTATTGGGACTAAATGGGTGATAAAGGAAATATTTACAAATGTAATTGTTTATTATCATGTCCCGATGCCACTGCATAAAATAGCTCTTTTACCTAGCTACAAAACTTAACAATTATTGGTTCAGTGCCCTACAATAATTTGATTTACAATATGGTAAATCTTTTAACTGGATTTATAGGTCTATCATTTTGTTCACTATGGTGTGTAGAAGAACAGAACACTAATTCCTTAGTTCATCTACAGCAGCGGTTCTCAACCTATGGGTCGCGACCCCATTTGGGGTCGATCAACCATTTTTCGGGGGTCGCCAAAGGCGGCGATCCGCCATTTTCTCCCCTCGGGGGCGCCGCTGCGCATGCGTGCCGCACATGGGGGCGCCGCCGCGCAGGTGTGCCGTGCATGGGGGTGGTGCCACGCATGCGTGCCTCGCATAGGGGCGCCGCCGCGCATGCGCATAACGTTTGTGTGACGGGGGTCGCTGTCACACAAACGTTGAGAACCACTGATCTACAGCAAGCCATATCTTACGACTGATCAATTACAATGGCTAGATTCGCATATTGCAGTAAGCCCAAATCACACACAGATATATTATTGCTTAGCACATGAACATAGCCCCTGTAAATAAAGATTTTGAGGACAGATCATACTTCAACCAATTTTGCATCTGGGAATTTCCATGTCTTCTCTTAACATTACTGACTAAAGATTCATTAACATTTCTAAAGAGGACATGAAGTTATGAGCTACTAACATAATAAACAAGGTTTCCATAATCCACTGCATTCAACATGTGTGGACTGCAACTTCTTCAATCAACCAGTATAATTGGCCTTCCCCAATCTAGTTCAACCACCACAGTCATTATCCATCATGTGTGTAGATAAGGATTATGGTCCATACAGTCTTCCCCAAACTTGACAAAATGGCCATTTTGGCTGGAGAACTCTAGGAGTTGAAGTTACTCATCTGAAAGTACTTAAGCTGAGGAGGAACTGGGTTAATAGATAGTACTAAGCTATATGTAAAGCTGAGTTCACCCACTGCAGTAAATCCTGGTTTAACAATAGTTGCAGTCATATCAGTTGTTATCTTTATAGAAACTGCACTGTAACAGAAAAAGGTACAATCTCTTTCTTGATATACGAGAATAAGTACGTTCCACTATCAGAACTGCCTAGTCCACTATGAGTACTAAAAATATTCAAATACCTTTATGCGTTTTGATGCTTCCTATTAGTGGAAATAGAATGGGAAGTTAATATGAAGAGATCAAATGAAAGGAAGATTGACAAATTTTGTGGTCATCATAACTGAGCTCTTTCTCTGTTCTTCTTTAAACAGGTTTACCACCTTAAAAGAGCAGCGACTGAGTGAAGCCTCACTAAAGAATAGACTAACAAGTAAAGATAATAAATTAATACTAGGGTATAGCTCGGATATTAAGGATTCAGAGTCTTCTGAATGGGAAGAGAACTCATTTGAAAATAGAGTGAAAGCCGTCAAAGACCATGAAGCGGTTATGGACAATAGAGTAGATCCGTCAAATTCTTTACACAAACATCACGAGAGGGCCAACAGCCAGAGCGGAATGAGCACGGAAGAGGAAGTTCTCGTAAGAGAAAGACCAAAGTCCCTGGAAGACCTCAACCCCAAAAAAGGAGTTCGTGCAAAGCGAGAGAGCCGTCGCATGCGCGAACTGGAGCAGGCCATTTTTAGCTTGGAGTTGCTGAAGGTTCGATCCACTAGTGAGACGTCTCCCTCAGAGGAGCATCAGTTGTCCCCTGAGTTTGTTTCTGAAGGGATGCCCTCTCCTCGAACAACTCCGAGGAGTAAAAGCTCTCAGGGAAGTCTAGAGAAGCTAAGCCGGGATCACAATGTAAATCTCAGAGAATCACTACATGATAGTCCGACGTTTGATGATGATCATGATGATGATGATGAAGATGACAAAGACATCTCCAAATTTGCTGCTGCTACTATCAATAAAAATGTGTCAATCTCAAGTTCTGAATTGCCTGACTGCCTGGCTGCTAAAGAGCGGTCGACTGGTGACCCTTATGACAGTGTCTCCAACATGCATACAAGGGCACCCTTGATTTCTAGTAGTTTGCCGACATTTTATCTTCCCCCACAGGACAAGTTGAAAGTTGGCCGTTCAGTGAGGGACAATAACCTAAGAAACAAACAGATGGAAATGGGGAGCCATTTTTTTTCCCCAGGCACCAAAAAACATCCTCAGCCGCAAAGGGCCACACAGAGTACAGCCTTGCCTGAAGATGGCCAAAGGTCCGGCAGTGGAGAATTCCCAGCTGTTACAGCTACAGGAGTGCATCTCTCGGATAGGGTTATCGAGAAGTTGGAGAAGTTAAATGTTGAGAAAGAAGAACGCCAGAAACGAAAACAGATGCAGAACGAAAGGGAGATGATGGAGCAGATACGACGGCAGACAGAAATTTTGGGGAAGCAGCATAAAGTTTTTGAAGCGCTTCAGAGGCAAGAGCATGAACAGAATAGGATGCGGGACTCCTGCCATGGAACCCCTCTCCCCTCACCTAAGAAAATGGACAGGGGTCCACCTCTCCCCATCGCCCATCCTCAAGGCAAGGGAGAACTAAGACTTGCAACAAACGCAGAAACCGCCTCATCGGTGAACCTTAAATCTCCTACTGGCCCCCCAAAAGGAAGCCCCCCTATTTGCCAGACTGCTCTGAAGGAAAAGACCATCCCCATGAACCCAGACAAAAGAGAAGGTCAGACGCCAGTCACCCTGGAATCTGTTGGAACCGATTGGTTGAATTTGCAAACGGGTGCCGAGTCTCAGGAAAGTGTCAGCAATTTAGCTGCGAGGGAAAAACGGTTCAGATTGCCTCGAATTCCTAGCCAGGGCAAGGAAAGCTCTTCTAAGGAAAGCAGAGTTGGTTCCATTTTCTTTACACCAAAGGATACTCATCTGGGCAATACGTGAGTACGATAATGGAAGCTTGTATGTTAATAATAATGATGATAAAGTTGGAAGGGACCTTGGAGGTCACCTAGTCCAACCCCCTGCTCAGGCAGGAAACCCTATACCATTTCGGACAAATGGCTGTCCAATCTCTTCTTAAAAACCTCCAGTGTTGGAGCATTCACTACTTCTGGATGCAGGTTGTTCCACTGGTTAATTGTTCTCACTGTCAGGAAGTTTCTCCTTAGTTCTAGGTTGCTTCTCTCCTTGATTAGTTTCTATCCGTTGCTTCTTGTCCTGCCCTCTGGTGCTTTGGAGAATAGCTTGACTCCCTCTTCTTTGGGGCAGCCCCTGAGATACTGGAAGACTGCTATCATGTCCCCCCCCGGTCCTTCTCTTCATTAAACTAGACAAACCCAGTTCCAGCCACCGTTCCTTGTATGCTTTAGCCTCCAGTCCCCTAATCATCTTTGTTGCTCTTCTCTGCACTCTTTCATAAAACTGCTACTTGGATCTTCCTTGAAAATAGCAGCCTTAGAAGAAAATCACAAGGCACTATCTTTGCTGTTCTAGGGAAACCCAATACAATAGCTTTACAGGAAGTCGATCACTGCTTTCCCATGCTAATGACTTTTGGCTATGTATGGTCTACTGCAAGTAAGTTTGCAATCATTTTGTTTTTTAGTTTTAATAAAGGATCTTCAGCACCTCTGCTTCTCCCAAAAGAAGAACAGAAAAAGCCACTGAAACTTTCCAGAACAGACAGAGGAGAGGTAAGAAACATATTTTTTTCCAGCAGTAAATCAACTTATTTCTCCCAGCTATCTCCCCAAACCATCAATCCCGTTAGCATGCCATGATCTGTAAGAAGGAATACAGGGTCTCATCATCTGGAAAGCAGATGTATATACCACAGTATATATTTTTTGTATTGTTGACCTAGTTTTTAATATGGTGGCAAACCTGTTGCTCAACTGTACACTTCAGATTGTAGGCAGGGGCTCCCATAATTGAGTGTTCAGACAAGCACTGCATATAGAAAACAAGGAAGCATCTAGTTGCGTATTTTCTCTCTGGCATCAGATTATCTAGATCAGTGATGGCGAACCTTTTAGAGACTGAGTGCCCCCAAACTGCCCCCGCTCCACCTGCCTGCCCCCTCCCTGCTCCGGTCTCACCCCGCCCACTCTCAGGGCCATGCACGGCCTGCCACAGGTCGCCCAGGTGGCCACCACCCTCTGCCCGTGCCCCGCACCATCATGTGCTGCCCAGCTGCCATGTGCTTGGCTGTGCTGCTCCATGTGGGCCGCACCCGGGGGTGACTTTCCTCCGTGGGGGAGCTGCTGGTGAGGAGTGGGCTGTGGGGGGAGGCGGGGCTGGGCGACAGTGTGCGTGCCCACAGAGAGGGCTCCGAGTGCCGCCTCTGGCACGCGTGCCATAGGTTCGCCACCACTGATCTAGGTTTTGTGCCAGGGGAATCTCCCCTTGCATTTTAATGTGCAACTCAGCCACACACTTCACTGAGAACCCAGGCCCATGTTCTGTCTGAACTGGCTCACCAACGAAATGATATCAAACCCAATTAGGGCATCATTTCTACTTTTCCCGTATGTGTTTTTTTTTTTCCTTGCTGTCCTTCTTTGTTAGCACGTTGTTTAAACAAATGATGCACTCGGAAGATCTTTTTTTAAAAAAACACAAAAAAACCCCACCACCCACATAGTTCCGTGTTCCTTATCCTTTGACTTGTGTTTTTTTTGTTTGTTTGTTTGTTTGTTCATTCCATATCATCTGTTTTATCATTTGGTGTCAAGCAGGTTGCCCGACCAGTCCATAAAAAGAAAGCCCGCATGGCACGGACACGCTCGAATTTCTTGACTAGAGGTGCTTTTGCTGATTGGGAGGGGGATACAGAGGAAGAGGATTGTGATGACAATCTTGAATTTCTTCTCTCCTTTGAGCATCCACCACACCTTGAGCCTGGTTATGCAGTCAGGCTCAAGCAGCCCTGCCATAGTGACTCTGAAATGGTAATATATTCCACAACCAGTCATAGGGGGGGGGGCATCTCTTGGCTAACCCTCAGCAGAACTGACACCTTCTACTGCCGTTTCTCCCATCCTGTAGTGCATATTATTGGATGGCAACCTCTAAGAACATAGTCACCCAGTGCCGATGCCTCTCGGTGTCAAGGTTTAGGCAGAGCTGTAGAATATCCCTTAGGGATGGATTCTTCAGTAGGTCCCTGCAGTCATACTCCCATAATCCCCTTCCATATTGAGTTTTGAGGAAGTAAAGATGGAGAGGGCAGAGTATTCTGTTGCTTGACTTGCCAGTTTCCATCCTGTTTAAGGTAGAAGATAGAACCAGCCTAGACTCTACTTTGGGATGAAATGCAGCCTACAGTGGAACAGCTAGAAATATGGTGGCTTTAGTAACACAGGCAGAAAATGTAAAGGTTAGCTGGGATTTACAGTAAGGGACATCATGAACAAAATGCTTAAAAAGCATTTTTTTTTATTCCGAATAAACTTTCCTGCTTGCTGAAGTGATCTGTTACTCACATTGAGATGTTTAAGAGCATGCAAGATAATGTTTCCACTTAATTCACCCTCCTTGGGAAGATTGTAAAATCCTTTCGTGCAGCAGTGGTGAGGCCAGGGAGCGCAGTTGCTCCAGACTGCATAATTCGGAGGGAATGTGCTGTGTTCTTCGAAGCTGTTTCCACCAACCTTAAATAGTTTCAGACCGGGAATCGTGGTTGAGATGTCAAGGTGCTGGGTTCGCTGTTTGCTTGGAGAACTCTTTCCTCAAAAGGAACCACATTCCTGCCACTTTTTCAAAACAATCTTTTGATTCTCCTACCACCATTTAACAGATGTCATCTGCATGCAAATAGCCCTAGATCTCCAATTATGTTGCATCCTTTCTCCTTCCATGCTACTCTTGACTGCCCCATCAGCTTTTTCACTAGCGGTTTAGCACACCTGCTCGCATCTGCATGCAAAATCAAGCGCTGCTTTTTAAGTTTACGCTGCATTTCACGATCGCCGTTATATATGAGTGGTAAATTATAGATGTCTAAATGTAATACGTAATATTGCTCGGATATGTCATAGTGCTCAAATGTGTTTGAAATTGTCATCTGTGGGGTTTTTTTTAAGTTTTTTTGTTGTTGAGTTGTGTGTTTTTAATTTTCCCTGTCCCGTCTTTTTAGTTGTCCGGGAAAGGCTATCAACTGTGTTGTTAGACTGATAAATTTTCGTGCAGCTCATTACTGTCCAGAAAATTAATGGCTGGTATTTGCCGAGGCTGTTTTTAATCAGGTCACATTGGTGCATATTTTTCAGCACATGAAATGGAGGTTATTTATTCTGAGCTTTCAGCACAAGAGGTGCATCAGTTAAGGAGCTCCCTTTTGCTAACACAGGGTTGATTAATGTTAGGAGGAAGAAGAAATAGGTTATCACCTCCGCACCAGTTGTGTATGAACAAAAGCCCCGCAAGTCACTGTTTTTCCCATTTTTTGCACATTGCTCATCATCTTTGAGTACATTACAATATGTTTGGCATTGATTTTTTCTTTTTCCTTATTAAATGTCAGCTATTCTGCTTTTGGCTAGCTGATCAATTGGCGTGGATAAGGCTTGGAGGGAAGGTTAGGATGATTGCCACTATGCTAATTTAAGCATGCATAGGATTGACTATTGCAGAAATAAGAGACACAATATGTTTGGGTTTTTTGTTTTTAAAAAAGGAACCTGAAATATTTTGAATTCCTTAACATTCTGGCAGGACCTGCTGTTACAGCTTGTCTGGATTTTGCTTTTTGTCCCCAGTAATGCAACTGAAATAGGTCTTAAATCCACTTGTTTAAGAAGAGACAGAGGGTGCATATCTTTAAAAAAAAAATCTTTATGGAAATATAGCTCCCAAATTATATCTTCTCAGTATGCAGAAGAATTAGGGGATTATGCTATTCCTGCTATTATGTCTCTTGAATGTGGTTTTTGTTAAGAATGGAAATGGATTTCTTTTTCTTTCTTTCTTTCTTTCTTTCTTTCTTTCTTTCTTTCTTTCTTTCTTTCTTTTCTTCCTTTCTTTTGCAAGTAAGCTAGGAAAATAAAAGTAGTTATAAGGGCTATACTCTTTCTTGTTAGAATTGAGAACAAATTGAATCAGAGCAGCTAAAGATGTAAGAGTGGTTTTCCAGATGGGTATCTCAAGCCAGATTCTAGTGCATGCTTTATTTATCAGGGCTGTATTTTTGTATTTTTCAAAAGTTGACAATTATAAAACTCTAAAAAGACTTTTATTAGAAGCCGTATCCTTTGCATTAACTAATACTGTTTTTCCAATGGATATGGGCTAGAAAATAGATCCTGCCATTTATTTGATCTGTCAGCATTCCTTGCTGAGATGAAATTAGATCTGGAGGGCAGTAATTCACAGTCCTGTTTTAGCAGATTCAGCATAACATTTTATGTGAAAAACATATTTACCATCCTCAGTATTATCACTGTAAAGTATTTTTTGCAATTGCAAATGGAAAGTAATTGATCCTTGAGTACTGGAATATAATGATCTCTCACTCTTCTTATTTTCCTCTTGAGTGGCCATTTTTCTGAAAGTTTTCTAGTCATGTATATTTTTGAATTATTGATTATGTGCCACCAAGTCTGTGTTGAGTCTTAATAACCATCATAGATAGATTGTCTCAATGATAATCTGTCCCTAACTGGGTCTTCTGATGTTTCAGCAGTGAGTCATCTATACAAATTTCCATATTATTTATAATAATCAAAGGATTTCCCTCCCCCAGTGAACTATTAAATGTGGTGGAAAGATAACTACCCTTCCTAGGCAAACTGAAAAGGGAATCTTGCTGAAATCTTTAAGGCTAACAGATTTATTGTGATAGAAATTTCTGTGGATTAGAGTCCAATTACTCAGCTTTATATAATGTCAATATATAAAATACTTTAGACATTAAAATAAAGAGACCATGAAATTCTATAAAAATGACAAGTTTCAGAGAGCAGAGAAAGAATTCCAGACCATCCTACTGCTAGTCTAAAAACCACCATTCTCTCATTAGCAATGAAAGGCAGGGAAACAATGAATTTTCAATGAATGAAATGGGAGGTTTTAATCGTAACAATTATTGTAGCTTTGGAGAGCTGCTTTATACCAAGTCAAACCTTCAAGTAATTCCGTGCCCCCTGCAGCAGCAAACAGCAACTCTCCAGGTTTTTACATAAGGGCCTTTTTTAGCCTTCTTGAAATTGCTGAGGTCACCCCGAAAGGCCTTCTGCAGAATTAACCTGCCAGCGAAGTCTCACTCTTTAAAGAAAAAAAAAAATATTTTTGATCTGGTGCTAACGTAGGAACAGGAAATTCAAAGCCTGCAGCATCGTTTGTGGCCAGATCCAATTCTCCATCCCATTTCATTTATTCTCAAGCAAAAATATAATTTCCAATAAAGGCTTTGTCTGTTTTCACAACAAAGTCATACAACAAGCTCTTCTATTGTAACAGCACTTTATGTACAGTGTGTGAGAAACCTGAAGCGGAGATAAGGTTCACCAGCTAGCAATTTCTATGAATACTTCAAAGAGAATATTATTTTTAAAGAATCAAAAGATACTTCAAGCAGACTTTTTTTTTTTTTACTCAGAAATCGAAAAGCCGGGTTTCTTAGGAATACCTCCCATAGCTGCCTTCAGGAATTGCCCGCTTTTATTCAAAAGCCAATTAGTTTTGTCTTTAAAATCCTATATTAGGGTGTTCCTATTCCTCTCAGTATTGACTTCCTGAACTAATAGTAACAGAATGTTGTGCTGCATCTTCTAGTTTACAGCTTTAATCTGTAGGAAACGAGCAGAAATTGATCAAATTAAAAGCATCTTTGTCATAGTGAGGGGGGGGGTGTTTAGCAGCTTAAATATTGAAAGCGCTGTATAGTTCAGTTGCGTCTTCTTGGAACATCAAATGATTCTCTCAGGGTTAGAGCATCTGTTATGTTTGAAATTATTGCAGATGTTACAACGTTCCGCGTCCAACGAAGGCCAAGCAAAGCTTCACAAAACAATGTCTCAAGGAGAGATTGGAAAACTGCCAGTTGCCCAGAAGATCATAGCCGTGGACAGAAGGTATAAATTCTCCAAAAAGGGGTGAAAAAATACCAAGCCTGAATTAAATAATGATTTGGTGATTTTTTTTTTGTTTGCATTTTTTTTAATTCACTAAACTTCTTGTCCTTCAGCACCATCCAACAGTGTTCAGTTACAATGAGAAATGATGAAGAATGAAGGATATAAGCAAAGCTATCTTTGCTTATCACAGTCTAGATCAGTGGTGGCGAACCTATGGCACGCGTGCCAGAGGTGGCACTCAGAGCCCTCTCTGTGGGCACGAACACCATTGCCCCAGTCCCACCTCCCCCTCCTCACCAGCAGCCCCCCCAGAGGAGAGTTGCCCCCAAGTGCTGTCCGCACAGAGCAGCACAGCCAAGGGCATGGCAGCCAGGCAGCAGAGAAAAGACTCCGCCCTCATGCCCCATCACACACAGATGATGCTGCGGGGCATGGGTGGAAGGTGTGGCCGCCATGGCGCTGCTGGGCTGCCTGGGCAATCTGTGGTGGGCCGTGGAGGCGGTGGGTGGCCATGCGGGTGGGCGGGGTGCCGAGCGGAGGTGGGCGGAGAGGCGGGGGCAGTTTTGGGGCACTCGGTCTCTAAAAGGTTCGCCCTCACTGGTCTAGATACAAACTATGATTGGGAGATTAGGGAAAAGTACCATCTCATGGAGGCTGACCATTAGTAAAAGGACTGCCTTTAATTCCAGATGATATGTAATAGAAAATTCTAGATTAAAACATTACCAGTAGTCCTCACTTAATGACAGCCTTGTTTAGCAACTGTTCAAAGTCACCATGGTGCTGAAGAAATAACTTTGCGACTGGTCCTCAGATTTACAACCATTGCGGTGCCCCTATGGTCATGTAATCAAGAACTGATTGTGAGCAAGCTTCGTTACCTATTTTTCTTAAGAGGGAAGAGCGGAAACTGGCAGCAAAGAAAGCTGGATAAAATAACCAACGTGACTTGAGTAAACTTCTCTTCCCATTTATCGTTTAATAGACCTCAAAGAGCCAAGATGAGATTTTGGGGGAAAGGAAGGCAGGGGGAGAAGAAAGTAAGCAGGGAGAAGCTTGCTCCCCAGTCAGAGCTGCTGGAACTGTATCCCGACCAAGATGCACCAGGAAGAGACAGGATTGCAGGTCTACAGCTTGAAGAAGGTAAAACTGGTAGTTTAATACAGTGTTTCTCAACCTTGACAAGATAATTCCACCTTAAGATAGGTGGAATTCTGGGAGCTGAAGTCCACCCATCTTAAACTTGCCAAGGTTGAGAAACACTGGTTTAATACAAATGTTAGCTAGAGAGCTGATAAGGAAATGTGTTTCTTCTGTAATTTACAAAGCAAAAAATAAGTGGCAATTCAGGGTTTCAGAAATACGAAGATTGGCTTGGCAAATCAGCTTTGTGACTTATTTTCGATGTAACAGAATCGTAGAACGGGAAAAGGCCTCAAAATTCAACTCCTGCCTTGTGCAGGAGACATTGTGAATACACAAAATATTTTATCAAGGAACAGCTTAGGGCTTGATCAATCAGTTGTCTTGATAGTCAGGTCCAGTGTATGAATAATCTTCTGGGGTTTTTTACACTTCGTCAGAAATCCGAAAGATTTGCAAATTGCTCCTTACTATTGTCAGAGGTTCCAGACACCAGCAAAGTTCTCCTTTGACTAATCTAATTTGCCTTGAATCGGAATTTTTCTAGGATTTCCCTAGAAAATTGAAGGTGAAGGTGGAAATCTCACGCATGCACGCGTGCATAAGCTGTTTCTATCCATCATGCTAAAGAAATGATTTTCTTGTTTCTCGATTAGGAAGATAGCTCTGCTCGTTCTCCTCAAGGGGATTCTTAGCAAAACTTGTATTTCTTTGCACACACAGAGCTGAGTCCCCCAGGGAGTCCTGAACTGTCCAGCATTTATCGAAGGGAATGTAAAGAAAACAAAGAGCCATCCCCAAAGGTGAAGCGAAAACGCAGCCTAAAAATTAGCAACGTAACTATGGAACCTGCACAGTGGCAGAACGATGCTCTTCAGATCATAACAAGTGCCAGTGATTTGAAAAGCATGGACGAGTTCCTCTTGAAAAAGGTAATGTATACACACACACACACACACACACACACATTCCCCTAAATCTACAGCTTTTAATCTGAGGACTGTTATCTTCAAAAGCTGATTTTATGGACTTCATGGATGACTTTTATCTGCCGTATTTTTGTCCTGTCTGTCAAGCAACCCTTGTATCTGAAGCAGCAAAGCTTAGTTAAAAGAGAAATAGCTCTTACCTCTTTGACGTGCAACCCAACAAGACACAGGTAAGAGAAGAGAAAGTGAGGGCAGAAAAAGATCAGGCTAAAATGGAATGAAATATCACTGGAAGTTTTTAAGAAGAGACCGGACAGCCATTTGTCCGAAATGGTGTAGGGTTTCCTGCCTGAGCAGGGGGTTGGACTAGATGACCTCCAAGGTACCTTCCAACTTTATTATTATTATTATTATTATTATTATTATTATTAGCCATAACTAAGGCTGATTTTCCCTTCCCATTCTTGATCAGCAGTTCATAGTCTGGTGGTCACCTTGCTTCTGAATAAATCTAGAAGGTATTGCTTTTTAATCTTGATAGAAACATCTGGAAGGATTTTAGTGTTCTCCCTGACAGGGATTAATAAAGCAAGTTACTGCTGTAACTTCTTTGGGAAAACTTTGTCTACATCTGGAGCCAGGACAGTCCAAAGTCTGAATCCAGCAAAATCAAGCAGAATCCTATTTAGGTCATTAAATAGAACAGGGTAGCCTTATAAATAATTACCTTAATGTAGCCATCTTAGTTCTGCCTGGGAAATTGAATCTGTCACATGGTAAGTTTTGGAAAAACAATCTTAATTTCATTTTATGGTTTTCAGATGAACGATTTGGATAGCGAAGACTGTAAGAAGGACACTCTTGTGGATGTGGTATTTAAAAAAGCTTTGAAAGAATTCCGGCAAAATATCTTCAGTTTCTACTCTTCCGCTTTGGCAGTAAGTTAAATGACTACTTTTACTTTTTAAAAATTAAGTACTAATGGTGGGAGTTCTCGGCGCAGCCAAACTGCAGAAGCATCTCTTAATGTTTGGGGAGATAATTATTTACAATGAGAATATATTGGGTTTCAGAGAAGGCGGAACTAGATTTATTTCTGATGTTCCCGCTTCTTCTCGTTATCATGATCATAGTGTATCATGTCACAAAAAGAGCTTTTCTTTCTGCTTTTTGCAAATAAAGAAGGAGGAAGAACTGCAGGACCAAAAAAGTCAAGTGTGTGCGTTTCAGGCAGATGCTTCTTCGTGCAGTATTAAATAAAAAAAATGGTCTCGTCATCCAAATTCTAGCGAATGGAACAAAGAACGAAAGCAAATGAGTCATTTGTGGGATGAAATTAGTAAGGAGTGGCTCTAGCAAGAATCATAGGAAGTGGGATTGTGATTGTCTCAAATGACATTCAGAGCGGTGCAAATAGAACTTATGCAGTGCACTTTTTATAGTGCCAGATTGCTCAAACTTCAGTAAAGCAATGTAATACTCTAGGGCAGCGTTTCTCCATCTTGAGAACTTTTAAAATGATTGGACTTCCCACTCCCAGAATTCCCCAGCCAGAATTGTGACATGACACCTTTCCTGCCTTCCTGCAAGGAAGGAAAGGCCCAAGCGTATGTTGCTGAGATCTAGGCAATTAGCCATTATTACCTGCCTTTTCTATTATTTGATTTCAAGACTGTGCTTATGTTTTTCTTTGGATGTTAATGTTTATTTTAGTGAATGAACGTTCTAACACATTTCTCTCCTCTGTGTGGAACATTCAGACATTCACGTTCATTTCTCCCGTGTTTTAATAGATGGGTGATGGGAAGAGCATCCGCTACAAAGATCTCTATGCATTGTTTGAGCAGATTCTAGAGAAAACCATGAAACTTGAACAGAGGAACTGGAGTGAATCCCCCGTACGGGTCTGGGTCAATACATTTAAGGTGTTTCTGGATGAATACATGACAGAATACATGCCTTTGGATTATTCTGCGGCAAAGGTAAACTAGTCTGCTACAATCACAACCTTATATTGCATCCTTTTGGCAGGAGGACCACGTTCTGGATGTCCTGTGAAGAATCAGCAACTGGACTTTCTTGTTTTTCCTTGAAAACCTTTCGCTTCTCATCCAAGAAGCTTCTTCAGTTCTGTCTGAATGGTGGAAGATGGAAAGATTTATATTCCTTGCAAGTCATCTGGTCATTAGTACCCTTTCAGAAAGTTTTTTTATGCTGCTTGACAACATAATTTCCTCACCTCTTGTTATTGACGAATAGAATTTGAAAGGCTGGCTTGCAGTAATGTATAAAAAGTTTTATCATGAATGTAGGCAAATGTAGAATGTAGTAATGTATAAAAAGTTTTATCATGAATGTAGGCAAATGTTGCAGGATCCAGCCTGGGTTGGTCAGATTGGTCTGGTCCCGGTGACTGACCCAGATTGGATCCTGCAAAATGTTTTTTGATCACAAAATATAATGTGCTATTGGAAATGAATAATCTCAAGTAACCTGAATGCATATGTACCGTTCTGTTATAAAAAGGCCCATAGTGAAGAAAAACGGAACAAACCCTAATTGTATGGCTGTATGTACATGCATATTTAAGGCTTTTGTTCTTGAAGTATGTTGGAGAGAGCCAGCAGCAGGGGAAAATGTTCAGAGATATAGTGGTTAGTAAGAAGCCATGGAAGGAACAGTTATAGGTCTTTTTGCTATTTACACGAAATAGATTAATATTTCCTTCCAAAAACCCCTGTTTCTGCCAGTATCCATGATAGCGGAATTCTGATTCTAGCAGACACTTGTTAGCTCTCTCACTTATTAGCTCAGCAGTGTCCACATAATGAAATACTGAATATTATAGGAATATCTTGGTCAGGAGAAGAAGCAGTAGATGAGATAAGAAAGGTCCATCTGATTTTTAATAGCTCCTCGATTTGCTTTGTAAACAAAGATTATATAAGAAAACAGATTTAAATTTGCAAATGGAAGCAAAGTATTCAGAAAATACTGAAGTGTTTGATATTGTCTCTTGTTGTCTTAGGTGACAAAAACAGAAAGGAAGAAGAGACGAAAGAAGGAAACAGACATAGTAAGCTGAAATGCTTCCTCCTTTAATATGAAGCAAGATATTATAAATTATATAGACATCTATTATGTATGTTTAAATGTTTGCAGCAAGTCCAGGTAGGTCAATCTTGGCACTCTGTGAAGTTATCCACTTCCTGATGGTTTGACAGTTTTTGAGACAGGATAAAACAGGATGGGATGAATCATAAGTCTGATTAAGAAGGATGTGTTATATTTTTGTTATCTGAAACAAAAGGTGGGGTAGAAATTCAACGAATGAACTAATGGATGACATTATTGAACCTTCTGAGAAACTGTCAACATTGCCAAGAATACTCTTCCAGCATTCCAGCCAGGGTTTTTTTTTTAAATAACAGTTATATGAAATACTTTTGTGCAGTACAGTTCAGATCTATTTTCAACTACTGTTAAATGTCAGATTGCTTTTTCTGTTGCTGTTACTAGGTAGAAGAACATAATGGTCATATTTTTAAGGCTACTCAATATAGCATTCCTACTTACTGTGAATTCTGTTCCTCCTTGATATGGATCATGGACAGGGCCGCTGTTTGCAAATGTAAGTATGAACTGTTAACCTTCATGCACTCTTCCTATTCTTTCTTACATTGTTTTTTTCTTTAGGAGATTGATAGTTTCTTCAGCTTTTGTTCAAATGCTTTACCAAGTAGAGAAAGGGCAATAGTCAGTATTGTACCATAGTTTTAATTTTTAATTATAACTAAGAAACCGAAGGAAGGCTGTATTATAGGAAGTGCCAAATTTGTATCGAGGAGAAATATTTAGCCTGCTACGTGCCACAGTCTAATTATGCAGCAAAATCCAGTTGGGACTCTTCTTGTAAAATTACAATGCAATAACATTTCACTGCATTTCATTATGTGTAACACTAACTACGTTTTTCTTAATTCCAGTATGCAAATACGCTTGCCACCGAAAGTGCTGCCAGAAGACCACAACAAAATGCTCCAAAAAGGTAACCGTGTTTTCTTTCATTTCTGTATGCCACACATACAGGGGAATTCTGGGAGCTGAAGTCCACACATCTTTAAATTGTCAAGGTTGAGAAACACCAGTCTAGCTGCTGATTCTTAATTCATATTTCTACTGTGACACATTCTGTAAAACAGAAGCAAGGCAGTCAAAAAACTGTGGGGAGATGGCAGAGTTAAAAGCTTGTTTTCTGCTGCCACTTTGCCTGCTCCCCCACTGCTCTGGATTGAGATTATGACTAAAATGCTAATCCCGTGTAGGGCTCAGCAAAGACAGCAAGGATTGGGGAAAGGTGAAGCATGTTGAGATGTTTCCATTACTCTAATACAGTGATGGCGAACCTTTTAGAGACCGAGTGCCCAAACCGCAACCCAAAACCCATTTATTTATCACAAAGTGCCAAGGCTGCATCAGCATTGTGGTGCCCTCGAAGGGGGGGTAGGGAGGTGCCTCTGAGTGCCGCCTTTGGCAAGCAAAAACTGGGGGCGCAAAAATGGGCCACCATGCTGCAGGGCGCAAAAACAGCCGCTGCCGCACCACAGGGTGCAGATACAAGGTGCTGCATCACGCAGGAATGGGGCAGGGCTAGTGAGTATCACGCAGGCACTAGCCCCACCCCATTTGCAGTGCAAAATGCTTCCCCCTCCCTTTTGTTCCAGTCCAACAATGGTTGGTGACCTCTGCTCTACCACCTCTACTCAAGCTTGCTAATCGGCCGCTTCGCCTCCTTTGTGCTCGGTGGGGCTCCGGGCAGCGGGGGCGGCCTGATGGATCTGCTGCTGGCAGTGGTGCGCGTGCCAACAGAGAGGGCTCTGAGTGCCACCTCTAGCACATGTGCCATAGGTTCGCCACCACTGCTCTAATACTTGCTTTACGTTTTGCCTAGCTTGCAATCTTAAAGCGGGGCTGTTCTGATCTTTGCATTTTAGCAGCTTTAGACTCATGCGAGTATTGCTGGAATTTGGTCAATGTGGCTGTGATGTGCTTGCAACACTGAATGCATTATCCCTGTCCCTGTAGTATGACCCAGAGCTTTCTTCACGACAATTTGGAGTCGAACTCTCTCGCCTGACCAGCGAAGAACGAATTGTGCCGATCGTGTTTGAGAAGCTCACCAGCTACATAGAAATGCATGCTTTGTATACAGAGGGCATTTACCGGAAATCTGGATCAACAAATAAGATCAAAGAATTACGGCAGGGCCTTGACACAGGTGAGGAGACTTATTGTGTTTCCCCCCCCCCTTCTGGTATTTGGGTCACACAGGTCCCTCAAAATAACCAGACATTTGGCCTGACACAGTTTATTTTAGACATGATAGAACTTTAGGCAGATGATGGCCAGAAAGTTTAGTATTTTGGTGATCAACAGTATTCAGTTTGATTTAGCTCAGGGGTTTAGACAGTGCAGGACTCATGCAGTACCTATGGCTAATTCTATGTTAGGCTAAAGTTAATTTGTAGCTTTGGTTCATGTATGATTTGTGTTTGAGAGTTGGTTTGGTGTAGTGATTAAAATGATGGACTAGTTCTCCTTTAGATATGAAAGTTGGGATAAACCTATATCTTAAATTCAGAATTTTTGACTTTGTCCTTTTCAGTCAGTTATACTATTCGTTAAGGAACTTAGGCCATCACATCTCATCACACTTTGTGTTGGAGGCACCATGGCGCTTCTGGGTTGAAAGGATTAGTCAGTGACATCACCATGGCCCTGGATATGCTCAATTGGAGGTTCCTTTCAAGTCCCTGACAGTAGCTGGAACGAAGGATGTGAGCTCACCCCCCACCATGGTAGCGCTCTGATTTCAAATGCAGGCCTTCTGCTTGTCAAGCCAGTATCCTAACCACACAAGCCACCATGATCCTATACCTTGGCCATGACTTAATTCTTAACGTTGGCACCAATGTGTCAGATTGCATGCTGAAGCATCCTTTTGCTGTTTCTCCTTTGCTTTTAATTTTCTTCACTTTCATTCTTTCCGCTAACCAGATATCGAAAGAGTGAATCTCGATGACTACAACATCCATGTCATTGCCAGTGTGTTCAAGCAATGGCTGAGGGATTTGCCTAATCCTCTCATGACATTTGAACTTTATGAAGAATTCTTGCGAGCCATGGGTAAGGAGTTGTCATATCTAGTTGAAGTAGGACTTTGGGGAATGTTAAAGCTAAGAGGAAAAGCAAGTTCTGTTTCTGCTTGGAAAATTGTGCTCTTCACTAGTTCACTATCTCTTCAGCTTGCTTTTCCTTATCCCGGAGAATATTTCTACACAAATACCTGTGAAAATTCTTTACCACAATGAAACCAAAAATAGCGATGATACTTTTTCTAGGGATCTGCTTCGGACGGTGGCCTGAGGTATCCCACTGTGGTGCAATGTATCCCCTTGATGAGATCCCAAACCAGACCAATAATTCCACTTCTATACTCTGCCCTCTTTCTCTGCCTTTCAGACATTATATCCTGATTTTTCACCTAAATATTTCAAACCCCTCAGATACATGGAAATGATCTTCTGCCTTGAGTTGCAGTAGGATTTCCTACCTAGTGCATTCTTCTTTTAAGAACACCACTTGAATTGCAAAGGTATTTTGAGCATCTGGCTCATCGCTCAGAGATTCTCTTTCTGGAGTATTCATTAAATCCTGAGCAATAGTGGACTTGCAAGATACATGTGTTTAGTTATGTATATCATATTTTATAAGCTTCACTTGATGTAAAAAAAATACTCATTTCTGAGACAGAGCAGGCCACAGTCCTGGCAAATTGAATGAAATGTTATAGGATACAATCTGGGTCAGTCACCTGGACCGGAGGTTTAAAGTTCTGTCTTCAGTGACTGACCCAGATTAGATCCTGCAATATTATCGTGGGAAGCCGAGGTGGCGCAGCAGTTAGAGTGCAGTACTGCAGGCCACTTTAGCTGACTGTGTTCAGCAGGTCAGCGGTTCAAATCTCATCGGCTCAAGGTTGACTCAGCCTTCCATCCTTCCGGGGTAGGTAAAATGAGGACCCAGATTGTTGGGGGCAATGTAAATATATATATATATACATGGCTTACTGGTGTACACCGCTTAGAGAGTGCTTGCACTTAAAGCGGTATATAAGTCTCATAAATAAAATAAATAAATAAAAATAAATAAGCGTATATCCGCCTTCATTTGTGAATGACATTTGTTTTCTGCAGGTTTGCAGGAGAGGAAAGAGGCGATCCGCGGGGTCTACTCAGTCATTGATCAGCTTTCCCGAACCCATCTTAATACCTTGGAACGTCTGATCTTTCACCTTGTCAGGTATCAATAGCCAGGATAAGGCTATAAAGAGATTTCCTTGTGAATGTCAGCTTTATCTGCAGATATATTCCCACGTTCAGCTTTTGGTGAGACCTGCAATCTTGAAAGGCGGTTCTGTTTCCAGAGCTGTGTGCCGAGACCGGCTTATTTGCAGAGAGCTTTGGAAAGCTAAGCTCTGCCTATCTTCATCTCCCTTTCGGTCATGCTTATTATAATCCCCCAGAAAAGTCAGTCATTATTCTGGGTGGAAAAAAAAGCTTTTCTCGAGGCATACATATCAAACCCAAAGGCCTTTTTAACCCCCTGATCAAGTTGGAGGGCAGATCATTCTTTGTTTGTTATGTTGACGTGTTATTTTAATATGGGTGTGGCTGAGGAATTCTAGGAGGCAAAGTCTACACCTCTTCCAAGGTTGAGAAACATTAGGCTAGAGACTGGCACTTTGGTTTGGACTAATTTTATAAATATGGGACAGAATGTGGGCCACACCATCCAAGAGAAAAGAATGACTGGGAAGGACAGAAGGAACAGCTAAAAATCTGACATTGTTGCTTCATGTTGAGACTCTAGAAAGAGTGCAGAGAAGAGCAACAAAGATGATCAGGGGACTGGAGGCTAAAACATATAAGGAACGGTTGTTGGAATTGGGTATGTCTAGTTTAATGAAGAGAAGGACGAGGGGTAACATGATGGCAGTCTTCCAATATCTCAGGGGGTGCCCCAAAGAAGAGGGAGTCAAGCTGTTCTCCAAAGTGCCTGAAGGCAGGACAAGAAGCAACAGATGGAAACTAATGAAGGAGAGAAGCAACCTAGAACTAAGGAGGAATTTCTTGACTTAGAACAATTAATCAGGGGAACAACCTGCCTCCAGAAGTTGTAGGTGCTCCATTACTGAAGGTTTTTATGAAGGAACTGGACAGCCATTTGTCTGAAATGGTATAGGGTTTCCTGCCTGAGCAGGGGGTTGGATTAGATGATCTCTTCCAACTTTATTATTATTGTTGTTGTTGTCGTTGTCCCCAGCATCGGCCATTGCCTCACTCTGCCTGTTGATGTCCACCTTGTTTCTTTTCTTTGACCCCTGCGTCAATTCTTAGGTTCTACTCTAGGGGTTTGTCCCACCTCGCAACAAGTGAGGGTTGTCACAAGCGTCTGTAGTTAAAGTTTCATTGCCGTTCTGTTTTGATGCTGTTTAGGATAGCTCTACAAGAAGACACTAATCGGATGTCAGCTAATGCTCTGGCCATTGTGTTTGCTCCCTGTATCCTCCGTTGTCCGGACACCACTGACCCTCTGCAGAGCGCTCAGGATGTCAGTAAAACCATCAGGTAATTTAAAAAAAATAAATAAAATAAACGACTTGTTGCCTGCCATGACCAATTCAACTCCACGGAGGTCACTCCCGTAGTTTGGGAAGGGATGTTTTATAAAAATGAAAATTCCAGAAGAAAAAGTGGCATGCACAGATTGATTCAAGAAAGAAAGATCTTTGTATTCATGTCTAGGTTGTATACAGCAATGTTTATTTATTTGCCGCCCATCTTACCATAGGGTAACTCTGGGCAACTTACGGTTACATCTAAGTTAAAATATAAAATGTTAAAACCAAACCTTAAAACCAAAGACACGTGGGGAGGGGGGGGCAGATGGGATCTGTTATTACTCAATCAACCACCTCCATTGCGCTGTTCCCCCACTGGGGCCCCAAGGCGATTGGCACAGCCAGGTCTTTGGGCCCTTACAAAAGGATAGGAGGATTGGGGCCAACCTCACATGGGGGGGGCAAGATGTTCCAGAGGGCAGAAGCCACAGCAGAGAAGGCCTTCCTCCTGGACCCTGCCAGTCAAAATAATTGGGCTGATGAGTTCCCAAAGCAGGCCTCCTCTGCCGACACCAGTGGGACAGGCCAATCCCAGTGGGGTGAGACGGTCCCTCAAGTAACTTGGACCCGTGCCCACAAAAGGCTTTAAAGGTGATCCCCAACACCTTGAATTGCACCCGGACACAGATTGGTAAACAGTGCCGTGGTGCCACAGGGGCCATTCTTGGGGGGGGCCTTAAAACTACCCGCGCTGCTCCACTCAGCCCCAGCTGCAGCTTCCAAATGCTCTTCATCGCTTAGCTCAGTGGTTCTCAACCTGTGGGTCGGGACCCCATTTGGGGTCGAACGACCATTTCACGGGGGTCGCCAAACAACGCAGTCCGCCATTTCCCCCCCCCTTTTCCTTAGCTGTGCTACTCCCTTTTATTCTATTGGCTTTTGAAAGCCAATAGAATAGACTCTCTTGAATAGAGTCTAATTCTCTTGGCTTTCAAAAGCCAATAGGAATTGTCCAGGCTGTCTCTGCCCTGCTGAGCCCGCCAAAAGTCCCATTCTGCAAACGGTGCTGCACCAGTTGAGTAGTCCTCGACTTAACGACCGGTTGAGTAGTCCTCGACTTATGACCGGTTGGGGGTCACGGCATTAAAAAGGTTGAGAACCACTGGCTTAGATTCTGGTCCTCAAGCCATAACTTTCCCTCTTGACGATTTTTCTCTTTCAGTTGCGTAGAGTTGATTGTTATAGAACAGATGAACAAATACCGGGCCCGTCTCAAGGATATCAGCAGCCTTGAGTTTGCAGAGAACAAAGCAAAGAGCCGGCTATCCTTGATCCGCAGGTCCATGGTAAGGGGCAGGGCTGACCGACCAGCTGGCCGAATGCCAGATCACGAAGAAATGGAGACTCCGTCCTCTGACCTTCCCTGTTTTCTATCTCACATTAATTGTTCACAGCAATATTGGAAGATCAGCTGTGTTTGTCTCTCCTGATACCATCCTAGCTTAACGGCCTTGATTCTGGAACTGTGAATCTCTGTGTGAGATTTAACTGACTTGGGTGTGGATAATAACTAAAACAGCTGTCTTTCTCTCTCTCTCTTCTCTTCCCTGTAACCTTTCCTTCCCCGTCTTTCTAACTCCTTGCACATCTCAAGTTCTTTTAATATGTGATTTAGTCTAATGCAGAAGTTAAAAGTGTGGCTTAAGCACTAATATCTGAGTCTTCAGAGGTACAGGTATCACTCTGTTGTTACTTTGAACAGGTAACTCATGGTTCTTGAGAGAGCTTTTTTTTTTTTTTAATTTCCCAAATATCTTTGGTGAATTCAAACCACTCTAGCTTGTGTGTAATTGGCTTTTCTCCACGATTAGTCCCTGTTCCCCTAACTCTCACCGTATTCTCATCTGAGACTGCTTTAAGAAAAGGCTTCCATTCTCCTCTCTTCCACACGCACGTGCCAGTGGGAGACTCTGGGGTGGCAGTATGGTGTGCAGGCTGCACCCTGACCCCTGTTGAGCTCTCTAATAAATCATTTCCTCTCCCCGCTTACAAATTTTATCAGGCGCAGAACAATGTGCATGCTTCTTAGCTAGGCTGCTGACCTGAAACGCAGTTGCTCTGCTGAGAAACAGCCTCCGTGTTCCTCCTCTCAGGCCAACGGGGTCCATGGAGATTGGGGCTTGGTTGACCTCATGACAGGAGGTCCAGGGGAGCATTGCTGAAAGCTGGCTGAGGCTGTGGGGCCTACCGGGCACCCTCTCTCGGGGAGTCCATCTATCGCTGCAGCCAATGCTTCTCCACCTCTCTTGCAGCATAGAATGGCTTATAGCTCCTTTGCACTTTCCAGCAGCTGCAGCCCCGCCATGCCCAGCCACTCCCAGAGTCAGCTGATGGCGTGTGCCCTCTAACGTGCTCCTTTCCTTTCCTTTTCCTGTCCTCTCTAATCCAGAAGCCTGTACTAATTGCCGTTAGATTTATGAGCATAACCCGCAGTTCGATCCCGGTATGTATCCGAATTGCAACGCGCTGACCTTACACCATAACTCTCCATTCATCCCCGTGCTTCTGCATGCTCCATGGCCACCACCCATATTTCATATAACGCTGTGTGTGGTATGTGCGTGCGTGTTTTATTTCCAACTCTTTGGCTGCCGTCCACGTCTCGCGACCACAAAAGGCATCGAAAGGGAATGCCTACAAGGCCATTTTCACCTAGACAGATTAGGGGGAAGACAAGTAACCCTTAATAGAGAAGAGAATCAGTTTTTACGTGGATTTCTGTAATATTTGGCACAGAAAATGTCTTTAGAGGAGAGTCTTTGCTGTATTGTTTCCCCCCCCCCCCACTAAAGTAAAGCAGAGAGTGAGGTAGAGTTTTATAGAAACTGAAAAGCTAATGCGAATTTGGCACGAACGTGTTCACTTGAATTCTTCTGTTGAGCTCATTCCTGTATCCTCTTTTATTTTCCTCAATTCTTTTATCTATATCTTCATTCTTTCCTCTGGCCTAGACCAATTTCACATATTAAGACCACAGACAATCTCTTGAAGCACAACAGGAATTCAATATATGTTTTTTTTTTCCCCCCCCTTTCTAACCTTTCCAATTTTCAGCAAACAAACACGTCATCTTCCAGGACTGCCTTTGCTCGAATTTTCAAAACAAAGCATAGAACAGTGGTGGCGAACCTATGGCACGGGTGCCAGAGGCGGCATTCAGAGCCCTCTCTGTGGGCACGCGCACCTTCGCCCCAGTCCTAGGCCTTCAGCTGGGTTTTATAAAACCTTTTTGCTTGAGGCCTCCGCCGCTGTGTGCAAAAAAAAAAAAAAGGCTCAATCAGTCAATTTCACCTTCTTGCGGGAAAAAAAAGATCTTGCAAAGTTGGAATTGATTGATTGAACTTTTTAGTCCCACCCAGTCTGCTGTTACACCGCAGCCACGCCCACCCAATGGACCATGCCCACCCAATGGGCCACACCCACCCGGCACCCGACGATGCATAAGTGGGTTTTGGGTTGCAGTTTGGGCACGCGGTCTCTAAAAGGTTCGCCATCACTGGCATAGAAGAAAGATTCCTTTTTAGAGTCAGACAGCATAGAAGCCCGGCCTAATGTTAGCATTAAAGCAACTTTGCTAATATCTAATCAGAGCCTCAAGTTCTACAAGGAAAATCTGAATATGACTTTAGCTGTGATTTAAAAAAAAAAAAAACTTCAATCCCAAAACATATGATTTAGCCAGAAAGGGAAACCTCAAAATTGATTTAATAATTCCTGGAGTCATTTACATCAGGGGTCTCCAACCTTGGCAACTTTACAACTTGTGGACTTCAACTCCCAGAGGAAGTTGGGATTCTGAGGAATTCCATGCTGCCTAAGGAATTCTGGGAATTGAAGTCCATTTATGATGTCATAAATTTGCCAAGGTGGAAAACCCCTGATTTACATAACATGATGCTGCTGAAAGTATGGTTAAAAGTTTTGATTTTATTTTTTTTTACAATATACCCCAGGACAGATGTATGAATCATTGGCTTTTGATAAGCTGGATGAACCTAAAGAGCGTTTATATATTTCTTGGCTCTGGGTCCAGAGCCTTCTCATATTCACAGTGATCATATTCACAGTGATCCATTTCTGCTAGTTTATTCACAGAATTTCACTGGAAAATATAAGCAGCAGGATTATCTGTGTTTTGTTGATGGCTTTCTTTGTCCCCATTTTTTTCCTGCCTAGAGAGATTCTTTAATTAAAATACTATTCAGTACATTTCACCATTTCCAATGTCCTAGAAGGGAGTAATCTAAAAGATGGTATAAACAAGGTGTTGGGTTTTTTTTAGAATACTTTAATCCAGTTTCCTTCCTTGCACCACTTTTTGGTGCTGGCAAGCTGAAATATTCTGTTATAAGTGAATCCATAGAAATTAACCTCTGGCTTATAGATCAAAGATATTTTTGAGGACCTCCCCAAATAGTCCCCATGTCCTTGAATTTATACTTGCTTTCCATCCTATCTGTCTCTGCTAGGCATCTGAAGAAATTGTTTGTTTGCTAGTTGTCTCATACATATACCGGGGATGTGTTTTTCTAATTTCAAAGCTGATGGAAAGGCACGTTCCTCACTAGCCTTAATTTATGCATAGGGCAAAGGGCGTCTACGTCGAGGCAACTATCCGAGCCCTACATCCCCAGCAGGAGTCCGGTTGCCCTCTATGGCGGATGCTCCCGAAGAGGCCCTGAGCAGCGAGGAGGCCATGGAGATGGAGGTCACCGAACAGCAGCAAGTAGCCATGCAACAGGAAGAAAAGGTGCTGGCAGAGCAAATAGAGACCCTGCAGAAAGAGAAGTGAGTCTGAGTAGTTGGACCAATGAAACTCAAGCAATGAAGCCTAAGTACGTAGCTGGAGCAGTGAAGTAGGGGTGTCCATCTGCTATAATTCAGGAAATGCTTAACCCGTAGGCATCTAGCTGGGCTGCAGATTGAATATTGCGAACACAACCTTAATATTTAATAAAGGAGACTATTTGTAGCTCAGGGTGGAGATGAGGGGTCTTTAGAACTGTCTGAGCTTGGTGGTTTTCTTGCAGACGTTTCATGTCCCAAACTAGATAGCATCATCAGGACTAGAGTTTGTGGAGAGGAGGAGGAGGAGGAGGAAGAGGAGAAGACTGTAGGGTCCTTGGTGCTCTCTGAGCTTGGTTGTTTTCTTGCAGATGTTTTATGTCCCAAACTAGGTAGCATCATCAGGACTAGAGTTTGTGGAGAGGAGGAGGAGGAGGAGGAGAGGAGGAGGAGGAAGACTGTAGGGTCCTTGGTGCTCTCTGAGCTTGGTGGTTTTCTTGCAGACGTTTCATGTCCCAAACTAGGTAGCATCATCAGGATTAGAGTTTGTGGAGAGAAGGAGATGGAGGAGGAGGAGGTGGTGGTGGTGGAGGAGGAGGAGGAAGAAGAAGATTGTAGGGTCCTTGGTCCTCTCTGAACTTGGTTGTTTTCTTGCAGACGTTTCATGTCCCAAACTAGGTTGCTGTCAACGCTGCAAATATGGTATATTCTTGCTTTTGACAATATGCAGAATTGTCTGGTAAATAGGGGTTAATAAAGAGCAGAAGGGGCAAGTTGAGGGTAAAGCCGGGAAAGAAAGAGGAAGAAAACATTTGACCTTCACACTAATTGGATAGTGTGAGATATGAGGGCTAATTTAGGGAGGGAACACGCTGATAATTTAACTGCTCAGAGGAAGAGAACTTAGATCCTAGCATCCCTCCGTTGTGCCTGTGCCGACATTTTGTAACAATAAAAGACTTTTAGGAAAATCAATGCCTGGAAGTTCTTTGGAATGTTTCATTAGCTGGAACCACAACAGTAGCATCATCAGGACTAGAGTTTGTGGAGAGGAGGAGGAGGAGGACGACGATGACTGTAGGGTCCTTGGTGCTCTCTGAGCTTGGTTGTTTTCTTGCAGACGTTTCATGTTCCAAATTAGGTAGCATCATCAGGACTAGAGTTTGTGGAGAGGAGGAGGAGGAGGAGGAGAAGGACTGTAGGGTCCTTGGTGCTCTCTGAGCTTGGTAGTTTTCTTGCAGACGTTTCATGTCCCAAACTAGGCAAGGTGGAGACTAGCGCTGATGATGTTACCTAGTTTGGGTAATGAAACGTCTTCAAGAAAGCAACCCAGCTCAGAGAGGACCAAGGGCCACTCCTGAGCTTAATAGTCCTTTATTTCCTACCTTCTGCTGCTGTTTTTCCCCCCCTCTGTCCAGTTCTTTCCGTTTATTTTCTATTTTATCCCTGCAGGGAAGAACTAACTTTTGAGATGCTGGCACTGGAGCCTAGAGCCTCTGACGACGAAACACTGGAGTCTGAAGCTTCGATCGGCACTGCCGACAGTTCTGAAAACCTGAACTTCGATTCCGAAGGAGCCATTTCGGACAAGTCAGGTAAATAAAATGGATTGGACAAGGTGTCGTAAAGGAACCCTCCTTAAGCACATGAGGTTTACTATTCGGTAGTGGAGGTTTCAGAGTAATCAGTTAAAACGTTGCACTGGCTTGATCAAATGCGAACCAACTGAGTAGGGCAAGCTATATTCTGAAAACTCTTGTCAGAAATGCTCCCTCCCGGCAGTCTGTAAATAAGCCACAATGCTTGATTCCGTGGATGGGAATCAGGAGAGCTTCTTTGGACTTTCCCAGGGAATGTTGTCTCTTTGTCAGGGCATTCCTATTGCTGCTTCTTGAGCAGTGGTTCTCAACCTGTGGGTCGGGACCCCATTTGGGGTCGAACGACCATTTCACGGGGGTCGCCAAACCACGCAGTCCGCCATTTTTTCCCCCTTTTCCTTAGCTGTGCTCCTCCCTTTTATTCTATTGGCTTTTGAAAGCCAATAGAATAGACTCTCTTGAATAGAGTCTAATTCTATTGGCTTTCAAAGCCAATAGGAATTGTCCAGGCTGTCTCTGCCCTGCTGAGCCCGCCAAAAGTCCCCTTCTGCAAACGGTGCTGCACCAGTTGAGTAGTCCTCGACTTACAACCGGTTGAGTAGTCTTCGACTTAACGACCAGTTGGGGGTCACGGCATTAAAAAGGTTGAGAACCACTGCTCTTGAGCAACCCTTGCCTCTGTTCCCTACCAGGCAGAAGCGTAACCTTCAACTCGGCAAGATCCATCAAGGCAGACCCGACCGGCACCTCTAGGTCTCGAAGGCAACTGCGCAAGCAGCAGGAGTCTTTGGACTCAGTGGATTCCTCCCTCCCTTCTCCATCCCTGTCGCCTTCTTCCTCCCCCTCCTCCTCCTGCCTGCCTCACGTGACCAGGAAACGATTCCAAATCTATTCCAAATCGCCTTTCTACCGAGCCGCTCCCTCTGGGGACGCTGGGGCGCCGGAGAGATTGCCAGGACACGCCAAGGCCCTGGAGGACAGGCCCCAGTTCACCACCAGAGGGACATTCAATCCGGAGAAAGGCAAGCAGAAGCTGAAGAATGTGAAAATCCCCTCCCCCAAAGCCAAAGAACTCCCAGAGGGGTCTGCTGGGACAGGCCGGAAGCGTCACCCCGATGCTGCTGATTACCTGAGCCCTCAGCAACTGGTGCTGCTAGGAAACAACGAATTCATGGTATGAGTTGCCTGCGACCAGCCAAGCGGAAGCATCTCCTCCATCGCATCTTCCCTCCACTTCCGCGCCATCTGCTGCCACTCCGTTGTAAGACCGCTGCTGTCCCCCCCCCCCCCCAAGTCAGCATCTCCTCCCTGTTTGTGGCTTGGAATCCTAGCATTGCATCGGCCGGTGGAGAAGTGGGGAGCCTCCCTCTTCCATCTAGAATGAGTGGAGGAGAAAGTTCAGCTGTGGCCTCGGCTGACTTTAGCCTTCGGAACTCCCGTCCTTTCTCCGCGGGTCAGGCTGGGAGTTTGCAGTGAAATCAGCAGAGCTGAGGGAATGATGGCGGGCGAACCAGGTTTGGCGTGCCCCCTTTTTAATGGGCCGGGGGAATGTGTGTCAGCCAGCTGAGAACATCTGGAGGGCAGCCGGAATTCAAGAGAGATGTTCTTGATCTTGAGGGTCACAGCCAGAGGTGGGATTCAGCCGGTTCGCACCACTTCGGCAGAACCGGTAGCTCATTTTTTGTTGCCCAGGCCCAGGATGGACTTCCAGAAGCGGCATCCACACAGAGAACCGGTTGTTCACCTATTTGAATCCCACCACTGGTCCAAGCTCTTTGGGGTTAGGTTTTTGCACTGGGATTGAGAAGCAATGAACTTCTTAGAAGGAGACTGCGCTCTTTGTTCAGGGCTGTTTATAATGCACTCCGTGGCATTGTCAGATGTGGGAAATGCTCATTTTCACTCCATCACTTCTTAGATCCATCAGGTGCATCTCCGTTGTGAGCAAGAGTTATTTATCTATCTAGTTTTCTTGGTTTAAACTTTTTGGTTGGTGGTGTCAGAATAACCAATGCCAGTTTGATTCCAGGTAGGTCAAAGCCAAATATCTTGTGCCGAATTTCCAGTAGCCATAATCGCAACGTAGGTCCTGTCCCTTGGGGCAGAAAATCAGACTCTTTAAGACTAAAAGAAAGTATTAGGGAACAGAACCGTTTACTTTTCTGATTGTGTCTCTGGCCCAATTCCATGCTGGTAGCTGAGCAAGCTCTTAAGTTTCTTGACAAGCTGAGAAAAGGCTACTTAAGCAAAATGCAAGCAAAAGAAAGGCTGCTGTTCAAATCAATCAGTCTAACCCATGATTTAACATCGCTTTCTTTGCTATACATCAGTATTAAACCAAGGCTCAATTTTAAAAAAAAAAAAATGAGAGACTACTTGAAGCTCTTTGTTAGTATTATGGTTACTGAAGTTCAATGTAAATATAACTTTTTATGTTTGTTTTCTTTTTCCACAATGTGGGACTTTATTAATGTGGGACATTTAAGCCAGAAAAGGAGGAGGAGGAGGAGGAGGAGGAGGAGGAGGAGGAGGAGGAGGAGGAGGAGGAGGAGGAGGAGGAGGAGGAATGAGTTACTAGAAGTAATTCCGGGATCTTCTCAAGAGTGGAACAATAAACAGTCGCCATGTTTTGCACCGGTATGACATTAGATCATTCCACCTGTATGTTGTGAAAAAAATGGCTATGTTGCAACTACACAACAAGAGCCCCTCCTTGAGGACAACAGAGTGGTCTGTTTGAAGGTCTTTGGAAAGCCCCATTTCCCATCGCTGATTTCTTTTTGTTAACAGACAAGTTAGATTGCAGAGACCACCCCTTCTGCTACCCCCATCGTTTTTTTTTACATTTGTTGAAAAAGGACAGCGTGTTATGATCAAACCTGAGACAATTGTGATCCTCTTTACAAACCACGCAACCTTTATCGTTTGAACGACAAGCTGATCCTAATATATTTCTCACTTCCCATCTAAGAGGTTTGATCGACTGAGTGTTGCAGCTATTAAGGGTTTAAAAACACCATTCCCGTCCTAAAATTGGAAGGAATTTTATCCATTTCTCTCGGAGCCTCTAAGTCTGCTGCACCCTGTGGCCGAATCCCAGTTGCATCTGACAACTGACTTCGGTTTTAATCTGGCACCATACAAAGCTGGAGCTCTTGACCTATTAAGTGTACAGACAGGACTGGCTTTTCACACGTCAAAAGTTGTTTTAAACATCCAACTCGAAAAAAGTCAGAATTGGCACTCTGACTTAACGGCAACGTAACTCTCATGAGAAATCCCCATATCTATAACACGTCGTGTTAACTATAAAGAGGCCTTATTAGAGATTTCAAACAGTTCTTTCAGGGACTGAAGATGGCGTTTGCTGTGCTGATCTAGCTGTTCACCGAAAAATCTCTTTTTGTGTTTTTTCCTACTTCAGAAAAGCAAAACTTTCTCCTTCAAACCTGTTGTTGGATTCCTGTTTGCTCTTGGCCACTGAGGTTTAAATGTTGGTTTGTTGGCTTTCTGAGCAGAGTAAATCTTCCTGACGGACCGTTTGCAGAGAGAATGCTCAATATACGAGTTCCATTTGCAGTGTTTAGGGGGATTTTTGTGTACGTGAGGCATTTTACACCAAGCTCTTTTGTAAAACATTCGCCTAATCCTTCATTCAGGTGTCTCCATTCCGGAAGCATCACAAAGATGCTTTTACAAACCTGGTGAAGATGATCTTTCTCTTATTTTTTTTCTTGGAACCCGCAGTGACGCGCCCAGTAGCTTTAGCCCCTACTTCAGTGTTTCTCAACCTCAGGAAGTTTTAAGATGTGTGGACTTTTAATTCCCAGAATTCCCCAGCCAAAACTTCCTGAGATTGAGAAGCATTGCTGTAATACCTGCAAGTTGGTTTTTTTCTCATAAATTCTACACAGGGGATTGTGTAACTCCAAGGAGCTCTTGTAAACAAAGAAAGGAACTGTCAAGACTTCGGTAAGCAGGACATTGTTAAGTGAATGGATCCTGAAGCTGCCTCTTTACCAAAAAGCACTTCCTTTCTCTCTTTCACACACAAACACACACACACAAACACACACACACTCCAACCCCTCACCACGTATATCACTTTTGCCATGCAAGCCTTACTCTTCCCCCAGCCGTGTGTACACCCAGACCTTTTCCTGCCTTTCTTTTTTTCAGATTCTCCCTCTTCCCTTCCCCACCCCAGGTGTCAATTGATTTTTGTGCTGAGAAATCCCTTTGCCTGCCATCCTGGAGACTAATTTCCCCCTTTTTTTCCAGCGTAAAAGCTCCGTCCTTGGAATTGGTCCTGGAGCATTGAAGGGGAGGGCTCGATATCCAAGGGAGACTTTCGTTTGAACTTTTTCTGAATGTCAGGCAGCAAAAAATTCCTGCCTGGATTTCTTCTACCTGCTTGCTGTCTTCCAGGACCTTTCCCATCTTTTCTTAGCATCCGTAGAGTTTGTGGACCACCTCCGCTCCCCCCCCCCCCCGCGATATTAAGTGAATGTACTCCCCACTCGGAAGGACATTGGCTGCATATAATTATTTTTAAACGGAAATTTTTAAAAGTAATTTATAAGTATACTGAGTGTACATTTTAAAAGCAGACTATGTATTGTAAAAGGATATACTGTCCTGTGTCATATTCTATAAATTTTACCTGTGAGAGAAGAAATTCTATAAATGCTTTATTTTGCTCACGGAGCTGGATGATGTGCAGTTAACTTGGTCAGCCGGCACACTTGTTATTTCACATCTGAAAGGATTTCTCTCCCCCCCCCCCGATAATATTATTTTGTTACTTTTTTTCTGAAACAAGGCCGTCATATTTGAAGTGCAATTTGTGTAATATTTCATAAATACAATGCTATTCTATGGCTGTACAAAAACAACTTTATGAACAAATAACCCCCCAGCTTATTAAAGAACAAAAGAATGGAAAATAAAGTGATAGTGGCAGACGTGTTTCCTACCTGTTAATGTTCGTAGACATCCAGCAAATGGATTATATTTTACTGCTATGATCCTAGAAGAATGCTGTGTTACGGTTTTGGGCTCCTTCCCTGGTTTCCAGGTACCCATAATTGGTTAGTTTATGATGTCCAGTAGAGTGTCTGCTACACTATCAATTAACACCCTTATTGCTTTTCATGAAGAAGTGGATACAGATTCAAAAGGGCACCTTCCAAGGGACCAACTGCCTCTTCAACCAGTGAATATTAGTGTGGTTGTCTGGTTTTGGTCACCACGATGTAAAAAAGATGCTGAGACTCTGGAAAGAGTGCAGAGAAGAGCAACAAGGATGATCAGGGGACTGGAGGCTAAAACATATGAGGAACGGTTGCTGGAATTGGGTATGTCTAGTTTAATGAAGAGAAGGACGAGGGGGGACAGGATAGCAGTGTTCCAATATCTCAGGGGCTGCCCCAAAGAAGAGGGAGTCAAGCTATTCTCCAAGGTGCCTGAAGGCAGGATGAGAAGCAACGGATGGAAACTGATCAAGGAGAGAAGCAACTTAGAGCTAAGGAGAAACTTCCTGACAGAACAATTAACCAGAAGTAGTGAATGCTCCAACACTGGAAGTTTTTAAGAAGAGACTGGACAGCCATTTGCCTGAAATGGTGTAGAGTTTCCTGCCTGAGCAGGGGGTTGGACTAGGTGACCTCCAAGGTCCCTTCCAACTTTATTATTATTATATACAGTGTCATGGAGAACATCGTTCCACTTCCAATCCTGCCAAAGACTTTTCATGGGATTGTTTTCACCCCTGCTGATTGTGGCCCATGGAAAATAGGCAACAGAGCCCATAAGCCAGCATGCTTCTTCCAGATCAGAGAAGAGAGCTTCCTGGTCCATGGAAACTCTGCTCTTGCAGAAGGGAAATTTTGCTGTGTGAACTGCGCAACAGCTTAGTTGGGAAATAATCATCTGATCTTTCAAATGTCATGGAAACAGAAGAGGAGAGCAAATCCTGCATGTAGAAGCCTAAACAAGGCCAGCAAATAAAATTGGGTGTTCTAAGGAACAAGCGATCCCAAGCAATAATACAAGCTACTCATTTATTAACACAATTTATACAAGATGGCTCACCAAGTCCTCTGTGCTGATACCCACCAGCCGAAGAAGAGGATCCAATCTGTTTTTTCCCCAAGCTAGATGCGCACTTGATTTTTAGCTCGTTTTTAAATTTGGGCTTTTTATTGCCAGAATAGGTTATGGGAAGGTGGACTATGGACACAGTTAAATAAAATAAAGATTCAGGCTCCCGTCAGAGGTTCCACCATAGCTTCTACGTCTTGCATGTGAACAATCCCGGGATGAAACAGGAGCTCAACTACTCTTGTGTTCTATATCTGAGCTAGCCAAGTGCCTCAGTCTGGAATGTGGAAGAAACTTCTGATTTCCTTAGCAAGAGGCACATCAGCTGTTTTCTGACCCAGAACTGAGCTTGATCATACAGGTAGTCCTCAACTTATGACCACAATTGCACCCAAAAATTTCTGTTGCTCAGCGAGACAATTGTTCAGTGAGTTTTGCCCCCGTCTACAATCTTTTTTGCCGCCATTCTTAAGCGAATCACTGCAGTTGTTGAGTTAGCGACACAACTGTTAAGCGAATCTGGCTTCCCCATTTGATTTTGCTTGTCATAAGGTCTCAAAAGGGGATGGCGTGACCCCGGAAGGCTGTGACCGTCAAAAATACGCCTCAGTTGCCAAGCGTCCGAATTTTGATCACGTGACCGTGGCAGATGCGGCAATGGGCAGTCATAAGTGTCAAGGACAGTCATAAGTCACATTTCAGTGCGGTTGTAACTTCAGACAGTCACTAAATCGGTGGTTCTCAACCTGTGGGTCGGGACCCCATTTGGGGTCGAACGACCATTTCACGGGGGTCGCCAAACAACGCAGTCCGCCATTTTTTCCCCCTTTTCCTTAGCTGTGCTACTCCCTTTTATTCTATTGGCTTTTGGCCAATAGGAATTGTCCAGGCTGTCTCTGCCCTGCTGAGCCCGCCAAAAGTCTCATTCTGCAAACGGTGCTGCACCAGTTGAGTAGTCCTTGACTTATGACCAGTTGGGGGTTGCGGCATTAAAAAGGTTGAGAACCACTGCACTAAATGAAAGGTTGTACACCAAGGACCACCTGTATTTTTAACCGTACTATTGATTTCATTGAACGTAGAGTAAGTTTGACTAGCTTTGGATTCAATTCAATCGCTCAACGCTACAGTTCAACAGTATCACCCCTCCACACACTGTTGACCCTTGTAATAGTCCATCTGAAGCAGTTTTTGTACTGTGGGATGCCTTTTATAGTTGAATGACCAGCATTGCCTAGGATCACTTAAGGCTTCCAGCCCAGATCCCAAACATCTTCTGAAGAGGTTTCTCTGATCTCTCTCCTCCTGCTTGCATTTCAGATCCAGAGGAACCTGCTTAGATTTTTCAACTGCTCCTCTAAAAGGCGTGTTAGTTTTTGAACATGTCACACAGCAGCTTCTCCATAGGGGTGTTCCCAATGGTTCTGCGGAAAAATAGAACCTCAATGCGCTCCGAAGAAATGAATTTCAGTGAAGGAAGCAGCAGTAGTAATTTTCCAAACCTAGGAGGCGATACAGAAAGACATTTATAGCTATTTCACCAATAGTGCGATGCTAGAAAAATATCAAAGATGCAAGAGCACGCCAAAAATCAAAACTAAAAGTCTTAATTTGGTGCCCCAAATTTAACAAGGGTGCCACTGAAGATCTGAACAAGAAAACTTTTCAGAATCTCAACTTTTCTATCATGTTATTGTTGAAAAAGTCAGAAAAAAGAGGTGGTTGCTTTTCTGAATAAAATACTGAAAGAATAATACTAGATACCTGACTGGCTGACTAGGATAATGTATATGAGTGTGTTGTCCCAGCATCACTTGTGACTGATCCTGCAAATTTTCTACCTGGTCTGGATCCTTCAATCCTCTTGTTTCTTAAAAGGAAAAAAGAAAAAATGAAATTTCAGCAGTGCTACTTTGACAAAGAGATCTGATCCTTGATGCAAACTTTTACATTCTTAAGGTCTGTGGCAGTTATATAAAAATGTTTCTAATTAGTGCAGGTTCTATTCTGTAAATTTTGGAGGGCTGGCTGAATACACATACTCGTGCACAAATGTGTGTGTGTGAGTGTTATATGCAAAATGCAATTACATTTTCAAGTAAAAGACTACACAGAGCAAGAAATGTAAGCTAGACAAAATCACGAGGCAAGAAAAACAAAAGAAAAGACAGCCTAATCGTAGTTCTAATCAGTGTAATTTAGACAGTCAGTTGTGTACTTCTCCATGCAGATTTTCTCTTAAAATTCCTATAACTTCACCTGTAACCCAAAATGTGCTCCCCCCCCACCGCCAGTACTGGTTCACCTGGTTTAAACAGAACAATTGCCTTCATACAGGCAAATTCAGTGGGATCCACCGCCAGTGTTTTGAAGCGTGCAATTATTTCTTGCAGCGCACAGATATCCGTTCCTCCAGACACCGCCTTGGCGTGGAAGGTGGAGGTGAGCTCTGACAAAGCGAGGAGGGGGCAGGTTTCCAGAGGCAAAGACCACTGGATAGCACAAAGCAGGAACAATTCACTCCAAGCTTCTTCCAGTAAAATCACCTGCAAGCCACAAGATACGGAGTTGAGTCCCTAAAAATATTTGGGACAAGTTTGCTGAATAAACCTGAAAGTATTTCAGCAAAGGACGTCCAGATATTTTTTTTTCCTTCTATAAATCTCCTGTTGGCACTTTATTTATAAAAAAATAGTCCTAACTGTGAGAAATTTTCACCAAACCCATAACTATGATATCCCCTGATCCTGACATACATTGGGCCCCAAACTAAGTGACACGTGATTCTTTCTAGCTGAGTTCTTTGCTCTTCCACACCTATGGACAAAATCTTGCCAGTCTACTATACCTGCATCTATGATATACTCATCCTCTTTCTTATAAAATATCTGGGCTGAGTTGCCTCTTACTCCTCTGAAATGCAGCCTTTTCATCTTGGGAATCTGCTTCCTACTACATTCCATCCACCTTCTCACTACATTCCAGTCACACATGCCAGTCACACCTGCAGATTCCTTTATTATATTCCCCATGTTGGTTTTTCTTGATTTGTTTCCAGTGAACCTCTTTAAACAAGACCGTTCTATTTAAGCATCACAAGCTTTAAATCAGTGGTTCTCAACCTTTCTAATGCCGCGACCCCATAATACAGTTCCCCATGTTGTGGTGACCCCCAACCACTTATACATCACCGGGTGCCAGGGGCGTGGCCAAAGAAAAGGGGAAAAAAATGGCGGACAGCCTTGTTTGGTGACCCCCGTGAAATGGCCGTTCGACCCCAAATGGGGTCCCGACCCACAGGTTGAGAACCACTGCTCTAAATTCAACCTGCATGTAGCAAAAGTTGCAAGGGCTTTATTAATTACGTCTTAGAAACTAGCCTTTCTTGAAGACTTGCCTTCTCACTGGCTCAACTCCAAAACTACATCCTCTTGGCTAAAGCTGTCAGTTCCTAGACCTGACTGACTCGGGAGGCTCACCTGATCACGGAAAGGTAGGTTTGAGAAAACTGGAAGGTTTTTTGCCCATTTCACAGCCATGAAAAGGAGTCGCGCGGAGATCTCATAAACACTTTCTGGGCCAGTGGCGGGGTGTGGAGATCGGGGAGCCTCTGTCCCCACGTGTTCCGGCTCATTACTGGTCACATCGATGTTTTCCTCTGCTGTAAAAGAAAACAGCTGGTCACAGTGTTTTTCTGCAGCAGTTAGTAAGGTTTGCAAGTAGTTGCAGCGTGATTAAGAAAAATTGTGAAGATGTAAATGAGCTTAGTTAAAGCAGAACTGTCACTATTTAAGCCCCAAGTATCTCTTGATGTGATGTTTTCTGTAGTGATCACTGTATCGGCTATGTCAACATCTCTGGTGAACATTTGTTATCCCATCTGGCCCTCTATTAGAGTAAAACAAATGCCACATACTGTGGTATTTAAGGGCAGTACATAAAGTAAAGGTCCTTTTGCTGTACCCTGAAAAGGAATTTCTGACTGCGTTTAAATTTGAGAAATGCCCTCAACACTCAAGTATGAAACAGAGGAATTGCCAAATGAGGCCCCTGATTAGCCAATATTTTGTTTGGGGCCCGTTCTGAATCTGAGTCCAAGTGTCAGAATTCCTAATTCAGATATTGTACCTAGAGCAGTGGTTCTCAACCTGTGGGTCGGGACCCCATTTGGGATCAAACGACCATTTCACGGGGGTCGCCATTTTTCCCCCTTTTCCTTAGCTGTGCTACTCCCTTTTATTCTATTGGCTTTTGAAAGCCAATAGAATAGACTCTCTTGAATAGAGTCTAATTCTATTGGCTTTCCAAAGCCCATAGGAATTGTCCAGGCTGTCTCTGCCCTGCTGAGCCCGCCAAAAGTCCCATTCTGCAAACGGTGCTGCACCAGTTGAATAGTCCTCGACTTACGACCAGTTGAGTAGTCCTCGACTTACGACCGGTTGGGGATCACGGCATTAAAAAGGTTGAGAACCACTGACCTAGAGCAATGACAAATGTAGCGCTTTCATTAAATTATCTCTATACTAATCTTGGGCAAAGCCATGATCTTAGAAACTAAGAGGAATTATTTCCCACGCTTGTTTATAGTGAAATCTTTCCTTAAGGAAGAGACTCCGGATGCTTTGAAGCGCTTTTCCACAGTTTTCTCCCCACCTGAGCTGAGTTCTTATTTGTGAGATAAGTTGCCGATGGACTCCGCTTCGATCTCTTGTTTGCCCTTGCTTCCATTCCTTCTCCAGCCCCCCCCCCCCAAAAAAAATCTCTCTTGCTTGTCAATAACACAAGACTGGAACAAAAAACAAATTGAGAAAGGGCTGGGATCTTCTCTGAATCCATCCTAAATCTTAAATTTCCATCTGAGAAGTAGGGGGCGCTGTTGTTTGCAGCCGGTTATCTTAAATTCTGTAGGGTTGATTCCCCCCCCCCTTGTAAGAGTCACTTCAGGCAGACATTCTCCCTTGTCCCCCTCTCAAGGACCAGCCACCTACCGTCCTCTGGCTCCAGCTTGGCACAAGTCTCCGCTGTCATCAGGCTGGCCATAAAACGGTGGCTGTTGGGGAGGGTTACCCCTTGGGCCCTCAAAACCCCACTTATAGAGCAGCCGGGAGGAACTCTGTGGCTCTGCAGGGAAGGGTGGGGTGGCGTCGGAGCGCCCTGGGTGGTGGCCACACGTTCCGGCTGCTGTTCCAAATGCAGGTCCGTGGAGTCAAGGTGCACGTGAGCCGTGCTGCGTGGCTGGCGTTCGTTCTGAACGGCTGGAAGCAGAGGAAGGTCAAGATAAGTACCCAAGTGGGCATAGAAGGTTTCATTTCCTCCTCTTGAGGGTCTTCACCGAAGAGAAGCGATTGGGCTGAATGTATCATCTTTGATTTCAACCCCTTCATGCTAGTGACTTCAAAAACCACAGGTGGCCCAAGGTCATCCTGAAACATCTTATGGTGGGTCTCCTAATCCAGCTCCTTCACCACTATTCCACCTTGAGTGTTGGGCTGAAAGAGAAAGCATGCCAGCTCCAAAGTCCCCCAGAGAAGTCTCATGGCTGGGGAGGGACTAGAACTGGTGTCTTGCCCCTCCTGATCTGAAGCCACCACTGGTTCTTGGAGCTGCAGAGATACTCCAAGTTCTGGTCCTTCCTTAGTCAGGGAAGCCAGCTGGAGGATTCTTGGCCCGTTGTTCTCAGCCCAAGCCACCTTACAAGGTTGGTGTGATGGGGAAAACAGGAAGAAGGGGCATTACATACGTACACAGCCTTGAGTTGTACCAAATAAACGGTACTGGAGGCTAAAACATATAAGGAACAGTTGCTGGAACTGGCTCTGTCTAGTTTAATGAAAAAAAAGACGAGGGGACACATGATTGCAGTCTTCCAGTATCTCAGGGGCTGCCCCAAAGAAGAGGGAGTCAAGCTATTCTCCAAAGCACCTGAAGGCAGGACAAGAAGCAACGGATGGAAACTAACCAAGGAGAGAAGCAACCTAGAACTAAGGATAAACTTCCTGACAGAACAATTAACCAGTGGAACAACCTGCCTCCAGAAGCGGTGAATGCTCCAACACTGGAAGTTTTTAAGAAGAGACTGGACAGCCATTTGTTTGAAATGATATAGGGCAGTGGTTCCCAACCTTTTTAATGCCGTGACCCCCCCCAACCGGTCGTAAGTTGAGGACTACTCAACCGGTCGTAAGTCGAGGACTACTCAACTGGTGCAGCACCGTTTGCAGAATGGGACTTTTGGCGGGCTCAGCAGGGCAGAGACAGCCTGGACAATTCCTATTGGCTTTGGAAAGCCAATAGAATTAGACTCTATTCAAGAGAGTCTATTCTATTGGCTTTCAAAAGCCAATAGAATAAAAGGGAGTAGCACAGCCAAGGAAAAGGGGGAAAAATGGTGGACTGCATTGTTTGGCGACCCCCGTGAAATGGTCGTTCGACCCCAAATGGGGTCCCGACCCACAGGTTGAGAACCACTGATATAGGGTTTCCTGCCTGAGCAGGGGGTTGGACTAGAAGACCTCCAAGGTCCCTTCCAACTTTATTATTATTATTATTATTATAGTGGGCTGTAAATATATAATTAATGAATTCACCCATCTACAAGGCACCAGGTGGAGAACGTTTGCCTGTAAGTTCCGCTTGCCAAAGACTTATCCAGTCCAGTTTACAGCTCAACCGAGAATCGGCCCTTTTTCCCAGATTCAGGTTTACCGTCTTTATTCATGCCCGCCTGGAGACATTTCTTCAAGCGACAAGCTTGGCACTGGTTTCGGTGCGCTTTGTCCACAGGGCACATTCCACTGCCCACCTGGCACCTGTCAAACGGACGAGATAAGATTCTATTACCAGTAGATGTATCTGCCAGGAATTCTATTTTTTTGGGGGGGGGGAGGGGTGATGAGGTTGTGTGCTATATAATGTGTGAAAGAGCGACAGAAAGGCTGAATCTTCTGGGTTCCCAGAAAGTTGCTGTCACAGAGCAACTAAATGTTTCAAGAGCCACCTCATCTACATGAACTTCTTTGAAATTGAAATTTGTCCTCTTGAAGCCAAGAGACACACCAAGCCTTGATGGTTTCAGCACTGAGAAGAAAATCAGTACTTTTCTTTTAAGATTAGGTCACGAAATATCCCATCCACGCCTGTAAACTAAAAAAATAGCATGTCTAGAGGGGCAGGGGAGATTAAGATGTATCACAAAGCTAGAGGTCACAACTCACAGGCCGCTGAATGTGGGGGTCAGAGACAAGAATGCAAAACTAAGGATGTCCCTTCACCTCCTCTCCATGTTGCATTGTGTGAAGGCGCTTTCTTCATGCAACCGTAAAGGAGTACAACGAGGAGCTAAACTGTTGTAGGACAAAAGGTGAAGCCCCTTCATCTTCTCGAAGCTTGACTGCACGATTATAGACTGCTTACTCTTCCTCTACTCCAACAATAGTATCCGTTACCTATAAATGAGCTTCCGGCGGACACTCCTTTTGAAGAAACCGCTGCAGCCATTGCAAGCGTAGATGCCATAATGCTTCCCACTGCTGGTATCGCCACATACTTTGCACAGCAACACGGGGCTCCCTGCTTTTCCAGGAGTCAGACTAAGCTCTACGCGGGACAGAGAAGAAGAGAGTTAAGGACCAGATGGATGCAGCACACAACAAAGGAGGAGAAGCCAACAGATTTTTCAACAGAGGATGTGAAGGGACAACAGACCTTCATTCCATTGATAGTTCATCTCTGCATTGCCTCACTCTAATTTTACCTTGACTTGCTTTATAATTATTTATTTATTTACTTTCCAAGTTCAGTTTCTAACAATTGACAAAAGTAGACAAAAAGCAACTCCAATCTTCTAGCCATCCAGAGAAGACATGGGAGAACTTTCCAAGGTTCCATCACTTCCTTCCCCGCATTTCAAAATAGACGGTCCTCCATCCACGGCCAACTTAACCGTATCTGCCTGAGGATCCTCCCAGTTGTTCAGTGGTGCTTTGACCCTCTCTTAGCAACTAAAAAAGAACTGCACCGCATACAACGTTCAGCCTCTACAATAACCGAGTAAGACGCTGACCTTGACCAGCTCCTAACTAAATGCCCACAGGAGTTGATTAATAATAACCCAGTTTGACAATCAGACACTATTGACAAATATTGCATGAGAGCCCCCAGCTTGGTCTGTGCTGCACAGATTGCCAGAGATACAAGAAAGGAAGATGATTTGATGCACGAGAAGTAACTTTGCCACCACGCCTGAACTTCCCAGCAGTATTCCAACTTCTTGTCAAATGCAGTTGGGTGAGCTACTTTTGGCCCAAATGAAAGAGAAACATGGTCTGAAGAGTTGTAACACCCTCACTTACCTAACGGACTGGCCTCCATTCCTCTGTTCATCAACGACTTCACCGGGGAGGCCATCATAACAGTGGCTGATGGTTTGTGGGACGAGAGAGATGGTCTTCAGGCTTCTTTGTGGAGAGTTCTGACTTCTTATCCTTGGGCTTTGAATTGGAGGCCCAGATGCAGGAAACCCTTCTGGACTGTCCAGTTTTCCCTCAAGGAGGCTGGATAATTTGCCAAAAGAACTGCTTCAGTGTAGACTCTTTCACTGGAAAAGCTCACTCTGCTCCAAGCCTCTTAACAGACCGTCCTCCAGACCATCACAACCCTTGTTCTTCTGGATACTTCATGTCTGCTTGGTCTGTGCTATGCCCATGTGTGAGTCCTTCCTCTCCAGGGCTCCTGTGGTGTAGCAGGAAAGATTAGTCATTAACGCCGTGTAAGCAGTTGCCTGTCCGTCATGCCCTTAATCTTTAGTTTCTTTTCCAAGGTGGGACCATGAGCTCTATAATCAAAGGATGAAAAAGATGCTGGAGATTTCTGTCAGCAAGCTCAGGACGACACCACACTGCAGTGTACCTCCATCGTGACAGGGACTGTGGGCTCAACGTTTCTACCCGCTCCAGCTTCCCACATCTGCCACTAAGTTGTGTTCTTGGAGAGACGATTCTTTTCTAAAAGGTTCTTTTATTCTGTCCCCAAATAAGTAGGATGAGGCCTGCTTCGGTTCCCAAGACGTTAGATCAGCCTCTACTTTGACTTCACCACGTTGTCTTCAACTCCGGCTCCTACTTTGAGACCCAGGAGCAAAGGTTTTGGGGAAGAAACATCCAGTCAAACCTACAAGGGCAGCTGCTGAGCACAACTGAATATTTTATAAGGCAGGTTTTTCAGCGAGAAGAACGTACTACCTTGAAGAGCAGGTTTTATATTATTGATGAAGGGAAAGGTGAAACAGAAGCAATTACAAGACAGAAGTCAGAATACCAATCTTGGCTCATATACCAAGATTATGCGATCTCGGAAGACATGGCGAAAAGGGCTGGGCCTCACGCAGGTAGCCCTCGACTGACGCTGGCTTGTTTAACCAACGGCTCAAAGTTATGAAAGCCTCTGGAAAAAACGACTCGTGACCCCATCAAAAATATGATCGTCAGACCGTCCCTGCAGTCACATTACCCCAATTCGGGCACTCGGCAATCAACTTGCCTTTACGATGGTTGCAATGTCTTGCAGTCACGCAATCATGGCTTGTGGCTTTCCCAGATGGCTTTCGACAAGCAAAGTCAGTTGGGGAAGTCAGACTTGTTGAAGAGCTATGGTAAAAATGGCTGTAAAACTGGATCCGGTCACACAATGTCTTGCTTAGCAACCACATCGCTTAGGGTCCCAATTATGCTTGTATGTCAAGCACTATCTATATTGGGCCAGCCCATGAGTGGTCAACCAGTTTTTTCTCTGAATATCTGAGTGATGCCATCTTGGTTGGAGCCGATAGGGAGGGTAGATCACACATCTGGAAGGCAAGTGGCAGAACAGATCCTCACAGAAGGAGGGAGATGTTACATGGAAGATATTATCCACCTTAGCCCATTTATACCTAGTAAAAAGTTGCAATACAATAGGCTTATGGCCAGAATTCATCCAATTCTGCCCTAATTCAAGCATTTTCCATTTCAATTTTCCCTCTGCAAGGACATCATCATCCTATTTATTCATCATTGGGCCATTATGCAACACCGCTTCATTTAGGTCAGTGATGACGAACCTTTTAGAGACCGAGTGCCCAAACTGCAACCCAAAATTCACTTATTTATCGCCGGGAGCCAGGTAGGCATGGCCCACTGGCAGACTGGGTGGGTGTGGCCAAGGTGGGCGTGGTCATCTCGATGTTGCTCATGGGGAGGGATGCCTGTGGGGGCCGGTTGGATTGGGGGAGATCCAAGGGGTCTCTGGCAGGTGGGATGATGGGCAGGAGACTCGTCCTGCGGGGTGAGGTGAGGCAAGGTGAGGCAAGGGCCAGGCTGGATGCTGTCTGACACCATCGGCCCCCACACACAGAGGCCAGTGAGCGCATGGGGGCTGACGATGTCCGTCAGCAGCCACAGCCTGCTGGCCCCTCGACCGGCACACTCTGGGGCTCCACAGCCCACTGCCAGCAGTTCAGAGAAGCTGCCTCTGAGCTGGGTGGCCAGCCAACAGCTGAGGAGGTGATGCAGTGGCTCGTGCCCGGGAAAAGGAGAGCATGCAAGGCCAGAGGGGATGGGATGGGGGGAGGGAAACCAATCATGCCGGGATGCATCTGGCCTTGTGGGACCTCGGCGAGTTAGCGGGTAGTTGAAGAGGGACGGTTGCCATCTCCGGGGCATGGCGCACGTTCCCACAGAGAGGCCTCTGAGTGCCGCCTCTGGCACGCGTGCCCTAGGTTCGCCACCACTGATTTAGGTTGCTTTCCTGTGAAGATTTTTTGAATTTCAGCCAAGTGCTGAGTCCTTCCAAGCTGCCAATGCCTTCCCTTCCTGCTATTTTGACCATATTATAAGCAGTTCCGTTCATGGCGCCAGCACTGAAAGAGTGCCTGCCGTCTTCCCCTGTGCGCAGTGGGGGAGGCAGAATCTACAGCAAGTAGTTTGACTCATGCAGGCTTAGTAGCAACTTTCTGATTTCCAAGCGAGGCTGACACGCTTTCTGTTAGTTGCCTATTTCGGTTGTTGGGAACGGATCTGCCACTCTGCTTTTCAGAATCCAAAGGCGACAATCAAAGCATCCCAAAACAATGTTTTTAATGTGATGGGATTCCTTTTTATTAGCGAGCAGCTGAGCCAAGCTTTGCAAAGAATCGAGCTGGGCGGTTGGAGGTCCCGATTCTTCAAGCAGCCTCTTTTTAAAGCAAGTAGGTTTGAGCAGCTTTGGTGCAAGCCAATCTCTCAGCTAATCCCTTTTTACTCTGGGCAGGCGGTGAAGTTGGGTGGGGTGGGGTGGGGGAGGGAGATAGGTAAGCAAGCTGCAAAGAATCTGCTAGTTAAACAAACAAACAAAGACCAATTAGTTTTAGGATTGAGAGAGCAGCTCTGAGTGAGTCATCAGTCCTGGCCAGAGACAGATGGTGCCGATAGATGCTTGATCAGCCATTAGCACTAAGGTCCTTAATCTACAGCCCTGATCTCTCTGTCTCTAGGAGGGCCTTTTTGACCAGGAAGACGGCCAGATGCACACGGCTACTGTACCTCCCTCCCCCCAAATTAACACTATTGTAAAACAATCACCCCAGAACTTATATCTTAAATCTTTAGCAGCAAGAAACCTTCTTCAGATTCTTTCTTTCTTTTTTCTTTCTTTCTTTCTCTTTCTTTCTTTTTCTTTCTTTCTTTCTTTTTCTTTCCTTTTTTTCTTTCTTTTTATTCTTTCCTTTTCTTTTTTCTTTCTCCTCCTCCTCCTCCTCCTCTTTTTCTTCTTTCTTTTTTCTTTCCTTTTCTTTTTTCTTTCTCCTCCTCCTCCTCCTCCTCCTCCTCCTCCTCCTCCTCCTCCTCCTCCTCCTCCTCCTCGTCTTCTTCTTCTTCTTCTTCTTCTTCTTCTTCTTCTTCTTCTTCTTCTTCTTCTTCTTCTTCTTCTTCTTCTTCTTCTTCTTCTTCTTCTTCAAATTCCAAGTTTCCATTTGAGTCAATAAGAGAAAAAAAATCAATACAATAGACTAAACATTTCTCATGAAGGCCGTTTGTCCTGCTGTGACACATCATCCTGCCTTGACACCCTGACTGCTTGTCCCCTCAGGCTGACCTGTAAAAGAGGTCGTGTTCGGGCTGGGATCTCACTGGGGGGGGGGGGGCGAGAGACTCATCTTCACTTTTCTTGGATCTAATTCCCTGTCCCCGCTTTTACCTCCCAGTTCTTGCTTTACGATGCTTTTGATGGCTGTATTTGACTAAGCTCTGACATCTGATCACCTTGTTTTGGAAGTTATCCAAGATAACGAGAGGTAGGCCATCAGTTTGAACTTGCAGTGATCCTTCATCTGGGCATGGATTACAATTTTAGGAGTGGCTACTCTGCTATTTCTATTCCACCTTCTGGATGAGGTTTTCTCAAAGAGGAATATATCGCACTATTGCAATTGTTTCTCATAGGACTTGGGTTATATTTATAGATGCCTGCTTTCCACGGGGCAGAAAGATTCTCACAAACCAAGAACTTGTACACAACCACAGAGATGACCTTGGAAAAATTTCAAGTGATGGTTACAACATCTTGTCTTGTCCAGATTCCTGCTGCAAGCGAAGCTGGCTTTTATCTCATTGTTGCCCTCTCTTCCTAGATCATTCCCACAAACCATTACAGCTCCTATGCCAAAAGAAACTTTTCACCTTTTCATTTTTGTGTCTATTTATTACTCAAATATATACACCATCGTCTCACTATTTAATCATGGCTGCGCTCCATGAAACGGGGAAGGACTGCCGGGCAGAGCTATGATGATGTATGAATAGTTGAGATTATTTATTCGTTCGGTTTTGTATTCATAACTTTTATCGTTCTATATCAAGGAATAGTTTTTCAATCATCAGTTCCTCTGGAAAGTCTTCCACCACTTTTAGCGATTCACAAGCAATTTTACTTAACAAAAGATGTGGTCAGGTTGGAAGAGGTAAGATTTTCAGCCCACCTGTACTTTTTCCCCTATGGCAGTGGTGGTGAACCTATGGCACACGTGCCAGAGGTGGCACTCAGAGCCCTCTCTGTTGGCACATGCACCACTGCCAGCAGCAGGTCCATCAGGCCGCCCCCGCTGCCTGGAGCAGGAGCCCCACCCAGCACAAAGGAGGCGAAGCGGCAGACTAGCAATCTTGAGTAGAAGTGGTAGAGCAGAGGTCACCAACCATTGTTGGACTGGAACAAAAGGGAGGGGGAAGCATTTTGCACTGCAAATGGGGTGGGGCTAGTGCCTGCGTGATACTCACCAGCCCTGCCCCATTCCTGCGTGATGCAGCACCTTGTATCTGCACCCTGCGGTACGGCGGCGGCTGTTTTTGCGCCTTGCAGCATGGTGGCCCATTTTTGTGCCCCCAGTTTTTGTGTGCCAGAGGCGGCACTCAGAGGCACCAGGGCACCACAATGCTGATGCAGCCCTGGCACTTTGTGATAAATAAATGGGGTTTTGGGTTGCGGTTTGGGCACTCGGTCTCTAAAAGGTTCGCCACCACTGCCCTGTGTATTGTCTAAACTCTTCAAGAGGCTGCTAGCACCGTTTCTGATTAACACATTTTATTCAAGGCATCAGTTTTGTGAGCCATAACTCGCTTTGTCAGACGCATTCAGATGTGGTGAGCTGCAACTCAAAGCTTTGGCCAAGCCAAATCAAAGCCAAGGAATTGGACGCTTA